AGCTACATAGAAATCCTCATTTCCACCAAAAGAGATTACTAAGCATTCAACCAATTTCCCTGTGCATGCAGTCAAACTATTTGTCTACATTTTGAACTATGTAATGTCATGTGGATTCAAGTTCAGTATACAGAAACCAGTGTTTTTCAAGACTACACATGTCATTTCATACTATTTATTTGTCTTTATCTACATTTATCCTCATTTCAGAATGATCCTACACATAAAGAGTGCATTCTGCAAAAGAAACAGTGTCATTTGGACCAGAAGTGGCTGAGCTATGTAGAAATGTTCATTTTCACCAAAATGGGTTACTAATCATTCAACATGTGCAAACAATTTCACTGTGCATGCAGTAAAACTGTTTGTCGTTATTTTAAACCATGTGATGTCATATGCATTCAACTTCAGTATACAGAAACCAATGTTTTCCAAGACTACACATGTCATTTGAGACTATTTATTTATATTTACCTACATTTATCCTCATTTCAGAATGATCCTACAATCAAGGAGTGCATGCTGCAAAAAAAACCATGTCATTTGGACCAGAAGTGGCAGAGCTACATAGAAATGTTCATTTCCACCAAGATGGATTACTAATCATTCAACTTGTGGGTGTGGGCCAGTGCTTTGCATGGCATGTATGAGTCCTTTCTGTGGACTCTAAATTTAATGTTAGGAAATTGGTCATGTAATCACTTTATGATTTTCTGAGTTTTGTTCTATATTTGCAAATAGACCCTGAGCTCTGAGCCTAGCCATCAATATCATAGCAACAATGTGTGCTATTCTTATTTTTCTTTGATTTTTTTTTTGATTTTATAGCAAATTTTCCCAATTTTATAACTATTTTTCTGTTTATGGTAAAATATTCCCACAGTCCTGTTTGCATATATCTCAGGAAAGAGGATGGTTAGTTATATTTTGTGACCTATAATAGCATGCTCTATATATTTGTGATGAATTTCCTTTTTTGGGTTAAAATTCCCACAGTATCAGAAGCACAGCCTCTCACTTAGCTCCATAAACAACAATTGTAGCCCCTTTCCTTACCTTTATAGATATATATAAATAATGTCATGCAGACCATTCCTCATTGAGAAAAACACAAAATACTGAAAAAATTGGACACTTTTTGGAAATTGTCATGCATTTTTGACCAATATCTCAAAGAGCAAGAAAGCTGGTCTCAAGATATAGTCACATTGCATGATATGACAATATTTTTACATGGTTGTCTTGATTTCCATATTTGGATATGGACCCTGAATACTGGACACAGCCCCTTCAACACCATGGCAACAGAGAAGATCACTCTTAATTTTGGGGTATTTTTTTCTGATTTTCTGGCAACTTTTAGATGGTTTCTATATTTAGATATTGACCCTGAACCCTGAACAAAGCTTTCCCACCTTACTAAGCAATATTCTGATTTTTACATATTTTTTGCTGATTTCTTTTACCATTTTTCCTGATTTTATGGCTGCTTTTCTGTTTAAGGGAAAAGGTTCCCGCGGTGATGAAAGGTAAATGAATCAATGAATGAAAAATTTGCCTAAGTCCTCAGTTGATAAAGAATGAGTCTTACTCGTAAACTCGTAAGGACTCATAACACATGCAAAGAATCTTACCTCCTGTGTGGTAATGTTGTTTGCATTTGTTTTTAACATGTGATATGATTCAAGATCAGTACACATGTCATTTCAGAATATTTATTTGTATTTACCTACATTTATCCTCATTTTAGAATGATCCTACACATAAAGAGTGTATACTGCAAAAACAACCATGTCATTTGGACCAGATTTGGCAGAGCTACATATAAATCTTCCATGCAGTAAATCTGTTTGCATTTGTTTTTAACCATGTGATATCATGTGGATTCAAGTTCAGTATACAGAAACCAATGTTTCCTGAGAGTATACATGACATTTCAGACTATTTATTTGTATTTACCTACATTTATCCTCATTTTAGAATGATCCTACAATTAAGGAGTGCAGACTGCAAAAAAAACCATGTCATTTAGACCAGATTTGGCAGAGCTACATAAAACCAACATTTTCTGAGAGTACACATGTCATTTTGGACTATTTATTTGTATTTACCTACATTTATCCTCATTTCACAATGATTCTACAATTAAGGAGTGCATACTGCAAAAAAAAACCATGTAATTTGGACCAGATTTGGCAGAGCTACATACAAATCTTCATTTTCGCTAAAAATGATGACTAATTTCAGAAATTTCTCAACTTGAACAAACAAAATTACCGCGCACGTGGTAGTTTTGATTGCATTTGTTTGAAAGCAAGTCATTCAAAACAGATGCAAAGAACTTTACCACACTTTGGCAGAGCTACAACAAATCTTCATTTTCGCTAAAAATGATGACTAAGCGATGACATGCACCAAGGATCGTCTGAACCCCAGCGCAGGTTCAGATGATCCTTGGCACATGTCATAATTTGGCATCATTTGGCTAACCCTTCTGCTTTTGCATGCAGCTTATATTAGTAATTTTGCAATAAAATACTGTAACTCTGTCAAATCTAATCTGAATTACATAAAATAAAATCCAGAAAAAAGCTAAAATTCCGCGCAATTCGATTACGTAAAATTGTGCACTATGTATTACATAATTGGCATGTCATTTCCCAGGTTATATCTGCAATTCTGAAAGAAAATACTGCAACTCTGTCATATCTGATCCAAATTACATAAGATGAAATGCAAAAATAATATACAACTGCAAGAAATTTAATTACATACATTGTAGTAGTATGCATTACATAATTGGCCCTGAAAAGGAGAAAAGCATCTATAAGTGTATTCAAAAGAAAAGCTGCAACTTACTGGATACCACTTATACAAAACTATAAATAACTGCTGCCACATGCACTAGTCCATATAGCTATATATAATGTGACAACTATGGACAAAATGATGCAATAGAACTGATGAACAATAGTGTTTGGCAGATAGATGAACTCTCATTAACTGGTTGTGACCATGTTGAGTGACAATCCATGCCATCAATCCATGCCATCACTGGACAGATCACATGGTCAGTAAAACCTTGTACTATATACCATCAACTACACAAATGATGACAAAAGCATACAAAGCTAGAGTGCCTGAAACCCTGAAACCCTGAACGTGGATGACTACAAAAGGCTAGAGACCCTGAATCCCCTGAATCCCTGAATGTGAGAAACCATCAATTTTCATGGGAAAAAGGCAAAGTTCAGCATTAGAACGCTGAAAAATTCCTTGAGATCAAGGGTAATAAACGAGTCTCTTCGTAAACTCAGAGGACTTGTAACAATGAACATTTCCCTTACCTATACAAAGTCCTGACCCATCCCCTCATGCATTACAAGCTTGGTTGGCCTCACAGCACAAGAGAAAGTTTTTTCCAATAATGAGACATCAGAATGGACTGGAGACCTGAAAACCAGAAATTGTTCTGTGAAGGTGAACTAAAACACACTATTATGTTGGATGCTATTAACAGGTCCATTTAGATGTCACTGTCAAAGCACTGACAATGTTTGCACCAAAATCTTACATTGAAGCAGTAAAGCTTAACGCAGAAGTCATGAACATGCCCAGAGTAGGGTCTGATGGGAACATAATCACCCCAGTGCAGCAGGTGAATCTTGCACCAGCTGTAAGATTCGAAACATGTGAAGATACATACTATGCAGTTTTTCTTTTTATAATATATTTATGAATATGATGCAGAGGATGGATTGATAGGCATGGGAGTCCTACTGCCAATTAGAAGCCACAAGCTAAGCGCTGTGAGCCCAAGCTATGACACGAGCACAAGCCATAACATGTGACAGCAATTAACACTGAGGAAACACCGAGGACTCAATGTGCATCTTCCAAGGGCAGGGGTAGCAAACAATTTGAGTAGTGAGGGAGCAGTGGCATTCCTACATCACTGTCACTCTTGTACATCTATGTAGTAAGTATATTTTAGTAGAAAATATGATGAGAACTATGAGGCCTTCAACCATGGGAAGAAATCAATTTTGTTCATAAACTCAGAGGACTTGTAACAAGCAAGAACAACAGCCAACTACCTATGACTGCCCACAAACCAGGGTGAACATGAGAATAAGAACAGACATACCACTAAAAGAGATTGTGCAATTCATAAATAGTTTGTTGGAGCATTTTCTGAGCATATAGTAGTATCCATACAAGTCTACAATGAAGCAGATCAAGCCACAGGGAGGTCCTGAGCAGAAGTTGGCATAAGGGCAAAAAATAAATATGAAACCTCCACAAAGGGTTAAGGGATTTATAAATGGTTTGTTGGAGTGTTTTTGGGATATATATTGGTATCCAAATAAGTCTACATTGAAAGAAATTGAGCCACAGGAAGGTCCTGAGCAAAAGTTAGCATAAGGGCAAATAAACACAAAAGTACGGACAGACATACCTCCAGGAAGGGTGGACGGATTCGTAAACAGTTTATTGGAGTGCTTTTGGGACGTGTAGTAGTGTTCAAACGAGTCTACGTTGAAGGAAATCGAGCCACAAGAAGGTCTTGGGCAGAGTAAAGCATAAGTGGAAAAACATGAAAATACAAACAGACATACCTCCGCAAAGGGTTGCCAGATTCGTAAACGGTTTGTTGGAGCATTTTCAGGACATAAATTAATTTCCAAACAAATCAAGCTATAGGAAGGTCCTGGGCAGAGGTTGGCATAAGTGCAAAAACACAAAAGTACAAACAAATGTACCTCCATGAAGAGTTGGCGGATTTGTAAATGGTTTCTTGGAGCATTTTTGGAACATGAATTACTGTACTATTTTGACCAAGTGTTCATGTCACATATCACATCGACAAAAAAACTATTTTTTTTTATTCGTCTTAAATCAAAAGAAATTTTTTCGGCCATGTCAGTGTGAAATTTTTCCAAAAATCATGAACACTTGGTCAAAATAGTACAGTAGTATCCAAACGAGTCTACGTTGAAGCGAATTGAACCACAGGAAGGTCCTGGGCAGAGGTTGGCATAAGGACAAAAAGACAAGTCATGGCATTCCCTGAAAATGACATGACTCACAAGTTGAGTCATTCCTTTTGATCAGCAGAATATTCACCATTATACTCACAACTTCTCAATACCTTCCTGCAGTCCGTTTCTCTTGAGCATGAACTTGATTCAATGCCTACACATTCCAAGAACAAGCTCCACAAAACTGTTTACAAAACAGTCAACTTCCCATGGAGGTAAGTTGGTTTGTATTTTGGCTTTTTTGCCTATATGCTCACCAATTGTTCAGTACCTTCCTGTGGTCCGTTTCACATGGCATGGACTCTATTCAATACCTATGCACTCCACAAACACACTTCACAAAACCGTTTACAACATGGTTGAGTTCCCATCCAGGTAAGTAAGTAAGTTTGTATTTTCGCTTTTTTGCCTTATGCTCACCAACTGCTCAGTACCTTCCTGTGTAGTGCTTGGAAGTCCAGTCCCAAGACTGCAAAAAGACCGCAACTGGACTGGACCAAGACTGCAAAAGACTGGACCTGCAGTCTTGGTCTTTCAGATTTGAGATCACAAGACTGCAAAAAGACCGGTATTTTGTACCTACATAATAACCCTTCAAAACACACCTAAGATCATATTCTTAGGCCAAAAACTGACAAATATACATACAAAACTGTAAAATATTTTGTGAAAATAGCAGATGTACATTAGTATTTTTGTATATATATCAATTCTCAATGTAATTTAATGTTCTTGCACTTGTTTAGAAGCTACAAAGAATGTCAATAAACTTACTGACTCACAATTGCAAAATCTATTGCATATTTTGTTGAAAAACTGGTCTTGAACTGGTTGTAACCAGTTTGGACCAAGACTGGTCCAAAGACCAAAAAAGACTGCAGTCTTGGTCTTTTCCGGTCCTGGTCCAGTCTTTTGAGGTTTCAGGAATCATATGGACTGGTCTTGATCTTGGTCTTTTTGTTTTGGGCCAAAAAACCAGACTGGACCAGACTTTCAAGCACTATTCCTGTGGCCTGTTTTATCTGAGCATGGGCTCATTTGCACAAGTTGTCATGACCTTAATTGTTGTACCTTCAATGTAAACAAGTTGAGTTGCATGAATGATGAATATGAAAATAGAGGCAATGCATTCATTCATCAGAATCTGGAAGCCAAATAGAGCAATATATTGGCCACTACCTACATCAATGACAACCTGGATAGGGCTAAAAAAGACAGTAATAATCAAGGAATGGTCAAGTAGACTAGGAAAGTCATGCAGGCAAACCAAGCAGATGATCATGGGAAAAAATCACTTTGGTGGGAGAATGTCAAATTTCAGCATACCACACTGAAAAAAACCTCAAATACAGGAGAAATAAACGAGCCTCTTCGTAAACTCAGAGGACTCATAATCAACTTTTCTTTGTGCAGATAAAAATCTCAGAAAGCCTGTGTCACACAATATTGAGAGAGGAAATCAAGGACTTCAAAATCATACAGTGTTTTGCATGTGAGATTGCACTGCAAATCCCACGAAAACTTGTTTGCATTTGTATTTCGTGACCTGAAGTAACCATTTTCGGTTGATTTTGGGTGTAGAACGCATGACACCAGCCACAAACTACAAGTACAAACAGGTTTTAGTAAGATTTCGAGTGCAATCTCACATGCAAAGCACTGTAAAGCATATCAAACTCACTGAAAGCACAGGATACAATACCCTGGTTGTATAGCCAACAAAGGAAAGTTGAAAGACCAGCGGCGCCAAAACCGGAAAGCCGGCGCAACGAGTGATTGGTACCACTTGAGTTTGTGGGGTGACACGTGCACGTGTGGACGGAACCAGGGAGTTGGCACGAACCTTGAAGCTCAGTTCGGAGGAAGCCTATTGCCAACGACGTCGCAAACTAGGGCCCAATATTACAGAATGCATACTTATCTCCACCACGACACAGACGATCCAAGCGACACCCCAATCTTCACAGGGACCAGCGCGATGACTGAACATTATGCCTATGACAGAGACCGACTGTAAGTTCATTTCCTTGTTCCGAGTCCTTGGTTGTGGTTCCCGTCTTGGATCACAACAACCAGCTCTCCTTTTCTCCTTTTTCTCTCCGATGCATATCACCTTTTCTCAATTTCACAAATGCTCCCTCCACTACAACCCTCAATTTAGGATATACGAGCTCGTCGTTCGCCAGGAACCCAAGCAGGCCAGGATGTGTGGTGTCGGCGGCAAAGGTGGGCATTTCTTCGCTACATAGACTAAAATTCCTCGTGGCTAATGGCCCTATAGCAGACAGACGTCCTATCGACCCTCCACCTATAGTTCAGCTCCGCGTCATCGATCCTTCGGCACCATCTCAGGCCGCCAATGCTAATGCCACGCCCAGCCAGCGCCGTAGAAACAGTAGTGCGACTACCCCTCCAGGATCTCCCTCTCCGAGTTCCAGTTCACGACACCTCCCAGAGGCCCAGGAATCTGATGCTGGCTATGGACAATCCTTTCTTCAAAATCCGTACTATTTCATGTTTGCCAGCCTTGCAAAACCGGATGACGATGCGGAGTTACACTGGCTGAAGGTGAAAAATCTCTCTTTTTTAGTATATTTCTTTTCAAGATCCATTATTTTCTTCTCTTTTCTCCTCCGTTTCTTGTACGAGTATGACACTTATTCTGATAGGATGGTCGGACGCGGTGTACGACAGGATCAGTGGTTTCATCACTCTACCACCTCAAAGACCCTCAACATAATAATGAAGGTTGTTCTTTCCCCATTCAATTTACCCGCCGCAACAGTTGACTTATTTCTTATCTCATCAGATGCAGGCTTTTTTGTTTTTCCTGATCTGAGCGTACGCACCGAAGGCAGCTATCGCCTCAAATTAAGTTTATTCGAGGTTGTTGGGTGAGTGCCATTTTTCTGTTGTCCCATTCACCTCGCGTACCTTGAAGCATATGAATTACGAGGGTACGCGAGGAATGGATGCTCTCCCATAGCCCAAGCCGCAGTTAGTCAAATGACCATCACGCTGGAATGCAGGAATCTGCATTCCACCTTATGTTTGATGGGGTTTGCTTCTTTGACGAGATTCACTTTCGACATACCATTCTCATTTGTCGGCAATTTGATAGATCAACTCCATTTCTTGTGTCCTCCAAGTCTTTCTCACAACGACTAATCATCACCTATTACCAGCAACAATGTTCGGCACTGTAAATCGATATACTCAGCGCCTTTTTATGTCTATACGGCAAAAAAGTTCCCTGGGATGGAAGGTATGCAATATTCTCGTCATTGGATGTCCTAGCTCATTCATGAGAATAAAAAACGCCTACTTGCAGAGTCCACGCCCCTCTCATGCTCTCTAGCAGACCAAGGAATCAAAATTCGCATTCGCAAAGACATCCGAGTTCGCAAACGCCCTGTTCACGCATTGGAACACCCTCTGCCAATGCCGCTTGATGATTCTTGCAATGAAAATGGCGACGACCACCATCAACATCACTCGAGACGCCGTAATTCAAAACGAAGCAGGACAGATGATGGGCTTGACATATCAGAGGGAAGCAATACAGGTTCTGCACCTACCACGGTGCCTGCACCGCGGCAGCAGGGGCCGTGGCCACCTGTCGCTCCTCTCGACCCTTCTTTGGGCGCAACCATCCCACCACCTCCTGGTGCAACAGTTATTCCGCCTCCACCGCCACTAGGGCAGGAGCAAACTCAAGGTGGCGTCGCGATGGGTGTGAATATAACGCCTGGCGTGGTCCTTGGAGGGCCATCCGTTTATGATGGTCGTGGCGGAGGAGGAGGATACCATCCATGCGATCAAAATCTCCCTCCTTCCGCTTCGTCGAGCCAAAATCAACCTCACACCCAATTTCGCGATCCAAATCAAATACAGCTTGCACCCCCCCAGCAACCATACGCCCCACAACAACCGCAGCAGCAACAGCAACATCCACCTCAACATGTTCCTCCCGCACCTCCTCACCTCCCGCCGCCCCCACATGGACATATACCCCATCATTCTACTACCCATCCGCCGCTTCCACTACACCAAAGCTACGCCCCCTACCCCCAAACTTGGGGAGCTCCCCCTCCCCAACCACAACCTGTATACGACTATTATCACCATCAGCAACATGCGCCTCCCGTCCCCCAACATCACCCACATCCCCATTATCCCACCTACCCGCCCCAGCCATCGCACGTTCAGCCTCCTCCGCGATATGATTATTCAGGGCAGATATACGCTCAGCAGCTGCCTCCCCATCCTCAAGCACAGTATGGGTACTACGAGCAGCCCCATCACCATCACCAGCAGATCCCACCACAACATCAACAAGTCTCCCCTCCGCAACAGCCTCCACATGCGCAGCAACCTCAATACATTTCTGCATCCGTAGCGGCGGCCCCTGCTCCCACGACTAGAACCGCTACTGCGTCACCAAGCGTCATCCCCCCTCCTCCACATTCAAGCACCCCAGGCTATGATTATTCATCGCCTTATCGACCCACCGAATCCCCTCAACCAGGTAGGGCGTATCATCCTCCCCCCCACCACATACAAGCCCCCCCACCTCAGACGCCATATTCCACTTACCATTTTCCACAACAGCACCACCACCATCAGCCGCCTCCACTACCCCACCACATAGTGCAGAGGTATGGGCATCCACCCCCGCCGCCATATTCCTACGGAGGATATGGCAATCAAGCACCGGAGTGGGGAACACCACCACAAAACGGATTTCCACCAGGATGGGGCGACGGGTACACGCAACCGCAACCTCAGTTGATGCATCAACAGCAGGCAGTATTACCATCGTCATCCTCTGTCCTCGTTGGCGCGGTGAGTAGTCCTGGGGATAGGATTCAGCTTGCCCCTCTCAGAGCTGGTGCTGGTTCGGGGCCGTCCGGGACAGGAAATGGGGAGAGTCCAGTGCCCATCATACCGCTCTCTCTGCCGCCGTCTACGTCCCCCTCGTCTGGGTCTTCAAATGGGAACCACCAGCATCAGACGATTGCGTACCCAATCATGGGCAGTAGTCAAAGCGGATACCCGTCATCAAGGGAGAGAGAGCGCGACCACGACAGAGATGTGGGCAAGGATAAGGAGGGTGAAAGGAAGAAGACTAATCCATTAAGTATCGGAAGTATCATTTCGGATGATGGAAGGTGAAAAGCGCTACCTCATCTCCTTTATTCTTGTTTGTTTCGTATGCGTCTTTCGCTATCATCCTATTTTTTGCACATGATTCTCCATTTTACGTATTTGACTTCACAAACATCATCACACCTGAAATCCGAATTGCATAAATTGTCACTTGTACATAATAATTATGAGGCCTACGCTCCAGTCGAGATACATACTATTACTATGCCCTACTATTAGGCTCGTGACCATCCGTTTCTTCAAACTCCGCAAGCTATGTCTCTTTGGCAGGGTCACGCTTTTGTGACGCGGGACTTGGTGAAAAAAAACGGTTCAGGTTCTGTGCTACACAATCACAACGACAACGCAACTCGACCACTACTCACCACTTCCTCTGAGCCTTCATCACCATCGGAGGGTTCTTCTCTAGCATCCATTCCTCTCAATCTCACTTCCTCGGGCTCCCTCACAATGCTCTCATCCACCAATATGCCTTTGCCGACATCTTCGCCTGGCGTCGCTGCTGGATTTCTAAGGGGTGGGCTCAGGCTAGTTGAGGGATTGGGAGTTGCAGGACCTGGCCACAGATGAGTTGAGGGTTTGAGAGTGGCAGGAGCTTTCAGCTCAGATGGTGGGCAAAACCCGGTAAGTGGTGCTTTTTCGCCCTCGGTACTGCAGCTCAGTCATGCACTCTCAGCTTATGTCTTGTGGCTGTTGTATACCAATGCCTAGCTCGCCTTCCTCAGCCTGCACCTCATCAATACACTGCTGACTGATCACCTCACCTCGGTTTCAGATGCACAATCCTTGCAAGTCCTAACAACTCTGAGCATCGTGAATTCATCTTCACAAACTTAACTCCCACCCCATGTCTCTTGTCGCCTTTACCATTGGAGCAGGACCCGACATTGGTGCTGCTGTAGGCACTATTCTCAAGCAGAATGGGTACCACATTGCACTTGGTTCCCGAAACCCCAAGATTTACGAAACGGAAGCAGGGTTCTACCCTGTCAGAGTTGATCCTAGAAGCTCCGAGAGTATTCAAGCTGTGTTCTGGAGCGTCAATGCAGAGCTTGGGCCTAATGTCATCATTTACAATGGTAAGATTTTGAATTTCTACAGGCATGTAGCTTTCGAATTCTACTTTTTCAACTGTATTGTAATCACATTACTTGAATCAAATAATCTTTATAAAGCTGTAGCCAGAAAAACCACTTTTTGTGATGTTTTGGACAAGTGTTGTTGAAGTCGGGTGAACATTCGCAGAAATTTCACTACAGTGTCTTTCACTGCCGTTTGCACACATGAATCGTAAATTTCGTGTTTGCTTCTGTTGTCCTCAGGGTTTTTTTGTCACACATTGGCCCAGAACAGATGAGTTTTTCTTAGGGATCTTGAGTGAACCAGTGTCCGACCTCACTCTAGCCCTTGCCCATGTCAACTCAAGTCTCTGGATACATAATCATCTGGCATGAAGAAGAATCCCGTTCTCGTCATGAATTTGCTGACCTGCAGATGTTCAATTTGCAGTGACAAAAAACACTGAGGGTAACAGGTACAACAGAAGCAAACACGAAATTACTGCTGTGCAAACGGCAGTGAAAGACACTGTAAGTCAGCATCACACACAGGGGTCCCTGCCAAACTGTGTTCATTTGTCCCAGTCGTTCTGAGGTGTTCTTATTTTTCACAGTCTGCCTGATGTTTGACCCCACAACAAAGCCACAACGAATGACAACCACCTCAGAACGACTGGCTAGTGAGTCTACCCTACTATCAGTGTCTGGGAGTTTGATATGATTCAGGAGTTTGAAATCCTTATGTTCCTCCCTCAATATTGACACAGCTTACTGGGATTTTTTTCTGGACTAATTATGACTGTCACTAATATGAATATGAACATTTTTTCTGCAAGAACTGAGTTTGACAAGCGCAGGATTTTAAAAGGTGGTTTTCAGCCCATCAAAATGTGTGATGTATTGGTGATGTATGCAAATGTTTTCTAAGATCTAATCTTATACTTTGCATGAGGCTTTCTAAAAATTTATGACATATCCTAGTAAATGAGGAGACTTCAAATACGAGAAATTGAGCAGAAATACTAAGACCCTCACTTACAGTTCAATGAATTTTGATTTTGTGTCTGCTGAGCATGACAAGCATGATCTTAGGCTTCACGGATTTGAACCCTGACAGTCACATCACCTATCAAAATTCTGACAGTTGGATGTGACTTGGACATGACAACCATTTCAATCTCCTGAAACAATCAACTTCGACAACCGGTAAGCCTCTGCCAGCTTCCACAACTGTCCAATAAAAAAATAAAATATATATTCATGTTCATGAGACACGTACGTATGACCAGACAAGATTTGAAGGCCCAGTGTGTAGTGGTTGTGGTACAATGTACCCAAAGATCAATTTGTTTCAAACTCCCAGACACTGATAGTATGACCTACCAGCACCTTGGCGCACCCTACGAGTCGGCAGTCACTGATTGTCACATATTTTGGCTGGACAAGTGTGACTCTCATTTTCCAAGTTGTCATGCAACATCACACTTGTCTAGCCAAAATTCATGATGATCAGTGACCACCAACTCATAGGGTGCACCAGTGCTGGTAGGGCATAGTAATATGACCATGCCTTCGCATCGTGCATTGCAGAGGTAAGTGAGGCATCACCCCAGCTTTTGAAGTCATTTTTACATATTGTAAAATAGCTGATTTTTCTGGCACCTACAATGCCTCTAGGCATGTAAACGACGGCATCAGCAAATCTACAGATTGCTTGTGAGCTTTTCACAACTTTTCTCAACTGACAACTTGTCATCAAGTCACAAGCTGACAAGCCGACAAGGTGCCTAACAACAGATATATGCATCAGCAAAACAGCAACAACCTCGGTTTACCTTGGAGGCTTTGTAATCTTTGCAAAACTTTGCGATGTTTTGCTCCACCTTCCAATGTTGTAGAATTATATTATGAACTGTATAAAGGATGTCAAACTATCTAGGACTATATAAGATTGAACTGAGGTTGCCGAGTGAATGTAAGGTTGAAGTAATGTTTGTAATGACATTGGAAAGTCGACTGAAAGATTTTTAAACATTCTAAAGTTGATCCAATATAGAATATAATACATATAATATGTTACAAGTCCACGAAGCCGTCAGACCCATCATCTGAGAACTCGTCAACCTCATCCGTTGAGTCACTGATATCCATCTCATCAACCTCGGACTCATTTTCATCCTCATACCCATAGTCACCCTTCTCCCCATCACACAATGAACCTTCGTCCTCACCAGAGTCATCCTCGCCACTCCCTATATCCTCAGTTGCCTCCACCCCATCCATATCTTCTTCAGCCCCATCATCCATCTGTTCAACTTGCTCCTCAGTGTCATCCTCCACAACAAGATCCTGTGGGGCAGTGGGAGGGGCGAAGTCATGGGTAGCTTTATGTCCTATACCCCCAGTAAGATACCTCATCACCATATCTCGATCAGCAAACCTAAAGGAATGTAAGCACAATAAAGTGAAAAAGGAATTAAAGAAAACTTACATGCCAATGTAATATCTGAGCCATCCTCCTTGTCTTTTGGTTGTGAGCAATGGAACAGCCCAGGAGTTCTCGGGAACGGCCTTGTGAGAAAGCAGGCATGAGATGTGTGGCTCAAATGATATCATTGGGGTCCAAGAATCTGAATGTGTGGTCTTCATTTCCGTCGAAAAATCCGATGCAGGGCAAACAATGGGCCTTGAATCTGCTGTGATACTCAGCATCATGTAGTGTTTGGAAGTCCGGTCTCGTGACTGGAAAAAGATCGTAACCAGACCGGACCTGCGGTTACAGTCTTTTATTTTTTAAATGTAAAGACCGCAAAAAAACCGGTTAACGTGAACCGGTCTTGACCGGTTTGGACCGGTCTTTTGTAGCCCCTTAAATACCCTTTAAAACGCACCCAAGAACGTACGTTTTGGTAAAAAAACGAGAGACATATGAATTAAAATGTAAATTACTTTTGGGAATAATAGATGTACCAGACTTATTTTATAGAAGCACCAATTCCTAACGGAATTTAACGTTCTTGGGCTCGTTTTGAAGCTATTAGAGATGTTAATAAATTTACCGATTCATAATTTTAAAATATTGGCCTAAAGACCGGTCATAAACCGGTTAAAACTGATGCAGACCGAAACTGGTCTATAGACTGCAAAAAACCGCAGTCTGCAGTCTTTTTGCGGTCCAGTCTGGTCTTTTGACTTCTGGGGAAAAGGCAGACCGGTTACGGTTACGGTTAATGCCCCTGGGCATCAAAAAACCGGACCAAACCGGACTTTCAAACACTAGCATCATGACCAAACCAACAAACCCACAGGAAGTCCATCATGTGAGTGTCACCTGGTGATGTTGACTTGGGGTCAATGTGAAAGACGTTGGTGTGGAAGATACCAATGATACGAGCATACCAATATGGATGTGATTCTGAAGTCCCAGGTTCTTCATTCGCAAGGACCATGACATCACAGTGCTCAGAATAAGGGTTCAGTGTATCCTGAAGTCGCCACATGTCATAGCTGGTGTAATTTATGTGTAAGGTCCTGTGTTTGTAGAGTCTGTCATGTTTGAATCAGATTGTTGATAGATTTTGATCTGTGAAGTTGTTGTCATTGTTCTTGGTACCCAGTATTCATGCCAGAAAATGGTCTTTGAGCAAAGGGACAAAATTCTATCATGTCTTCAGCATATCAAAGCGAGATACAAACCAGAAATAAGTAACTCACACGAAGTGCAGGTTCACCAGCATTTTTTGACAGAAACTTCGGAATACACTCAAATGATCTTGCCGAGTCGGAAATTTGATAGTGATCTTTTGGTGTAATATTTGGGAGAGGGTCGTTGACAATTTTTGTAACTGAGTGGGTGCTACTTTGGCAGTAACACTTGGGGTCTGGTGCACTGTCCGCTGAATGTTCTGAAGCTTCACATTGCTGCTTTTCTTTCAAACTTGCATTGCATAGAAAACATTGGCATCGTTCCTGTTTGGTAATTTGCCTCTTGAAACCAATGTTTTGTAAAAAATTATCTGTTGTACCATAGTAACAAAGTGTTGGGAGAATATAGTCACAATGAGAATGATTGTTAAGACCAGCAGTCTCATGATGAGACTCTGTCTGAGAAACATTTTGTAGAGTACAAATGGTGTGTCTGAGTCATTCTATGTTACATAAGCACGTGATCACATGCAAACAATGATTAATGACATTTGGGGCACATCAAAATCTTGTTCTTTGCTCGTTCTTTCATCCCCACCATCATTGTTCCTCTGTCCTATCATTCCTTGTGCTTCTCTCTCTATGCCACAACACAGGCACAGCAGGGAGGTGATGCCTCAAAATGAACTTGAGCTGGCATCGAGAAGCAAATGACAACAAGACTGTGCAACAGAAGTTCAACAAAAAAAAAGGAAATCAACAAAGTACGTACATTTTATTTGTAGCATTTGGAGTGCTCATGCTGCAAGTGTACTCAGAAAGGCCAAAACAACAAGGGGTGAGAAGGTCAAGCCATTTCGCAACTTTGTGAAACAGATTGGCCACCCTGAAAACCCTTTCATCTCTTTTGGGTCTGTTTTAGGGCTTATTTGTTACCATCAGACAAAGATGCTCCACCTTTGTATGTTTTCTGTGAACTTCAAATTAGTGTTTAAAAGTCTGGTTAGGTTAGGTTATTGGGTGCCCAGGGGCTCTAACCGAGACCGAGACCAGTTAGGGTTCGTTCCCAGACCCAAAATAACCTAACTGGACCGAAGATAACTGACCAAAACCAGTTAGTCACAGTTACTAACCAGTTAGGACCGAAAAAATAGAAAGTCGATTAAAACAGCATATATTTCTCATATTTCTTGCAGTAAACATTATTGCCATGTATTGTAGCTTTAAAATAAGCCCAAGAACGCTAAATTCGGTGAAGAATTGACAATTTTATGATAATATTCTTGAAAGCATACTCTTTTGGCCAATATTTTAGCGATTTGACCATAACTCTGTCAGATTTTTATCGTTTCTCATGCTTTTAGATGGGTTTTGAAGGGGTATAATAGGGTCGGTTTTAACCAGTCATAACCAGTTTTTTAACAGTTAGTTAACCACAAAATAACCAGTTATTTCATTTCCAGAATTGACTAACCACTAACTGTGGTCTGGTCTTTTTGGGGTTAGGTCCAGTCTGGTCTTGGTTATTTTCCGGTTAATTAACCAGACCTTCAAGCACTACTTCAAATGCATATATTGACTAACGACTCTTTACAAAGGTCGCTCACAGACCACAATGAATGTATGTGGATTTACAAACTGATTGAAAAGTGCCCTGGGTGGAAGAGTATACTAGTGAAGATTGACAGGGGTAATGAGAAGTGGTCTACTATTCTAGTGGATGAGGTGTGTACTTTCATTTGACTTTGTATATTTGTGGTTGTGATGCTTACGTTATTGCAGATAAGAGAACGGCTCCTTCCAGCCAAATAGGTTGTGATCGCTTGGCACTTCACCAAGTCAACAGTGGTACTACCATTTCCAGAGCCGCGGATGAAAGAGATGTTGTTGCCAACTCTGAACGTCACAACAATCTAGGAAGATCAGCCTCACCCAGTGATGAATGTGAAGGTAATGGTGGTATACTCATAACCTATCTCTGACCACCATTGTCCATTGTGCTAAACTCATTTCATTTAGATCAAAAGATCATCTCGCCAGCTATGTCAAATTCCAACATGGAATTGGACTCCCAGTATAACAATGACACCAGCTCTCATTCAATGACACCAGCTCTCGTTCAACTACACCACACCTCAATTGCATTTTACATGATGGTGTTCAAGGCGAAGCTCAACAATACATTCGCACACCTCAATAGGTGACCCGTTTGTCCTCAACTTGGGGAAGCCTTAGTCCCATCATGCCGACACCCAATGGAAAGGCAAAGAAAGCTCGAGGGCAGAAGATTCTGGCTGTAGAGATGGCCACACACACACTGCAGAGTCGCAACACCCAATGCACAGCGGTCACTTAGTGCTCAACATGAACTTACAATTGTACCTCAATCTTGCATACTTCACGCAATCATTGTTTCACCTTCCGACTTTGTTGACACCAGTGTATAATATGGTAAGGTCGGCCTAGAATTCTACTACATTAGTGCTGATTGGTTGCATTGTAGCACCTTACATTGTGATGTAAGGTTTGTGCGGTTTTGCTGATGTGAGAGACACAAGGGGCAAACCACATTCGTCACCTGGTGAAGAGGTAATAAAAAGGAGATAAATGTGTTAAATGGTCAATTCCACATTGGTGTTAAAAATGTTCAAATAGAAAAGATTCATTATTCATTCAACTTTGCGGCCACAAAAAGGTCATATCATGTATGTAAAATATTTATTGGTAGTTTGTTAGAGCAGGAATGACTGAGAAATTCTTGCCAGAAAAGGAAGATAAAGAAAGACCCTGTTTTACCTGAGCAACAATGGTGAAGCAACTATTTAATGTCATTGAAAGGTCTTTCTTGGCACTGTAAAAAGCAATCAAGGAAATTAAATTTAACCCTCTTAAACAAAGGAACCCTGAGAGACAATCTCAATTCTTTGTTTCTGTTCCCTCAGGCCAGAAAGATCTTTCAATGTCATTAAATAGTTGCCTCATCATTGTTGCAAAGGTAAAACAGGGTCTTTCTTTATCTTCCTTTCCTGGCAAAATTTCTTTTGTTTCTCAATTATTACTGCACTAACAAACTACCAATAAATATTTGACATACACATCATCACCTTTTTGTGGTGCGAAGTTGAGATAACAATGAATCTTTTTTATTTGAACATTTTCGACACTAATGTGGGATTGACTAGTGATGAGCAGGGGTAACCCTGGGGTCAACTCAGGCTGACCCTGACCCTTACCCTCCAAAACCCTTGACCCTTGGCTGGGGTCAAGGGTTTTGAAGCATAAGGGTAAGGGTATCTCAGGGGTTGGAGGGTAAGAAACCCCAGCAGGGTTTGGACAAGGGTTTGGAGCAAATAATTGCTCAAGCTTTATAGATAGTAAATAAATAGCAAGATGCCTTTGAAATACACATTATTCATGTATATTTATGACAGTACACATGGTTTTTAGTAAATTATTAATGAAATATGAGCAATTCAGTGTATTCTGAACAATACTAAGTGTTGCAAAGGTAGTGAGGCCTCTTTGGATGATATTTTATCTGATTTGATGTGATTTAAAATCATTTTATCTGGAGTACTTACCTTGATATTAGAGAAATGAAACCCCTAAAAAACCCCTGAAAAACCCCTGACCCTTTGGAAGGGTCAAGGGTTTGTTGAGGGTCACAAAATCCTTACCCTGACCCTTACCCTCCTGACCCTTACCCCTGACCCTTGGAGGGTTGACAAACCCTTGCACATCACTAGGATTGACTATTTAACATAATTATCTCCTTTTTACTACCTCTTCACCAGGTGACGAATGTGGTTTGCCCCTTGTGAGAAGGACTTAGCCAAAAAAAAGTGGTTTGACATGCTTATGTAACACTTCATAACCAAGACACGCACGTTCTGTTCAACCTTCCTCTCATCTTGACCACATCTTCAGTGCTCACTCAGCTCTCTGTCCTTCCTTATGTGACAACATTTCACCAGTGTTTGACTGCAGAATGACTCAACTGGGCAATCACGAGGTGATGGCAGTGATGGGCAATGGGAACATCCTTCTTAGTATGTCTCCTCACTTTTCTGTTTCCCTTGATTCTGACTAGTTCCCAGTTGTGTTCATGGGTGCCACCCTGGCAGAGCGCAGACAATGTTATCAGCAGTTAACACCCACCTTCGGGCAGCTACACAACATCAGCCAATCTTTCACGCTGCCAAACCAACAACCGTATGTCAGTAGTCATCTGCCTTGGGCCATTTATTTTCACTCAGCCCCAACAGCAGCTCACCACAAACCCTGTGGACTGGAAGGTCTGACATCGATCCCCATCAACTCAGTTCACTGTTGTTGAGTGCTGTGAGCCGGACAAGAAAGCGCTTGAGGTTTGTTGCTTTCCTTGCTTCCATTCTGTTCGCCCTAATCACCAATGTAGAACACTTCAATTCACGCCATTGCAGGTCTTTTCGAGCTCTGGACTATTGTAAGGTAGGTTGTTCTTGATGGGTTCTTAATGCTGTATGTTAATCCGCTGCAGATACATTATTCTTTTCTTCGACTCTGGGAAGCTTCAGTTTGCCACCGCGACCAGTATGCACTTGCAGGGGCAGGAGGGGGATTTGGAAAGGTGGTGTAGGGAGTTTGTTGAAGGGGCCCATCAGGAGGTATGGATGTGTCCACACTGCATGTGGATGGCCGAGGATTGCTAGACACCATACTCATTGTTTTCTGACAACTTTGTTGCTATTGCCATACAATATATTTACTCCATTGCTTTTAAATACCAATTGCAACTGTTCTGAACTTGTCAGCTTGTTAGAGCTCATCAAGGAATCTCACAACTCAACTTGCAAGATTTTTGGGTCTACTTGTCAACTTGTGACTTGTGACTCATTTGGACTTGTTTGGGCTCATACGAGTCGAAAAAAGCCCAAACAAGTCGTGACAAGTGGAGTGTAGAAATACTAATGGGAAGTTGTTTCAGTACAGGAAATTTCAAGATTTGTGTCAGAGAGAATTGGAGACAGGAGGAACTCGGCATGCGATTTTTTCCTGGAACATGATAAACAAGAAAGAGCGTAAACTTTTTTAATTCAACATCGCTTTGGACAGCAGACAATGCATCAGTAATTAGAGTTGATTTTAAATTTGAAACCAATGACAGGCCCCTCAGGCTGTTCAGGATGACCTATGCAGAAGCGACCACACTCTTCATCATGCATCACATTGGCTGTTGAAGTGGCGAAGAGATGGTGGAAATATGTCACGCCCTATAGGGCCCAAGGAGTTGGTCATATTAGTACCAAGGGGGTGTCGGGATTAGGTAGGTCCAGCTGTCAGGCCTGAAAAAAAAAAATGGACTTCACCCAAACTTCACCTAAAAAGGAGGTTGGGGAGGTTCTGAGGAGGACCATACAACATAGTGACATTGTAGGAGTATATCGATCAATATAAAACACTCAAAACAACTTGTTATTCATTATTTTACAAAAAATCGATGATGGAGGTGGCTGTGCGATAACTCGAAATTGGCTTTCAAGTTGAAAGGCGAGGTAACGAAAGCCTGCCATTTTACACCTATATAGCACTTAACTAAATCTATAGAGGATTGAAATATATTCACAGGGATTCACAACATGCCCCAATTTTGGAACGACAGTCAACTGTGGTACAGGGGGAATGCAAAACCAGAATAAACGGCACCGGGGAGGGAAATTATGTCGAAAATATCCACCGTGATGATGTCACTATTACCATATATAGACTGGTGCCTGATTACGTAGTAGGTAGGTCGACCTCTCGCTGCTGAAAAAAAAAATTCGACCCTAGGTCTCTTTTTTTAATCCCGACACCCCCTTGATTAGTACAGTACTCTGTACTTGTCAATGTCCAACATGTATTCCTCTTGCTAGGAGCTTTCCGTGACATTGTTTCCAACATGCACATCTATGTTCATTCTCTCACTCTTTCAAGAGGCTCTTGCCAGGGTACTCCCAAAATATCGAATATCTCTTCCTCAGTCTCAGAAGCAACCAACTTGCCTAGAAAATGTTATAACCTTGAGCGCTACCTCAGACAAAAATACTGGAAAGCAGACCAGCATTCATTTTGATGCGACGGTCGTGAGGATCACGAATTACGTTGCCGAATAAACCTCTTTGGTTCAGTGAGTACCCTAAAGCATTGGCCTTCAGACGCATTGCACGATTAAACTAGAGGTGAAAGGGTTGACGGCCATGTCACGAATGAAGAGCGTTCAACGCACGATATCATCTCCCTGGAGAGAGATATTGAGCCGTTGTGCGTGCGCTTGTTTTGACAGAAGGCAACTCACCGTATAGTACAATAACGCAGCTCCCCTTGATTGCCATGGTACCGTCAAGAAATCTATACGGCGATATTTTGACCCCTTCACGTCGGGTAGACAACAAAGCCCTCGATATGTAGCTTCAAGACCATCCGAGTCTTCTGGAAGAGCAAGATCTTCAACAATTATGCCAGCCCCGCGAAGAGCCTTTAGAAGCCGAGGTAGGATGCCTAAACAGATAATATTGAACCAAAACCTTCACAACGTAAGTCAAACCTGCCTGCATGAGTTTTACCATCCTTGGTCGAACGCGTTAATAACACATCAATGTCCCCACAATCCATCTTTCCCCTAAAATTAAAAAGTTGTTAAAAAAGTTCACTACTGCCATGAAAATCTCGTTGACCTGCGATAGCTTCCCATTATTTCGAAAAAAAGTTGAGGGTCAATAGAGAGTGCTGCAAAGTAATGAGGCTCGCTGAAAAACTGACGACATGAAGAGGTTGAAACCTATGGGCTTGATCAGGTCAAAAATGGCTTTCGCCTCGATTCGAGGCATGCGATCATTGATGTCTGTTTGTAAGATAAGCGTAGTATGAGGCGTAAAGTTGGCATTGGCACCATCATAGAAGCGAATGCCGATTTCTTGAGCGCGCGATAGTGAAACACCAAATTTACCAGCCGATATGTCATCAAGGGTGCGACAGCCAGCTGCATACCACTTGAAAGCAGTTGAGCGGCCTATGAAACGAGAGACGAATTTACGCCTTCTTTCGCGAACTTGATAAAAATGACGCACCAACGCCGTAAATACCCTGAAATAGGCGTGTTGATTTCACTTCGTCTGTCCTCTCATATCGTATGCGACGGAGTTCTCCTGTCTCTAAGATCTCTTCGATCTACGGCAATAAAATGTCAGTAGATTGACGATGGGATATCGATGGGTGTGGCAACCTTCCGGGCCGTTCTTTCTCCAACCCCGCGGATGTTGCGAGCTTCAGCGTAGGAGTTGAGTCGCTTTGGATAATTTCGCAATGCGCGGATAGCTTGGGATTATGTTGAGGATAAGTTGACTAAACGGGAGCAGATTCCAATACATTTATTATAGCTGAATGCTCTCCAGCGATCTTCGTCGCCCATCTTTGCCTCGTGGAGTTCCATAAGCTCTGTCAACTAAGCGTGCCTGTAAGCGCTTAAAAACTGCTCAGGCGCCAACTCGACTCAACCTTGTTAATGATGTTTTGGTTTACTACAGTTGTTTTTTGCACTTCCTTGTTATCGCATGTCCATCCCTAGAGTAGAAGAATTTAGGGATTTTTGCAAAGCGTCCGAGAAGAACTCGCCCGTTTTGGTGCCGGGCCCCCATAAACGACCTTTTCATCTTTTTCATCTCCTTCGGAGAAGTTCTCCCCTTCGCCAGACGACAGGCACTGATGGTTATTAGCATCCAACACTCACTGCAAATCAAAAGAGTTTACAGCATCATCTCGTTCTGCTCTGGCTGAGGCATAAAATTCAGCAAGAGGGTCCTCCCATTGAAGTCTTTGGTCACTGTGCCCGATTTTGTCATCGCTTTCCGTTAAAACCGTTTCTGTCGCCCATGCTTCTGCTGGCATTCCCTGTGTACTAGAAGACGCTTCATCAACAAAAATCAAAAGGGGTATCAAATTGTAGTTCACGAAATTCGACTCATATCGGTCCTTTGATGTTTCTCTTCGATTTTATCATTCTGCGCAGAAGAGTAGTAGAGGTTTGGACCAGCCTCGATCCGATCACTGAATGCTGCGTGAATCCACAGATCCGAATGCATTCTCTCCTCAAGCTCATTCTTGTCCAAAACTTTGGCACGGCTGATGGCTGACACCATCCAAGGCCAAGCGACAGTCGGAATATGATCAGGGATTTGTCGAAGATGCTTCAACCCCATCGCTCGCAGGGTAGGACGTGTTTGTGCGTCAGTAATGACAAGTGTCACGACGCTTGGGTCATAAACGGGCACCAAGTTTCCTCCATGCCGCACGATCTAATTTAGCAAGACGCTCAAAATAGATTTGAAGTTCAAGTTGTCAGAACGCACCAAATCCATCCTTCCCCGTGTTGTCTTCGAAGCGTAGTTCATGTCTCCACCAGTATAGAAGACGTGCTTTCCTGACAAAAACCTCACATACTTCTTTTTAGCATTAGCAAATGGACCCTTGGTTATTTGTTCGTTCAAGCTCTGTGCGTACTCCATGGGCGTTAAAAGCCGCGGTTTTGCCTTCTTCCCCATAACAACCTTTGTTTGAGTTTTTGCAATGGACTTGTTTACCTCCGTCACTGAAATATCCTGGGGAACAAGATTCGGAGAGCTCGCACGGGTTGATGGAGATGAGGACACATAGATGATCGAAGACTTATCGGCCAGCGGCGCAGCTACTTTCCCCATTTTTGTTGGCTTCAAATCAAGTTTGACGACTTTGTCACGTCTCTTTATAGTTGTGTGATGGGCTACACGCTTCTTCACCTCCAGGAAGAGTGTACTGGCTTCAGAAACTTGATCAATAAGATGGAAACTGGATGTCAAACTTGGATCTTCAATAGGAGAAGTGGGAGGATCTTGGTTTTGGGAGTTGGATCTGTATTCGGCTATACATTTTTCCCCTTCAGCAGCATCTGTACTCTTATTCGCAGGTCGGGAAAATAAGCCTTCATTCAACGGATGAAAATTGAGCTTTGTTTTCTTCAAGACGATAGATGGATCAATACTTTCGGGGGATACTGATCTTTTTATTGACCCTTTTGAAAAAACCAATATTCTAACACACGTCAGGCGGCAGTAATTATTGCAGAAGTGAACTCACGGGCTCGCAGGTTCAGAGGGTAGGGTCAAATTTGCTTCAGAGCTGTGCACTGTTGTCAACATGGGTTTCTGTTCCAGAAAAAGATTTTCTGAAGGCATATTGAAGCCATCGTCATCCGATACAAATTGCCTTGACTCCAAATGATGAACTGATGGTGGGGAACTGGATTTCACGCTCTGAGAGTCTACTGTTGCCACATTGAAGAGACTGAGTGGGTCATTTGGAGATAATTTCATTGAAGAAATTGAGATCTCTTTATCAGTCAAAGGGATTGTCCTATGTTGAGATTTCGATACTTTCGAAAGTCTCCTGCGTTTTAGTGCAGACCCAAGTTCGGAGGGGCTACGCTTGACGCTGAATCGGTGACTAACGTCGCACGGGTTTTCTGAAACAATGGATGGTGAACTGAAATCTGTGGTAGTGTTCCCAGAGACTATGACTGCGAGATGGGAAGCGCGTCCCCGGCGTTTGGCACTGAAGATGACGGAAGTCAGATGCTATGTTTGTCTTGATCATGGACCACGACGCACCTTGCAATTTTGGAGATGCGATTGAGATAATTGTGGATATCTTCATCTGGTAGGTTAATTCGGCTCTCTTGCTCGGCAAAAAATTGCTCAAGATCATCCATACTTATAGTGGTTCAAGGTCAGGAGTTGAAATTTCGATTATTAAGCCAGCCGCTCGCTGACGAGTGCTGATGGCAGTGCTTTTCCATCCCTACCAATACCACCAACATGGACGAGCTCGTCAACCCCAAATCCCCGCTCTCAGCGACGTCGGTGACGCCAGAGTCAGTCACGGGTACCGACTTGTCCTTTTCTCAAGCTCTTCACCAGACCGCGGATGCAGCAGAGGTGAGCAGTTCTCAATTCAATATTCAAGTTTGAGTACCTTGACGATGCTGATGACGGCCACCAGACAAATATCTTCGTAGCTGCTCAGCGAGGAGACCTTGGTCTCATAAAGCAGCTCATAGAATCTGGAGAGGCTAGTGCCACCGACCGCGATGACCAGAGCATTACCCCGCTCCATTGGGCGGCAATTAACGCCCATGTGGCTGCGTGTCGTTATCTGCTCGAGCAAGGTGCGGAGGTAGACGCCCAGGGTGGAGATCTTGTCGCCACGCCGATGCAATGGGCGGCGCGCAACGGATACCTTTATGTCATCCACCTGCTCATAAATCATAATGCTGACCCCACCATCACCGACTCCCAAGGGTACAACTCGCTGCACCTTGTTACTCATTCCTCTTCCATCATGCCCCTTCTATATCTTTTACATCAACCCATTAACGTCGACTCTCGTGACTCTCAAGGACACACATCCTTGATGTGGGCTGCATACCAAGGAGATGCTCTTTCTGTTGACTTGCTCCTCCGTCACGGCGCCAACCCTAATCTGAAGGACGATGCAGGGCTATCGCCGTTACATTGGGCTGTTGTACGCGGAAATAGAGTGTGCATACGAAGGTTGGTCGAGAAAGGTGCAGACTTGACGGCCAAAGACGGTGAGGACCGAACGCCGAGAGATATGGCTGTGGAGTTGAAGAGCCTGGGGGCGTGGAAGCGGGCTTTGGAGGAGGGTGGAATGGATGAATATGGCGTCAAACGAGATAAACCTCTCAGCGATGTATGTCCATTTGCAAGCCTGTCCCTTATTTCCCTTAACACGCCGAATCACAGCGAAACACGAAAATTATGATATTTCTATTGCCGACAATATTCTTTTACCTTATGTTCATGACATTGACGATCTTACCTTGGTATACCGGAATTCTTCTTGCTATGGCAGAGTTCTTTGGAATGCACCACGTAAGTCACGTCTTTGCAATCTTTTTGTCATTAGCCGACTGCATTAATACCAGATTGTTACCCGCGTTCTCCTTAACAAGTCTACTTATACTGACACCGTCAGCCAAACACCATATTTTGCTGGAATAATTTCCGGATCCATAATTTGGGTCGTGTATTGTTGGTTAACACGGCTTGTGCAACGTCGGTCAATTCCTGCTTTCATCTGTCACTATTCTGATGTTCTCTCGCAGAGGCCCAATCCCACTCCATATCACATCTAATGTTTGCGTTAACAGTCGGGCTTTGCGCATATAACTTCTTTCGGGCCGTTACTCTTGATCCTGGCACTTGTCCCAAACCAACAAGTGACGAAGAGTTAAAATCTGTTGGTTCTTGGTTAGAATTTTTGTGACCAATTTTACTTATGCTTCATAGATCATCGAGGATCTTGCATCTGAAGGCCGTCTCAATGGTCAAACATTCTGCATCCAGTGCATGGCCCGTAAACCTTTAAGGTCAAAACATTGCCGTGTATGCGACAAGTGCGTCGCGAGAAGTGATCAGTATGTGTACCCCCCGTCCTGAGGCCGTCCACACATCTAAAAATGATTGATCAACAGTCATTGTCCTTGGGTGTGGAACTGTGGTAAGTTGTTGCCCGATGTTGAGTCTGTACCCTATTGAACCGCGTTAGTGGGATCAAATAACCATCGTCAATTCCTTCTTTTCGTGTCAACATTGGTCATTGGGATCGTCATTTTCGATTACCTCACCTATGCTTGTAAGTTGTTCTGATTAGCTCATTGTCTAGTTCATCCATGATGACACTACTGCAGTTTTCTCCAGTGCTCCTGTACCTACCCATCCATCCGATATCTCACCCTCTTGCCCACTGCCGGCCAATCTCTGCGCCATCAGTGCTTATGACTCCTTCCTCATTTCTGTCGCCGCCTGGGCCACCCTCCAGCTCTCCTGGACAGTCGTTCTCCTTGCCTCCCAGCTCTGGCAAGTCGCCCGACAAATGACCACTCTGGAAGTATCCAATCTCGGACGATATGGTTTCATGGGTGGGCGTGGCGGTGCCAGCCTCAGTGGGCAAATGGGCCACCGGCACCATCACCGGGGTTCTGTCATGGGTGTCCCTGGGCTGGACACAGAAGACACTGCTCTGGTCGGTAGCGACATGAGCTCCGCTTCTTCTGGTGCTGTTCATCGACATTCTGGAATGTGTGCGGGGTGTGGGAGTGGGTTCTTGATGAATCTGTTGGGATTTGATCGGTTCACAAAAGGGAAGGCAGTAGATGGGCTTGCGATGGCGGGTAAAGCTAGCAATCCGTTCGATCTCGGGGTGGTTGGAAATTGCAAAGACTTCTGGACGGCAGGGAGAGAACTAGGTGTTGAATATGAGAAGCTGTATGATGTACCACTTGAGGGTTTCCGGGAGGCAAAGAGGAGGAGGGAGAGAGAAGAAGACGATGAAGGTGGAAGAAAGCCGATGAGGAAAGGTTTGTTTATGGGCTTATCCTTAGGGAGGTCAGGCAGTAGTCGTAGTGGGTATGAGCCTGTTAGCCAAGTTTAACCGTTAACGGTGATGTGCCAAGTTATTGACACACATCGGCTCTTCACTGGCGCAGAAGGAAGTGAACATGCTGGAAAGAACATTCTCTTAAATTATCCCTCAGATCTTAGCGTTGACTTCAGCGTTCGAAAATTGTCCGTAATGATGACTTGAACAAAAACCAGGGAAAGCTATGATTCTTTATCTACTGTAAGTAACCATCCTCACATGGAGACCGAGGCATAGCCAAAACTAGAACCCTCCAAGCCCCTGGCGATAAGAGTAAATTGTTGTGCCGCCTCTCTTATCCGCTTAAGTGATCGTGAGCTACGAAGTTAAGTGTCAATCATAGCTTCAAAAAAAAAAAAAGAAATTTGGTACATACCCAGCAACTGCTTTGATGAACTTTTCCTTGACCTCAGGACCTGCTTTGCTAGGTACAAAATCGGGCTACTCCGGTTTTTTCATCGGCAACGTGCGATGGATGACGAGGCAAAGAGTGCAACATACCGAGAATAAAATCTCTCGCATCCATTCCCCAGCTATTCCAGACCCGCCGTCTACCCCGCTTGAACGATTAATGAGTGTTCCCAGCATCTCAATAAGGTTTGGGACGGCACTTCTGGGTGCCACACCTGCAAATCCTTGTAGGACGGCTCGCATCAAGGCACGGCCATGCTTAGCCATCAGTAATGACTTAGGCCCTGAGAGCTCATCGACTACCGAGCTGCGGTGAATAAGCGTTGACTATACCCATAAGACCTGTGAGATAACGCCTGCGCAACGTGAACCAGGAACGACGCACGAGAAAGTTGCATGCAGCCACAAGAGAGTATCGTTCTTGCAAAGAGAGCGATGTTGTAGCACATTGCATTAAAGCGTCAAGCAAACCTGGAGATATCGCGTAGAAGGCACCTATGAAATCTTGTCCGACCTAAGCGGGTGAGGGAAAAGAAACATGAGTTGATACGATGTATTACTGGGCTTCACCCACCCTATCCATACAAGCGAAAAATTCCTGAACAATATCCGGATTCTAGATCAACTCATATGTCAGTGGAATGGAAGAAGCTCGAGACACATCAACTGACGAGTTCCATGGCCCCTGCGGCCCCTAACAACCCCAGGCCGCACTGGAGAAGCATTGGTAATGCACTTGCAACGACTGTCTCTGCCTCCGGACTGGGTCTCGCCTTGAGAGTCAACACGAACACAGGAGGGTTGAGTTGCGCGATGAGAATAGCTGCAAGAGACAGCCATGCTGCGGTGAGCTGTCTTTCCGCTGCGATGCAGACTAACTCAAGAAGAGGTCCTGCAGGAAGAGAGATGAGAGTGACGTCACCCGGGAGGCAGGTGATAGACTTGAAGAGGTCGCTTAACGCCTATTTGGGAGCATTCAGATGATAGCTAGTTGGTATGAAGGTGCTCAAACTCACATGATTGATTCCCGCATCTGTCGACCATAAGTCAACTACACTTCGGATACAAGAAAAAATATTATCCCGGAGTTTGAGGGCCCTTGGATCTTCTCGAGCAATGTTAATTTTTTCTGCCTCAATTTTGGCGGCATGGTCGTCATCAATTTCTAGGATGCCATCTGCAGTTCGAGTTAAACCCTTGGCTACACCCGAAAGAACTTCAAGTTGGAGAATTGTGAGGTTTCGAGCTTCCTCAGGTAGCTACAAGGCGGAGAGAAACGTGATATTGAAGTGCGGAAGACAGAAGGGAAAACATACCGTGCTGGAGAGCTGCAAGGCACTACCCAGTTTTTGGATGATGGGGTGGACAACCGCCTGGAACACCACAAACATCAACGCTGTAGGTTTCAGTAGACATGTGTTTTACCTCAATTGGAGGAATTCCATCGACAGGCGGCAATGCCTGAATGACACTCGCAATGGATTGTAATACTTTGCTCTTCTCCGAATCCTAGAACCCCCTTTGAGCTAAAGCGATTTAGGGGAAGCCTGACAACTTACCGTTATCTGTTCTAAACCATCATGCAGCCGTCCAAAGGCAACGATGTGCGGAGCCAACGCTTTCCGGTTCGCATCACATAAGTTCCGCAAAGCGGTTGCAGCTTGAAGGGATAGTGATGCATCCGGGAGAGCAGCAACAACATAGTTGAGGACAGTCAACAACATATTTGGTTCTGGAGATGTTTGAAGCTGGGTCGGTTGTGTAGCGAACCAGGATGAGTAGGCACCTGAGCGTAAGATAAAAGCAGGTAAAAAAGGTATTGAGAAACAAAGCAATCTCACCAATGAGGTACAAGGTTGTACGTCGGATGCGGTTATAACCCTCTGACGGTAGTCTACCAAGTATTTCTGGACTGAACAGTCGCGATAGGTGGGATGCTTTCTCTAGATCGAGTGCTTCCTGTATCGACATGATGCAGTGAAGGGTGGCCTCAATCTCCTATTCAACACCGAAGTAAGCTTAGTCGCATTATAAGCATCTGGGATTACTTGCATTCCAATCTTGATTTGTGGCAAGTCGGTCAGAGATATCATTCACGTAGAAACGGAGCATATCATCTCGCAGCACGTAATATCTGACAGGATGTGTGAGTCAAATCGGTGGCATGAGCGAGAAGCGACGTACGCATTGATAAGTGTATCACCAACATCCCTTCGATAGCTGAGAATAAGTTAGTTGTTTTACTGTCCCTTATCCAACGGCAACGAGGAGAGTTGCCTACACTTGAAATTTCTCAATCTGATCTATTTGGCGAAAAGGTCAGCTCTGGCAGACCACCAAGAAGACAACAACACGTACCCTTTGACCATCCACTTTTCAAGGGCGGAAAAGCTACTTTTCGCCGCAAAACCTGTACGAGCTCGATGTATACAGTCTTTGCCATCACAATGTGAGCGGCATCCTTCCTGGCGGGAGGCGGAGTATTGCCATCACCATCACTTTCGCACTCCGGGAAGTAGAAATCCGTACTCCACAAGGCTTCTTGAAACAGATACCAAAATCCGAGTGTCATCTCACTCTCTTCCTCGTCGACGCCATAGTATCCGGAAAGTCCTGTATACGCTAGAAGCAGTCGTAGAAAGGTCTGTGTGAGATGCCCTTTAGTTCTTGGTGGGTTTTGGCCCACGACCCCCACAGAAGATATGTGAGCGGCAATGTAAGATGTTGAATGATCACCAAGCGCTACCAGAAGTTTGCAGAGTGAATGGGAGACTTCGGTAACCTCTCCAGTCAGCAGCATTGACTCTACAATGTCGCTACCCACTGAGTCGAGCCAGAGCAACAAGGGTTCCGTAAAGGTCTTATCGCAGGACCCATCCGAAAAGGCCGATTTTGAAGCAATTTCTTGTAGGGCATCGGAGGAAGCTACAAAAATGGTGCAATCACCGGCAGGATTGAGAAGGGCAAGGAGCATTGCAATCATGGGTGCGAGGTCACTGCGGTCTCAAGATGGGTAAATTGTGGAAGGCATAGTGTGATAGATGGCTGCTAACTTTGAGCGAAGGATTACCATCCACGCTTGAAGGCAACGGAGAGCAGACTGGACTTGCCGAGGAGGTGTTACTCCAGGAACTGGGTTGATCGACACCGTGATTGCTTGCATCACCATCGGGGTTACGTCTGTCAATGATTGTTGCATCTGAATTCTGCATGTTTGTTATGATTGGTGTGATAAGTTTAGCAGGAGAGGGAAATGACTCACTTACTCGATCCTATGAGATCTGCATTTCCCACTTCTTCCGCGACGATGGACAGAAAATTATGTATATGCTCCATAGGTGCCCCATAACTGGAGAACGATGAAACACAGGCCATGATCCAATCAGGCCAGCGAGTGGGGTGTCCTGGTACGAGTTTGAGAGCCAGAGAAGTGAGCTGGATGGGGTCGATGAGCAATGCGATATATGCGGATACGAGTGCGTACAGCGACGAAAAGCTTTCGAAGAATGAAGGCGCTATGGCCATTGGAAATCGAATGGGCCGTTAATTGCACCATGGCGTCTCGAAGGGCCTCTGCGTGTTCCGGTGGAAAGAAATCCCTTTGAAGGTACGGATTAATGTGCGTTTGGGGAGCCCTCTTGAGGACTCACCAATCTCTTGCTATCTTCACCTGCGCCGTATGGGCTCCAAAGAATTGTACATTCTGGTCTTCGTGATCTAACAACGGTATAACAAGCCCCCAAGCTTCTGGGCGTTTCTGTATCTCAAAAAGCTCGTGTTGTAAACGCTTTAGGTCGTCCGGAGTCGTCTTGGGCGTCGGTGGCGCGTAGGCGTGTTGTATTAGCTGTTTCCAACGTTGAAGGTTTCGAGCACCGAAATTGGCGCGCAACGACGAACCTGGGAAGCCCGCTCAACGTCCTGGATAGGCAGGGTAGGAAGGAAGCTTGTGTCTACGGTCATCGATGGTTGTGAATGACCAGAGTTACGATGGAATGGTGATGGGCGAGAGTAAAGGCAATGTCACGACATAGAGTTGTTGAGATTGTATAATGACTGTGTAATCATTACTGTGATATAATGTAAAGGTCCGACGCAGGGTGAAAAATAGGCGAAACCTGAAGAAAAAAGATTTCTTCCAAGGGGATAAATAAGTTATAAGTAAAGCAAGACAGCCGGGGTGATTGCATCGTAGAATGACTATGTTTCGTTCTCCATGTTCTCCTTCTCATACTTTTTCTTCATCACGCTCACTAATGTAAAAGTTAGCCTTAGTTTCGTCGTATTTACAGAGGGGGATGTACCGTCTCTTGATATTTGGCCTGATGACATCCAACCCTCAGGAAATGCAGCTACGATCTGGCTCATAAATCATGTAAGTATTCCAAAGGGAAAATCAACGGCCAAACCTTTTGGTAAAGAACCTTCCTCAAACCTTGCTCGCTAACCTGGATCATTGAGCCCTCGTATGTGCTATGACAAGCATCGGTCAGTTGGTATCTCGGTTCACCGAAACACTCACTTCTTTTCATTCTCCAGTCGGCAACACTCGTTACTCAGTAGAACCAAATTCCATACAATATTCTTCATCGTCTCAGTCATGCGGAACCGTTTCGCGGGAGGGTGTTGACCATGATCTTTACCCTCCTTGCCACCCTCACCGTCCCCGTCAGTACCTGGCGCGCCTGTGCCCCCCACAGTTTGCTGTTGTTGATCGACATCCATCTCCTCTGTAGGATGCCGTGTGGGTCCGGAAGAGGTTGTTCCAGCACCCGTGCCCGCAGCGGTGCCGTTCGCTGCTTCGGCTGCTTCTGCACGGAGCTTCTCTTGCCGGCGATCTGCGTAAGCAAGAAGGTGAGTAGGCGTAGACAGTAGAGAGAGGGGAAACATACCCCATGCTACAACACTTCGCTCCCATTCTTCTTCCGCCTTTGCGAAGCCAAGACGTGCCAATTCGGCGAGTTCGTTGAGAAGTATTTCTTGTCTCTCGACGAGGAGTGCGACGTGGTCCGTGTATACAGTCCGTTTTATAAGCTTCTAAGGAAGGTTGGCAGTGGTAAGTAGAAACAAAAGGAGGCACTCACGGTCATGGTAAATTTGTTATATGGGAATAATGTGGGCATGAGGTTGAAAAAGTGGTCGTCGTATTCATCTAGCTTTATGGCTAGTAAAGCAAGTTGTGCAAGCTGAGGCTTGAGAGCTGGCGGAAATTTGCCCTTCTGTGCCCACGACTCTGATACAGGTGGGTTGGAAAGGTAGGCTGAGAAAGGGAATAAAACTGACCTTGAGCGATGGCCTGCTTGATGCTTTCGATACCGACTTGTAAATCTGGATGGAATGAATGAATGTTAACAATTTTCCTCTTCTTCCCGCCCTCTACAACAGTAATATACCGCTTTCTCTTCTGACCAGCATGCTCGTCACCTGCCTCGAGATCCTCATCTGCAGGCAGCTCCTTCTTAACCTCTGAGTCTGAGACGGTAGGGACGGGGCTATTGCGAATGCCTTCTGTAAGGGTGGGAGGGTTCAGGGCGGTCGCGAGTGAGGGCTTCTTGGACTTTGGCTTCTTGGGAGACTTGTCCTTGACAAGGGCGACCTCACCGCTGGAAACATAGAAACCCTGTTGTTTAGTCTGGCCGAACCATTTGCGCTGGTCGACAGCAAGTTCTGAGTCATCGATGAATGGGTCGGAGGTGTCGTATTCTTCATGAGTTATCTTCTTTTTCTTTTGTATGGAGATAAGCGCAACGACGAGGTTACTTCTAAAATGGAAAGGAGTACCTTTTTGCTTTTCGGCTTTGTACCATCTTTGGTCTTGTCCTCCTCTTCGCTTTCGCTAGATTCGATCTTCTTGATATCTATGGGAATGGGAGTGGGAGTTGGGGGTCGCTGGCCGGTCTCTCTAGCTTGCCTGGCGATGTCAACCTCGTAATTGCTCGGGCCGCCAAGACAAATCTTGAGGCGGATGGTCTGAAGCTGAGGCGGTGGTGGTGGGGGAGGCGGGGATCGGGACGGGGAGCGGGGTTTGGGTTTGGCGGACTTTGGTTTCAGAGTGGGTGTAGCAGCGGGGTTAGGTGGTGGTTCGAGGATGCCTGGTGAAATACTGTTGTGTACAAGAACGGGAACGGAGATGGGTCCGCTGGGTGAGCTGGTCGCGCTGTTTCTAATTGAGATGATGCCGTCGTGATCATCGTCGATGCCATGGTCGTCAATGCCATGATCGTCAATGACATGGTCGTCGTCGTCATCATCAGCCGAATTTACATCTTCTTCTTCACGGTCGTCATGGTTGATTATAACGGCGAGCGACGAGCGGCTACTGGCTGGAGTCGAGGAAGAAGATGCTTTCAACTCGTTCATCTCAACGTCAGAGGCCATTTCGAGAGAGACAAATATTTACATACGCACACTTCACCAAATGTCACCGTCACGTGTTCAATCCACACCTGTCACAGCACCATGGCGGACGACGACTTGGCTAGGTTGCTTGATTCTGTTCTAAACTCTAATTAGTCTTAATTAGTTCCAACAGCGCCATCGCCCTCAGCTTGCAAGAATCGAACCTGAACACCAGGGCTCCGATAATGGTCGAAAGTGGCGAAGAGGACGACCAGGAATTACAGTTCCAAGCTGACCTCAAACGAGCGCTAGAAGCATCAAAATCTGAATTGTCGCGTGAGGCCAGGTCACAGTCCAATTCAGAATCCTCAACAAATTTGTCGCGAGTGACTGCAGATGTTGGGGGATCCACTAGCTCCAACGCGTTCACCTTCTTGGCAGATAGAGCTCAAATGGAGAAGGAAAGGCAGGAGCGGCAACGTCGCCTTTTCAAGCAACAAGGGAAAATGACCGCTCATCGCGAAGAGGACAACAATGACTCTGATGTTGAAGAACCATGTGCTAAACGACCACGTCTTACTGCGTCCCACTCCATCAACTCCTCTGGCAGAAATTCAAGAGCCTCTCCTTCATCTACTTCAGGTACTGATTCCATTTTTTGGAATGGGGAGTTCAGACAGACAGCCACTCGTCATGCTGATCCCAGGAAGGATAACATGGCGACATTCCGGTTAACAGAGGTCCTTGGACAGGTTGCGTAATCTTATTGTGTTCGATGACATGACTTTTAAGCCTTGGTTCTCAGAAAAAAGACATAGCATTTGCAATCCTATCATCATATTCGTTGGATTGGATGTGGATATACCAGTTTTTCGATCCCGCCACTCCAGTGATCATGGTTGCCCAACCCGATCAAACTGGTCGAGCTATCATCAAGAATGTCCTTCCACACTGGATTAAGACAACGCCATACCTACGCGGCGGCCATGGCTGCCAACACATGAAGGTGACTTTTTTCTATTTTCTCAACGTTGTCGTAACTTATTTCGGAATTCTTAGTTCATGTTGGTGCGTGCGGCGTTAGGTTGGTTCGACTGTACCCATTACCCAGCTTTTTCCTAGCTTTTTTACAGGAATGGACGCCTCCGTGTCGTGGTTTCGACGGCCAACTTGATTGAGTACGATTGGCGTGACATGGAAAACGTAACATTCTAGACTCCGGAATTGAATGCATCTCTCACGCATTGATAGTCTGTATGGCTTCAAGATGTGCCCTTGCGTTCTTCTCCCATTCCTCACGACCCAAAAGCGACCAATGACTTTCCTTCAATTATTCAACGTGTGCTTAACTCCCTCAATGTCAAACCAGCGCTCGTAGCAATGATCAATGATAATGTCATTCACATATTATCCGCATTCCTTTATGCCGCTTAATGGCCCTATACGCAGCACCCGAACTTGGCCCTTAAAAGCATAGAGGACTTACGATGCCGCTGGGATTGGTCCAAGGTCAAGGTTCATTTGGTGCCCTCTATTGCTGGTAAGCACGAAGGGTGGCCAGCTGTCATAAAGTTCGTGCATACCATATGCCACACAGGTTGGCCTTGACATTGATCGATTCGTTGAAGGACTGGCCACCCCAGGCTTATGATGGCTGTCCGTGAAATGGCTATGCGGACAGGTAAAGGAAAGGCCAAGGAGCTCATCCTTGAATGTCAGGTGGGTTCTCCTCTTTGCTTACGTGTTTTCAATAATGTCCTCTTCGGACAGGGATCAAGCCTAGGAATATATACAACTCAATGGATGAACGAGTTTCACTGGTCTGCACGCGGTGAATCGGCCGAGGATTGGCTTGATGAGCCCAAGAAACGACGCGAGAAGCTTCCGTACCCGCCTATCAAAATCTTCTTTCCTTCCAAGCGAACTGTTCAAGAAAGTGCCCTCGGCGAGAAGGTATTTCCCCTTTTGATGATTTATCAGAAATCAGCTGATGCCCGCGCATGGACTTAGGGTGGAGGTACGATCTTTTGTAGGCGGAAACAGTGGAGCACAAAAAACTTTCCGAGGGACCACTTCTACGACTCAAAAAGCAAAGGCGGACCTGTTCTCATGCACTCAAAGGTACCTCTGTTTCCCCGTGATGCCTTTTTTTTCTGACGCTGGGCTTAGATGATTATTGCCACGCACCAGGAAACAACACGGAAAACTTTACAAGCCGCGGAATCGAGTTCGGAAGAAGACGACGACATCGAAGTGGTTGACCCACCTCTTGGCTGGTCATACTTGGGATCGCACAATTTTACCCCTTCCGCATGGGGCAATTTGTCAGGTTCCTCGTTTAACCCAGTTCTTAATGTAAGTTTGCTTGAATCTCCGTCAATTATGATGTGACACTTTCTCACAAGATCGCGAACTACGAGCTTGGGATAGTTTTTCCTGTGAAAGACGCTGCGGAAGCCGATAAAGTCGCTTGCTGGCAACGCCCACCGAGAAAGTATACAACGAAAGACGAACCCTGGGTAGGCCGACCTCAAGTTTTTCTCACTCGACCCACCCTCACGAAGCAATTTTTTCGCAGATGCAAGAGGAATCTGTTTATCACCAATCATGAGCGCGCTGCTGATAGGCGTGGAGCTTCTGTCGTTCTAGAGTGGTATCGCTTAAAAACTGGACCCTCGCATATTGCATTATTATTTTCAATTACCTGCTGCAAGGGACAATTGCTTGATTGAGCGGAGCGGGTGAAAGATCAGATGAATATTTGTATTCTTCATCAGGCTAAAAGGTTCAATTCCCCAGTTTTGATTTGACATTTTTTTTTGGTTGGCAAGTACAAGATTTTGAATACAACCAAAATACAACAAGCAGTTGAAGCGTCATTTGGCAATGCCTTGCAGACAACGAAGAGGAATGTTATATATTTTACAGGATCCGTCACACACTTCGCTCGCTTGCTATATTCGCCCTTGTTTGGGGTGAGTGTTCATTATTCTCATCAATCTTGATCAAATATCGAAAAATTAGAACTGGTGTTGTTATATCCACAGCCAATGTGAGTACCAAGATGAACTGGCCAATTGTGATATTGGAGCAAGTGTTAATGTTATACATCGATAATGCAGGCGATAGCAGAAAGAATATGGCTACAATGAGTAATTATGATGGAATGTAAAGTATCTAATTAATAAGTTAATAAGTCAAGATGTGTTGCAATGATATCTATACTATGTGAATGTTTGTGAAAATATGTGGTCTAGTCTCGTCTTGAAAGCTTCTTCGACAGCTTTCCGCCGGATGTTCCCCTTGGTCGCCGTTCGAGGGAGCGTTTGCCGCGGGACAACAACAATCATGTTGACAGACGTGATGCGTTCATGGAGGTAGCGCCTCGAATGAAAGTGGCGAGTCTTCCGAATGATCTCCTTCTTGAGTTTATTGTGATCCATTTCGACGGAAGGCTCAACGAACATGACAGGAGAGGGCCGTCCAGATCCTACCACTATGCATTCCGCGATGAGGTTTCCACACGTCCGTCGCGCGTTATCTTCGATGGCTTTCGTATCGCATCGCAAGCTATTTTCCGACTTGATCCAGTCATCATCTCGACCACGCGAGATGTACCAGCCTTGGACAACCTCTTGAAACAGGTCGCCGGTGTGGAAGTTGCCATCTGCGTGCCTCAGCGATGCATGGGGGCAGTCAGGTGAGTCGGCGAGAATGACAAGCTCGTATAGAGCTGATGTTGATTGATGGACCACATCGGCTTGCGTTGGTCCAGTGGGGACAAAGGCGTATGACGTATTTTCCAACGGGCGAAGCAATGCCGGATTTTTTTCGTGTCCTCCAGACAAAAGCATTCCACCGATCTCTGTACTGCCGAACAGATTCTAGAAAGGACATGAGTAAGTAAGCGGCTGTCAAAAGATTAAACGCACTCTAAGCTTGATGCCGTTTTTAAATGCCCATTGCTCGTCCTCATCAGACAGGGGAACTCCCGTATAAACAACCTCATCAAGGCTAGTCAAAAATGACAGGAGTTTGGGGTCTTGTCGAGAATTTTGGAGGTGCTTGCCAAGAAAAGAGCCGAACTGATTCAGGCGGTTGAGGTCGCATCGGAGCATCATGTCGATAAGCTCCTCCGATGAAAAGTTTAGAGTTGTCGGTTGGACAACGCAGGACCCATGCTGGAGGGTACCGATAAACACTGAACAGAAGACAATCAGCTGCGGCAAACGAAATCGAGAAAAGCGAAACTTACTGAATGTCTGCGCAATGTGGCACATGCTTCCACTAGAAAGTATGCTTTGATTAGAACACGATGTAGTAAAAAATGTTTTTTCACTCACATAAACACTGTAACATCCTGGCGGTTGGTGGAACGCGGTTGACTAATGATATATGACTTGTTGATTACAGTCTGCAGCCAGCGGTAGCTGCAGTGCACCAGTTTCGGGCTTCCAGAAGTTGAGCCGCTGGTGTGGAAGATGAATGCAATCTCGTCGTCATCGTGTATTGATGCAAGGTCAAGAATCGGTTCGTCCACGAAATTGATGTTCTCTGAGGATAGGGCGCGGTGGATGGGTAGAGGACAGTTTCCAATTATCGACTCGAACGAGGGATCGTAGACCAGCACGCTGGCTCCAGCCTTGTGCAGCAGTTCGTAAACCACTGTGGGGTTCGGGAGTCTTATACTAAAGAGCTGGGGAATATATCCAGCCCGCGAAATTCCATAAATATGGAGAACGTCCACATAGGTGAAGCCGCTTAACCTAAATGGACTATTAGTTTGTTTGTTTTTCCTTCCCATGAGGTAGATGTTACTTACCACAGTCCTACCACCGACCGAGATGGCACACCATCGTTGCGGAACGTTCGAGTCCAATGACGAGCAAAAAGTTCGACATCGCGATGGAACTGGTGATATGTGATGGTGCGCCAAGTATCAACGCCACCCGATGAGTTTAATTGAGGTGTCCTTAAGAGGGGAGAGTGCGCGTATGTCGACGCGCTCAGTTCCAAAATGTCGAGGTGTGAACTGACCATTGCCAGAAAGGTGAGGATAGGGATGAACGGGACAGAGTTGATCGGGTATACCTTAAATACTAAAACGACTGGCTCAGTGGAAGCGAGTCAGATGCGGAAGCCCAAATAGTGGGTGATCTCTGCCAACGGATAGTTGTCAAGTCTGAGATGATTGAATAGCCTCCTTCCAGAAACGTATCTTGAAACTTGGGGTGCCGTGGCAGGTACGACGCGCCCGTAGAGTGATAATGGATTGCGGACGCGATCTGACTCAGTCCGAGCGTCGGGTTACGCATTCACTGTGCTGGAAGTTGAGTCAGCATCTCCTTGGAAATCAAATTGTACCTCAGGCCAAGGGGGTGGAGATGTTGAAACGAGTCAAGATCAGAGATGGGTAACAGCCATTGAGGGTGACTTGTAACACCAGTATGACTTGCTTTCACAGCAGTCTAGAATTAATCACCGCATATCTATCTGTCAGTCTCACCCATATGCTTGAGCGCTTGACTGCGTTTGAAAAAATCTCGAGCGCATCTTTCAGCCACAGCCCCTCCCTACACGTGATGGACTCTACAACGAATATATGGCAGACCAGGTTTGATCTCAACCGGAGGCTGTTCATTGCCGACCGAGGGAGTCCATGTTTAACGGAAAACTGGGGGCGACGAGCAAGGGGCTGGAAGGAGATGTGCAAGGAGGCAGTGGAACACCAAAGTCACAAGGGATTCAACATTTTCAATAGAACAAAAGTTGGTCACGTGTACTACAACAAGCCAAGTCGTTAGACTTGGTTAGACGGCTGATGGTCCAGCCAACTCTGTTGAACTGATACTCGAGTTACTTCCACTAAATCTGTCCAGCGGGTCCGGGGAGTCAACCTGCTTTTCAGAATGGGTGGTAATTTTGACACTAGCGACTTGTCGCCCATTTCGAATTGAACCTTGCGCCGTCTGAGTCTCAAAGTGTGTACCATCGGAGACCTTCGTTGGCATATCATGAGTGCGAGTGACAATCGCACAAAAGATAATCCCCTAGTCATGAAATCCACTGGGTGATTGCCATAATACACTGGAAGCTGAACCTTACTATGATTGGATTGGTCTAGAGAATATGACGTTTAATCAAATCAATCGACTAGAGCAAATGGAGAAGCTCACAGCACCGACAGTGATAAGCACTAGATTGGAACTTGCGATGTACGTCGCCAAAGACAGGATAAGACAGAAACTTTTTTTTGTCGCTGAGAAACGTCGTACGAAACTTGATGAGTTGACCTACCTATACAGCGCCGCACTCTGAACAAGAATTTCCATAATTTTCTAGAAGAGTAAAACATGTTGAGTCTTTTAAAAGGGTCTATGAGCTGAATGTTACATACATTAAACCCAACTCTTTGTGTGTGTAACCGTGCCAAGCGGCGATTTGAGAGGTAGATCTTAAAAGCGATAAGCGCTAGCAGAAATAGAAGGAGCTTCAGGCGTTGTCGCAGAAGTAAAAATCTTCACACTCACACGTAGAATACAGGTTGCATCTTTCAGTGATCATGTTGCTATGAGCGTGCGGCTAATGAACGTGATTAGCACTTACATGAGCGTCAGTGTGAAGGAGGCTGTAATCCAGGCCCCAGCCGTCGCGAAAATAGGTGCTTCCGCTGACCTAGAGAACAGGTAAGTGACCATGCTCCCCGTGACTAGTCGATATCAGTGCCGATTTGCTGTGCTCAGATATCAAAGGCTAAACTTTACCTGCCAACGACATAGACATAAGCGCAGGCGGGATGATGATATACTTGTTTCGGGCCCACACAATGTAGAGACGATAAATCTTTGCAAAATGTGAAATTTCACATCATTGTCGCTGGAGGGAGCTTACCATAAACCCATCGCCGAGAAGGGTACTAACAACATACAGAGCAGAGTTTGCAACGTTCCATGGGTTTTCTAAAGTAAGATAGGCGATTTCGGCATGGGATAACCCACTATGGTTCAATGAGGACGGATTGGAAGGTAGAATGAAGGCATCGTAAGCTTCTTTCAACTCGGTGAGCCAGTTCTGGTGTAATAAGGTCAACTTAGTATATGAAAAAAGAAACAAAACAAACCCCTGTGATGGTCAAGGACAAAACCAACGCCGTGAGTAGCATAGGTGAGAACAGTGTGCTCTGACGTTGTTTGGCACGGTACGCCAGCGCTTGTACAGTTTGCAGAAGAAGGGAACAGAAGAAGCCTATGCGTAGAGACTTGAACATGCTAATGTCGGCAAACACTCTGATGGCGCTTACCTAGAAAAGCTGTCTCCACAATGAGAGCCAAAAAATGGGAAACGTCGAGGCGAGGCCATTGGTCTATTGGCGACATTCCAAAAGCAGGGTTGAAACGTAGAAGTTGCGCAGAAGGGTGACGGCGATACTTGCGTTGAACTTCGTGGGTCCGTTCTCTGTGGCAATCGATAACGCGGACGAATTGCCCCCATAGCAGTGTTATAAAGGGTCATGATGAGAGCCTTGTTGCCTGAGACCTCGATTGGACGAAAAGGGCATACGCGTTGTTGACGCGTATTTATGGCGTAAATTCAGCAAGTTACGCCAAGTGACGCCTGATCTTTTACGGTGAGACATGACATACTGTAACATCATATAAGAGTCCTGGTAAGACATCTCACAGAGCCAGCAACGCCAACAAGGTCGTCTTCAGTCTCCTACGAAATGTTTTCGGGAGAAGTTTCGGTGAGCATCCAAGCATAAGCTTTAAAAAACATCGAGGTCCACCGCAATCTCACGGGATCGGGTGAGACCACTACGAAGGGACTACGCTGCTCGAGAGGGGTGATAATAAGTGTCCTCTACCTTCTTTTGTTCTCGCCAATGTCTCACTCATGTGCTTTCAAAACGTAGAATATACATTCGAAGCAGGCTGATATACTTCATAATGGCCACCAAAATGTGTCCACTTGAAGCTACTTATGGGCGGGGTGCAACAAATGACTCCTCAGAATAATGTGGAATGTGCATGTGGCAAGTACCCGTCGAAAGGGAATCGAAAATATACAGATGGTATCTAGGCTCCAGCGAGAGAAATTTCCTCTCTTGTAGGGAGAGCAAAAAATCCGTTTCCGATTATTCATGTTCTCTACCGCGCAAACCCTTTCGTGACAACGAACGCTCCAAGTACTGCTGAAAGCAACACTGTCGCGCCCGGAAGCAGAGAATTCATTCCAGATGTACTGGAAATCGATCCATGAGTTGTACTCCCCAAAGATCCCCTGATGTCCGCAGAATGCCCATTTGATGTTGCTAGCACCGTTGGATCAACAGTTACCGTGTTGACAGTCCTGGTGCGCGCAGTCGTTGCGAAGGTTTTCTGCGCTTGGCTTTCAGCGATCATCGGGTCAGCTGAATTCATGAAGACCAGTGCGAAACCTGGAGAAGGAACAGGAATACGGCAAACATTGGCAGTCTGGTCGCAATTAACCGTGGTGACGTTCAAAGTTCCCTTGAACCGACCGTCAACCTGGAATTTACCACCGAAATACTACTCCGCGAAAGAAGAATTAGCAGGAGGAGATAGGAGGTGTAATCATGTACCTGGCCTGCCCATGCAATGTTAGCTTTGGTGGATACAGAGTCGGATGTAAGGTATCTAGATAAAATATCAGCCAAAGCCTCTTACAACCTATAGTCACCTACTTTACTCGAACACTAGCAGGCACGCCGCCAGTATCAACAGAAACAGAGACAAGGAGGCTGCTGGCTCCAGTGGCATCGCTGATATAATTGATTAATGCGACCTTTGATAGCGTTCCCTGTTCGTAAATGGCATATCCTGGTGTATAAGGGCTAGCGGCATTGGCTTGAAGGTCAACGACCTGCGAGGTATTGGTTTTACCGAAAGCTTCCGCAAGAACGAGGGTGGAATAATAGACAGCACCAAGCGTCCACTCGTTGAACGTAGACTGATTAGTAGGAGGCGCTATGGAGGTAAATTAGAGGAGATAGAGATGCTGGCGGGCCGTTGAGATGTTACCTGTGAAAGGCTAACACGACGATTAGCTTTTAGGTGAAATGAATAAAAACGCAACGTACGTTATAAAATGCATTCTGCCCACCAAAATGCAGCAATGCATGAGTGAAATTTCCAAAGGCCAGCTGGAATCCATAATCTATCGCCCACAACGAGGCTCCATAGCTGTCCGAAATCCCAGCAAAACCACCACATGAAGCTGTGTTGGTCTCAAACATGATGAAGGGCTTTCCCGCAGCCGTCGCCAGATTTGCAGAGTTGATGTATGGGTTAACAAGATTTTGAACGCCACCGTGATTGAGGTAGTCGGGAAAGATAGTTTCGGGGTCAATAATGGCTTGTCCAGTATTAAAATTCGCTGCGCAATTGTTATTCGGATAACTGGGCAAGAATGAGTGAGAGGAGGACATGCAAGATGAAAACGCACTGTTCCACTGAGAAGCAATACATGTTGGCTTTGTAGGCATCGATGTAACCCGTGGCCCATACCTGTTCCGGAGTCCAAGGTCCTGTGGCGACACTGGGACCAATGAGCATGTTCTTGTTGGGAATTTTGGGGTTGCCCTCGATTGTCTGGATCAAGGTAGCAATTTCACCGAAATAGTCTTGGGGTTGATAGGATTCGTTGCGTCGACCAAACCTTTCAGGAGCAATGAGTCGGCGAAAAAAAACTGCACTGTCAGACAATGTGCATACGTTGCGTAGAAATCGGGTTCATTTCCCGCTTGGAGCCCAAGAAGGTTGTCACCGAGAATTTGCTGACCATATTCGGCTATTTCGAGGCGCCAATTTGTATCATTGAATGGGATGCCTACGAAGAGAGAATCATGATTAATGAGGGAAGCGCAGTGATCATGTTCAACGTGTACCCAAAAACCATTTCACATTCAACATCGACGAGATATTGCTCGCCATGTAAAACATATCAAGGGTATACAGAACTGCAGGTGTTTTGGTCTAAGAAAGGTCAGTGACAGGAGGAAATTAAAGGCTGCGACGATCTACCGTTTGCGTTGAGCCAGAGTCGACCTTTGCAAAGGTGTGACCACCATCGATGTGGTCCACCAGTGCCGCGAACTCTTGTGTATTCCCCCCCAATCGGATGAGGACGCCGCCAGAGCGTTCTTGCAAGTTCGATATGAGATTTAACATAGGGACTCCAAGGAGGGATCTAATGTGCTATGAGGACGGTGGTGGCCAACAACTCAAATATCACAAACGAATTTTTGCCAACTGAGAATGGTAAGGCCAGATAATGAAAGATACAGGGCATTCACTCACGGACTTGACTGATGACGGACATTTCAATGGAAAAGCCAAAAAAAGACCCCCCGACATGGGGTATGGAAAGGTTGGCAACCGAAGTGGAAGCTTTCAGGAGTGGGAGGTTATAGTTGGTGGTCGGTGGGGGGCTTGGGACAGGCGGAGGAGCGAGGACGGTATCGTTATAGGCATTGGGAGAAGCTGTTGGGGTGGCTGCTGAAGCTGTTTGCCACAACGGTGCTTGGCCGTAAACGGTGACCTGAGCACCAGCAACGGCGGCGAGGTATAGCGGAGCGACCGCAGCAAGCAGCATATTAATAAGAGTAATAAGTAGAGAGCGACGTTGAGATGATTGGAAACTTGAATTCAGCTCTTGATGAAGTTTGTATGATTACAGAGAGGAGACTATGGTTACGCCAAGCCATCGCCAAGGCTACTAAATTTACTCTTACAATTCTTGAACCAGTCTCTTCCTGCTTCAAACACAACCTTGCCAGCCTCAACTCCATCCAGCGGATGGCTTTCTCCCTCGAACACAAGCATTTCTACTGCCCCCTCACTTCCAAAATGCGACTTCAGCGCGTGATAGTATTCGATGCCTTGCGTCGGCGCCACTCTCCGATCACAATTCCCAATGAGTAGCAAGACTGGAACCGTAACGTTATTAATGTGAGCAATCGGCGATGCCGCTCGAAGCTTGGAAAACGTTTCAGCTGGCATCAACGGTATGGGACCAGAGTCAGAAAGATGGGAGAAAGGAGCCGTGGAAACGGGATAATCAAAACCAAACTCTGAATAGTACCAGTCCGGGATATCGGACGTAGATATTTCCCCAGACGAAATAACTGGGTTACGCATTACAGCTGCACTGAAGATGCTTGGGTATTGGCCAATTACTGAACGGAAGAGTAAGACGCCAGTCAGGAGCTGAGTGCCATCATTGCTTACGATGGGCTGTCAAGAAACCCCCATGACTGCCACCCATCACAAATTGTTTGCCAGGTCCATGCTCTGCAACGCCGAGGTCGATGAGGTGGTTTATAGATGCGACGCAATCTTGAACGTCCAGAGCGCCGCAATTCCCAATCAACGCTTGAACGGAACTCTCACCAAATCCAAGGGATCCAGTGTAATTAGGCAACGAAAGGGTGTCTGATAAGTCAGCTCTCCAGAGTCTCCGTCATAAGAAAAAAGAAGAGTCAACATACATCCTTCGAGAACCATCGCCGTTGTTGCGGCGGCAAAAGCAGTTGTGGTTGTCCCGTGAGGTCCACCATGAGGAACTGTAATGCATGGAGCTAGGCATGAAGCTCCTGAGTTGATAGATTGCACGACGATGGTCTCTGTTGGGTATCTTCCTGGTATTTCAACAATGGAAGTCCGTATCGTGGACAATTTATTTGAAACTATAATTGAGAAGACTGAGAGGTTGTGTCTGCGAGAAGTCTGCAGTTCAACTGACCTTGTTCAGTTAACATCGGTCTGTCGAGAACTTTCCAAGCAACATCCCCATCATCATTCAAAGTGCCAAGAATAATCTCATATGGAATAGATGGCGAACTTCGAGAGCAGATAAAGCGACAAGAACCATCAGCTGCGAGGATCGACCAGCTGAAAAGTTCTTCGCTGGCCGGCGTCAAATCGCGCACAGATCTATCCTTGACGGACACGAGGAGAATAGTAAAGCGGGAACCCCAAGCAGAAGAAATCAAAATGTGGTTCTGAGATTGTAATTTTACGACGGGGGAATAAGGCATGTTGTAACTCGGGTATAGACCTGGGAATCTGTTTCTGATCGGATTCATCACGACGTCGACAATCGGGTCGACCGCCGCTTCTATGGCGGCGGGGTCGATCGGAGACTTATCTGATGTGATATCGAGGGCGTGTAGGGTCGATGTGGAAATATGTGCACCCCCAGTTTTACAAGAAAGCCAGAGCAAGGTAGACGATCCAGCAGAAGATATTGATCGAGGAGATCGGCAGGACAAGTGCGAAGGCGTCAGTTTTTGCGAGGTGCATGTTATTGATTCTGTTGAATCATTCTTGATGATAACTTGCCAAATACCAGTGGGGCGATTGTAGCAACCCTTTAGGCCAAGCATTCGGCCATCCCGCGAGTACTCGTACCCTGTACCGTAAATGATGTTTTCAGAGTTTGGGGAAAATATAGCCTGTCCAAGGCAGATGTGTGAGGGAATCGAGAGAGGGAGAAGAGCGATCACAGGCGTATCGTTTTGATCGTTTTCAAGAGTCGATGGCTTCCAGCGTAGAACAAAAGTTGTAGAACGTTTCTTTCCGTCTAAACCTTCACCAAAATCGGGCTGAAATCGAAATCGATGATACGGATTGTTAGACTTTGGCTGGATGCTTTCAGCTGTGTAGACGATGGCCAACTCGGATGGAGAGAACGCCAGAGATGATAGGTACTCTAAAGAAAAAGAAAATTAGTTCAACAATGACATGGACCTGTGGGCTAACTCACCGTCTGCGTAAAAGGCGCCATGCCTCTCCGATACATCGACAGACGCTTCCAATAGATCGTCGCACCAAATCTCGACGAAGCGACTCCCTTGAGCTGCGCCACTCTTGACTTCCCGTAGAACGGCGCGACGCTTCCCAGAGGGGGATACGACAGAAGCGACTAAGTCGAAATCAAGTAGCGGCGAGAGAGAGGGACCGTCACTGGCGAGTAAGCCAGTGATCGTCTTGATCAGTGTTGTATTCACATTTCGAACGTGGTTTCGGACAGAATATCTGACCTGCGCAGCTACAAAAAACAATCAAATTACGTTCTTCCCAAGAGGAAAGATAATTACTGTCTTTCCCAAGAAACTGCGCGGATGTTGGAACTGGTATTTCTGCGAGTGTGGTATAGTGCATGAAGAGCCGGCCCGAATCGGAGCGGTCCGCTGAGCATCAAGTCAGGTTTGCGGTGGTTTGCGATTGCGAACAGCGCTCCTGGAGGCCTCGAGGCTTCTGGGTGCAGAGCCGCTTTTCCTCCCCGTCACGATAGTTATGTCAAGTGCTACGGAGAATGTGCAACATTCAGTAGCAGGTGCCTTCTTTGGCTTTACCATTGGTGCAGTGTGCGTTATGGCACAATAACTTTGCAATAACTACCTCTTTCTTGCCGTGCTGATAATCGTCTTGTAGATTGTTTGGAATCACCATTTTACAAACCTATCTATATTTTACGACCTATCCCAATGATTCTAAATGGCAGAAAGCAACGGTTTGTGAACTTCACAATTAGGATGCCACTGCGTTGACAGATATCTTCAGATTTCTACAGTCTGGCACGCAACCTGTTCCTCGCTTCCTTGTTATCCAGCTGAGGCTCTGTAATGCTCAGCCTTTTGGACGCTTTGCATCTTGCCTTCAGCATCGATATGATGTATGCGTTCGTCGTTGAACGTTTTGGCGATGTTAGGTCTGGTTCCCAGGCACTTTGGTGAGCACTTGCGGTGTCCTTCCTCATTTAACTAGAACTGGGGCGCTTTGCAGGAGCCTCAAGGCAGGTGAAATTTTTGAGTTCGGTGTCCTTCACTGACATTCAGTTATTATTCAGGCTCTAGGCACAACCCAGGTGTGTTGGAGACATTCATTCGCAACGAACAATGACCCTGACGAGATTGTTGTAGGTGTTTTTTATTGTCTTCGTTCAATGGTGCGGTTCATACCTCTGGTGCTTCCGTCTCATCCACTAACTGTGGATACCTAGCTTGTATCTCTATCAAATTTGGAAATGTGAATTGAACCAGGCACTTTGTCTCTGTTTCAACGGTTGAATGACATTATCAGTATCTCAAAATCTTCTCTTGAAACGAAGAACCACACGGGCCCTCCAAGTGCGTTATATACTCATGCACCGTATTGCCAATGTAACATCCTTGGAGTAGGTGTTTGTAGTTGTCGTCGCTCTATCTGCCTTTGGTTCGTTTTCGATTTTGCTACTTTGGGAAGATAAAAACTTATGCACCGGCTCCAACAAGCTGTCGGAGTTGGTAGGGTTTGAGCCCTGTATCCCATTGACGTACTTACACAACATCTCATTTCTCAGTCTTCCTTGTGGAGTTGTATGTGCTACATGTCTGTGTGACTGGTCAACGTTTTGATTGAGCACGATCATTAGACAACGAATCACGGTGATTCTTGGTTTCGACGAAAATTTCCAGGTGTGCCTCCCTGGGTTTACTATTATTACTCGCTTCTGAAATTATTTTAGTACGCGATCTATCTAGGATTCGGGGCGACCGCCTTGATCGACATAGCCATTGCATGTGCTATGTGTTTCTTGTTGTACAAAAGTAATATCGGAACACGGTAAGCTTCACTGTGGTGCATATCCGTGGCTATCGTAGTTATGATATCTTGTGAGGGCTGATGATGTGCTTGCATCTCTGATCGATTATTTCATTGGGTCTGGCTTGACAACTAGGTACATCTTTCTCCTCCATCAAGCGGTACGCTGATCTGACTCCCCTTTTGAGTTTCTTTGCAATTATGTGCATTGTCTTGGTGCGCAAGCCGTAGCAGTGTTCCTCTACATGCTTACCCCTCCTTCTTTTATAGTATGTGGCGAAACCAGATTCTTTACTATACCTAGGAATAGAATTTTCAACGCCAAGGAGTGAGTGCTAAATCATTATCTAACAGAAGAGTCGCTTATCCTTTTCAAGTTTACGCGAACTCCGTGCTGGCCATGTGAGTCGCTTTTTCAGAAACAATGGAATTCACACAAAACAGGCACAGGTACAACTCGCGGGGTCGGCTGCGCGAACGGTTGAATGCTACGATTGACCTTGGGCTCGGGTCTTCGCGCCTGTGTTTTCAAGAGCCCCAGCATATCAATCTGGCTCTAGTGCCGACCGCGTCGATCTCGGAAGACACGGAGTCGATGTACCCTTCTCCTGATAAAACGTATGGCGAACATTCTTGTGAATGCGCAAGCCTAAGAGGTGTGTATCTGTCCACTGTGTCGATATGATGCTGATAGTAGAAGGTCGCAAGGATAGAGACGGGTGGAATACGCGTGGGTTTACGGTGTAGTAGAAGGCTAGATGGCTTGTCGTCATTATGTCAGATTGCATTTGTGGGTTACCTCTCGAAAAGAACCTGGCACAATCCATTGTCTGAGATGCGCGAGAAGCGTTGATCTAGAACCAGAAGATATCGGCGCGTTTTCCGAACATTGATTTAGTCGGTATCCGCCCCATAGAGGTGAAGATCCGTAAATTTCCCGTCAGAGAAATGACGTGCAAGGTGTAAGTACCTCAGGCCTTAGAGGCCCAGCCTGACTGACTCCGAAATAGGTGTTCACCAGAGGGTTGGTTCCATTGTTGTTGGTAGAACCGCGCTAGTGACACCCTACGGCAGAAAAGTTATCTGCCAGTGGGACTCATCAATGACAACTTGCATAAAATTTTGGGGGTCTTCTGTGCGGCGTTAGGTTTGTTGACATGTCGCTTCGCCACTAGCGCGGTTAACGTTTGCCATGATCAACTACTTCCTGAATTCCAATCAGCCGTGTCGACATCCATCCGCTCTACCTACCAAAAGTTCTCTTAGAGAAATTTTTTTGGGCTTGGTGAGTTCATGAAGGAATCATTGAGACGTTGTACACCCTCGAGGTTGTCGAGTTGATCTTGGAAAATAAACGCGTGCGTATCTTTGACATACCGACGTAAGGCTTGCCAGGGCTGCTGCAGTACATATCTTCCTTTCGACAAGTGCAGCTAGAAACGACCTTGCTGGAAGGCCGCAGTTGCAACGGCTATAGGTATTATTAATTTATTACTTAGTGGAACTTGAGCGCCCAGAACTTGTATACAGAAGATATGTCAGAAAAAAGATATGTTTGTTATTTATGTACCTATGTAGTTGATTTCCACCTTTGCCACCATCATCGCAGACCCGATCATTATTCCGTCTTGATTCCGTCCCTTCCCCGCATTATCATGAACGGCACCGAACGTGTTCCTCCGATTACGGGACACTAAGGGTGATCAGCAAGGAATTTCATCCATCGATAAGAGGTCTGATTAGTGCGGGGTAGTAAATCATTGGTGGTCAGGTGGTTCTTCAGACGCACTAGTATTCGTCACTGGCACCAGTCGCCCCTATTTGTTGCATGAAGACGTTGTGACGAGGGTGACGTACGGTCACAACCTTGGTACCACTTACGGCAGTGGGCACTCCCGGACCTAAACTCAAAACGCTAAAATTCTCGGCCTGTCAGCTGCTCAGGGATATCCTGGGATAACCCACTATAACCCATCCTCGTTCATTTTTCATCTCCCTGAACCATGGCCTCGACTGCACATGCGTTCTCCGTTTGAGCAAGGTGAGCCAATTTAGACAGATTCATATGGCCTATGTTCATCTTCCACTCGAGATTTCTATTGGCACATGTTTGATTGGTGACGGCTAGCTTTGTACTGACTGTGCGCCTGAAAGACCACAGCAAGTTCCCCTCGAGGCTGAGGTCCTGCCGAATTCAAAGCTTAAAGGTCTCTGCAAATATCACATTTCGGCTACCTCGCGTCAATCGTTCCAACTGCTTGTAATCACGGTACTGCTTCGGATACATTGTTTATGGGCGCTTCTCCGTCTCCAGGCGTATGCTTTTCCTTTCGGATTTTGACCCCCCGCACTTGGCTAAGGCATGGGTTCTTTCCGAGAGATCCCTGCAGCTGATGAAATGAAATTCCATATGCGAAAAAATCCGACTCATCGCCACCGTCTACCTTTCTGATTTCTCGCCTTGTGAGGCTTGAACTCGTCATCTCACGTGTTTCCTTTCTGCACTTATCGATGGCTGGGTCTTATCGATCTGCTATTTTGGATTTCTTTTGATGAGAAACACATACTTTGAACGAAATGGGCAGGCAGCGCTACTACCACGCCTCACCTCGTTGTTTTGCTATTGAGCTACCCAACTGGACCTGTTGGATAGGCGAACACACTTGATACCGGATCTTGGCTCGCGTCCTCCCGCTGGCTTATTTCTCTCCTACTTCAGTCTCTTTGGGGCTTGGCTGCCAGACTGTACAAACGTTCTATGTATTGGCATGATATTGTATGCGGTAGGACATGTCAATTTGCGAAGGTATATCGGTCGGAATGAACACTTCCTAGACGTCCCCTGCCATCTAATCTCCATGTTGGGCGCGTACTAGCGGCGTTGCCCAAGGAACGTTTATGACCAATGAAGTAGAACTCCCTGGGAGGTTTCACAGCCTCGGTGATGGGCGATTGCATCAAGCGCTGTCAAAACGACATGCACTCGCAGTACGTATAACATCTAGATTTGAATTCCTCACACCGTTATCAGCGAAGCCAGTCATCGCCTTGCAAGTACATCGCGTGATGCGTCTTCGGTATTTTTGAAATTGTGCACCTTCGACAGTGACATATACCTTCCGGATTTGCGTATCAAGGCACCTCAAGATTCCGCCACTAGGGTTGTGGGCAAGTTGTGGGGAAAGTATTGGGACTGCGACATTGTGAGTTGTTCTGTGGAGAATGATCTATCTAACGAAATGAATTCGATTCAATTGACGGCGTCGGAAAGCAGTTGTAGATTGAGATGTAAGACGTATTCTGCTACCCTGCGTGGCAGAACAGGATCACTACCGCAGCGCTGCTTCTGCTAAGATCAACATTGGAAGGCCTCGTGTAGTCAACTACATGTGTGGTGGGTAGGGGCCATTGACAATGTGCTGTACTGACAGGAGAAGGCAGGGTCAAAAGGGGAAAGTGGCACATAGATCGTTGGATGTCCGAGTAGTTCCTTCGGTGGTGATATGTGTGCTACACGTGTGAGGAGGAGTTCAAATGTTGCTGAGTATATATTTCTATGATTGGCTCGGGGAATCGGCTCGAGTCAGATGTGTCGTCCCAATTTGAACCGTAATTGCAAATTTGCGCAAAATTTATATTGATGGCACCTGGCTTTCCTTTTTAGATTGTTTTTTCAGCGTTTGTCGTAAAACTTGAGTGAAATTTGTGTAAAACGCTCTCCCTTTTCAGAGCCCTTTTTCTTGTTGCCCTTGCCTCTGATCCCCTCATCCCTAAATGCCCTCTATCCTCAATCTCAAGTTCAAGGTGCGTATTGTCGCTCTCATCGTCGTCCTTTTTACCGAGCTACTGCAGGGAAACAAGTCTTTTGTCGCGTTCAGCAACCTCAACGACACTGAGTCTTTGACGAAGACTTGGAAGGTCCCTGTTCATCCCTGGTTTCAATTTCAATCAACATCCTAATATTTCTTATCAGGTCTGCACAAAGGTTGCCAGCTATCTTGAACAAGGGCAAAGGCTCGAGAACTTGAGTTGGAGGTTATGGCACCTCCAGAACCTCATGGTCGACACCGACAATGCAAAGTCTAAGCGTGAGTTCAAGAAACTCTCCAAGTGCATGGGCGACAAACTGGACAAGGAGAAAGGACGGTTCGTTGCACCATTCCTTTTTCTTTCTTTTCCTACAACTCTTGATTCCCAGGAGCATTGAGGAGCTCGAGGCTCCCGACTTCAAACGAAACCACTCCACCGATATGATACGACAACGTGCTGTAGAAAAGGAGCGCAACCGCGAAGCCAGCCAGAACGCAAAGCCTGGTACCATCAAGCGCATGCAGTTTACCTTTAGCGTCGACCAGCTTGGCCCTGCCTCTAACATCCCTGTCAAGAAACCCGACACAAAGCCATCCTTAGATCTGAGCAAGCGCACAAGGGCTACCGCTCGTGCTCAACCTGACAACAATCACGAGAACATTATAATGGCGGACGACGAGGGCATTGAGAAGGAGCCTCCTATTACTCAGCGCGGGCGCAAAGACGGCAGGAGCGCCATCTCCCAGCCTTCTTCCACTTCCCTTCGTTTCCCTTCCTTGTTCAGTAACGATTTTGGTCCCTCCGCATTATTGAACCCCTCTCCCACTTTTACGACACACATGAACTACGGCGAAGGGCTTAACGCCTCAGGCAATAACGATTCTTTCTGCGTCTCGCGCCCCACTATCGAGCTTCCCCTCGACGAGCTACTTCATGGAGTCGATTCTGCCGATAGCCCTGACCTCTGGTCGACCAACACCACCACACTGCATTTCCAAGAAGTTTATTCCAATATCTCATCTTCATCTTCTTCCTCGTCCTATTCTCAAGATGTCGTCATGTCCGCCATCCCTGCACCCACGGTCTCCCAACGGTCGACGAAAAACACTTCTGTTAGCGACGACGAAGATAGTGGCAACTCCAGTGACGATGAGTATCATAGCCAGCGACGTCACACCACGCGCAGGACAAGCAATCTTCAGAACAGTAACAACACTCAGAACCATAACAACAGTCACTCCTTAAAGAACATCCCACCCTTGTCACAGGCAGTCAAGGAGATCCTTCCTGAGACAGTCTCACCATCAAAGGTGAACCCTCTTTACGGGACGCGGGCCAACACACCTACAGGCAGGCCGACGTTGACCGTCAGGACGCAGGCGACACCCACTACACGCTCCTCTGGCCCAGGAGCGACCGCAACCAGCCTCAATCCAGCTGTGCTCCGCAGCATGACTGGTGGCGCAGCTGGCTCCAATTCCGCACCTGGTGGTGTGAAGGCGGAGTGCTCTAATTGTGGTGCTACTCACACCCCCCTCTGGAGGCGGGGGCTCAACGATGAGCTCAACTGCAATGCTTGTGGTCTTTATTGCAAGTTGGTAGGTCCTTCATTCTTCTTCCTTTGGGAAGGGATATATCTTCGATTTTTATAGCACAAACGACCCCGTCCCAAAAGCATGCGCAACACGCACGGTGAAGGTCGTGCTCAAGCAGCTCCTCGTCAGGAGACGGTCGATGTTATGAGTTCGTTCATTGGTTTTTTCATTGGAGTCTTGACGTACTGACTTCCATTTTAGCGGCTGCTCAGTGCTACAACTGTCACACTACGGCTACCCCCCTTTGGAGGAAAGATGATGAGGGTAAAACCGTTTGTAACGCGTGTGTATCTCTTCATATCTGACTCTAATTCGCCTGATGAGAAATATCAGGTGTGGGCTCTACTATAAGCTCCATGGCTCTGCGAGACCCATTTCTATGAAGTCCGATGTTATTCGTAAACGCTCAAGGCACGATGCACGTCGTAGCGGACAGGCCATGGAGGATACCCCATCTGCAAGTCCAGGTGTTAGCCGTCGCGCTTCCCCAGCTCTCGATGCCTCCCCGACCCTTGCTCCCGACTCCACGACACAAATGACCTACGAGTACTCAGAGGAGATGGATTATCGCTCTACCCAATCTGAGCTCATCGGCGCGCTTGGAAATGACCACAATACGAACACCCTATTCCAAAACGCGTTTCAACTTCAGTTTCCCGGTCCTTACCACCCGGACTATCTCTCGCAACTCTACAACGTGCCTGCAGACACTCTGCCATTCTCCTCCGTTGAGTCGTCGTCCTCCGAGGTTGACCCTAGCATGAGCCCGAGGAGCAACAAACGCCGCAGAATGAGCACAGATTCGGCCTCTGAACCGCCGTCTTCGGCCATATCATATAGCTCATACAACGATGGCTACTCGTCTGCGTCATCGGCGACCTCTCACTCCCAACGGTCTTCCATGGAGTTTCCATTTAGCAACTTCAACTCGGGGAGTACTTTTAACAATGGGCCGGCCCTCCGGGGGTCTGGTAATACCTTCTGGCACCCACCTATGATGCCCCAGGGCGATAGTTCCCCTCACATCTTTCATCCACCCATGCTACCCCCGGCGGGGTCAGAAGAGTCCCCAATGGACTACCTCCACCCACCAATGGTCCCCCAGGACGACGAGAGTCTTTTCTCAACATATCTTCATCCACCAATGGTCGTTCCTGAGGAGGGAAACAACCACCTGACGGGTGTGCAGAGTCAAAATATCTATGGCGATTATTCGCATGGTCATGACTACTACGACGCCAGTATGCAAGTGTACTAAGCTCTGCAATTTCGTCAATGTTGGTGGGGTGTTCGTCGACAATCTCATCGTCCTTTTGTCGTTGGGGCAGATAGCTGTTTTGTTGTTGTCTTATTTCTTCATTTTTGTGGACATTCCTCGCTCTTGCATGACTACTATATATCTCGGCGGCACTCTCTGCTCACGGCCCATCACGATTTTATCACACTCTAGGTTAAATTAGACAGGCATTTTGCTCTTTGCAGCATGGTCCTTTCCATCATCATCATCATCGTCGTCCTCTTCCTTATCGCATTGCTCTCGAGCTCTCGTCGCAGGCCAGATCGCTCTATCATCATCGTCTCCAGCATTTCCTGCATCATCCATCATCTCATTGGTTATGGCTTTCCATCCTTCAAATGGTTCTTGCCCTTCTTTCTCTGTACCAACCTTTGAATGCTCTTCCTCTTCACGATATACAATTCAACATCGAACGCACTACCATTCAACATGCTTGCATTTGATCCTGCTCAACACAACCTTGCAATTACGGTACCCCCGTTCTTCACATCTCTCGCTTTCTCTGTTGTATATCGCCGCGAAGGACTTGCGCGCTTCCAAGCCCCCAAAAGAAACAAATTATATAAATATTTTTGGCTGTACACTACCCTTGGCTTTTGACGTAGTATTAAATATACTGCATATCAATGTAAATTATGCAAAGCCACCCCAAAAGATATCCTTGTCTACACATGAGAGGGACGTATTCCGTCTCGGACTTCCTGGTTCGACAGGACAGGAGTGCACTTTCCGACGCAGGAATTGATGGAAAGAAAGAAGGTCAACGTTGGTATCGAAGGCTCTGATACGCCACATCCTAGTCATGGAGTCACCTGAACGATAGACGTCGACCGATGTCGACCGAGTTCGCATGCTCCACAATACGAAGTTCGAATCAACATGTTGCATGACATTGTCAGGGCTCTGGACGACATAGAATTCTAGGAGGTTGATCAGGTCAACCCGACGTCTTCGGCGAATGAGTTTCGAAGTCCGCTGATCGAACGCCGAGCGGCGGATACGCAAATGCAAAAATACGTACAGTAACTTGGAATAAGTAGCTTGGAATCGACTTACGCTGAATGCAAAACAAAACTAATGGAGCAGAATATTTCGGTGGGTACATAATGGCTGTAAGGATAAATCCTAGGCCTTGTGCTGAGCTCGAGCAAATTATTGACTCCGCCCAGATACATAATATTTTTCTTTACACTGGAGAAAACCGTATGAAATTGAAAGGAAAGGACGCGTGTCTAATATAACTGAATGGAATTCTTATTTCTGCAACTCAACTTTCAAGCACAAGCGAAGCAGAATGCAAAGCCAAAAGACAGGTCAGGGCATCAAAAAGCGGTGGTGGGTGGTGATCGGCGCCCTGCCAATTGGGACCTGACGATCCTGACCTGCCTAGAATTGAGTTAAAAACAAACGCCAAGGGCCACAACATCTGGAAACAGAACATTGTCTACGTAGACCTATGTTGACGTATAGTGATCGGTAGGCCCGTTGATAGCCTCCTCCTATGTAAAGCACTGTAATTTCGCCTTTTTACGGTAGTTCCGGTAGACAGTTCCTAGCCGGTCTACCAGGCTCTACGCGGCCTACCGATCAACCAAATCTCAACAGCGATTCACATCTGATCTATCACATGATCAAGGAGCTTTCCAGTGTCAGGCCAAAAATGCCGAAAAATATCCGAAATGTATGCAGAAAAATATATTGCAGCAGTGCTACTGTACATGCCAACGTAAATGTAGACTACAAGCATATAAACATCCAAAGTGTGTCGGCCACTGCACACTGGAAGGAGCAGGGGATGTCATTGATGTGCAGTCAAAAAGATGGCACCCCGGCACCATGTGATCGTTGACATTCCCCAGCATCGCGCAAATAGTTGTGATGCCCTACTGAAACTTGAACCAAACCGTGATAGCGACGCTGTTGAGTGTAAACACGTTAGCACACAATCAACAAACAGAAGAAATGGTGAAGCTTACTGCCGTGGTTTTGTTGGTCCATAGAAACTACTGTACCTAATGTGCCGTTAGTAAGGTTTATGCAACAAGGTGTTGGTTGGCTCACCAGAGGGAATGTGGGAGCAAACGACTAAGGACCTGCTTGCTGTCCATAGGCTGTCCACGTTAGCATTATACAGGTGGTGTTGCATGCATAGTGGAGCTTACCAGTGGGAATGTGCATGGTGATCGGGGGCAAGGCCTATCAACGGCTGACCTTTGAGTGTTTGTGAAGGAGAGAAGAAGAAGGTAAAAGGACTTGGAGAACGCTTCGATTGTAAAATGCGCGGAGAAGCGCGGTCAGCCATCAGTGTCCCACGGCCTGTTTTTGTCACTGGATAACCCCATTCGCATCATTCAAGGTACAGATCATCCGCCAAGCCTGATATTCTATGGCGAGTATGAATCTACAGGTAGCTACAGGTCTACCCAAGACTACTACACCTAGGTAGCTCTAGATAAATTCAAGAACTTATGTACAACTACATAATTACAATGAAATTACCCGGCCAAAACGCTGTTTTGAAGTATCACATTCAACTTGGCAAAACTAAACCACATATGGCCAGTCGAAGAAAAATATTGTACAGATCTTTTTGAAAAAAGCTCTATCAACTCATGCAATTAAACGTTGAACGTTGACCTCCAAGTCGGCGGAGAGCGTAAAGTATGCAGATTCGTAGTAGGCTAAGGGCTTTTAAGTAAGGCTTATGGTTGGGGTATTTCTTCGACATCACGTGCCCGCTGCCGAGTAGGTTAGGCAAGTCAAGTTCCACTCGAGACCTTGCTTTTCCCGTCCACCTCCATCACCCCACATCACCATGAAGGTACATACAAATAAGCCTGGGTACTATGGCGAGGGCTCTGTCGAAGTTGAAGCACCAGCAGGTCCAGGGGAAGGGCCAATACGTCGGTGTACGCTTTCGAAGGACGGCCTCGTCACCCAACCGTTCGAGGGCATAGACACGGTGTACGACATCGTCGAATACGCAGCCCGCACCCATGGTTCACGGAAGGCATTGGGATGGCGTGACGTTGTCAACGTTATTGAGGAAGAAAAGGAGGTCACGAAGGTCATCGACGGTCAGGAGGTCAAGGAGAAGAAGAAATGGAAATTCTTCGAGTTGAGCGACTACAAGTATCTCAGTTTCATTGAGGTCAAAGAAGCCGTTTCAGAAATTGCTCGGGCTCTCATTCACCTCGGAGTGACTTCGGACGACGTGATCAACGTCTATTCTCAGACCAGGTGCGCTTAGCCTACCTAAGGAGACCTTACAATAACTACAACCATTTTCGCAGCGTGAATTGGCAACTCATGTCCCATGCATGTGCGTCGATCTCAACGACCATCGCCACCGCGTACGACACCCTTGGGGAGGAGGGTCTCACACATTCACTCAACGAGCCTAACTGTGCTGGGCTCTTCACGAATGCGGAGCTACTTCCCACGTTGCTCAAGGTTCTTGCCAACACCCCCACAGTGAAATACGTCATCTTTGATGGCGAACCTGGAAAAGATATTGTTGACAAGCTTCAAGCGGTCCGAGAGACTATCCAGGTCTTCAGCCTCGATAAGCTCCGCGAAACTGGAAGGGCTTTGCCCAAAGATTCCCTAGCAGCGCGTCGTCCCAAGCCCGACTCGACTGCACTGATCATGTACACTAGCGGCAGTACTGGAGCACCCAAAGGTGTTTGCATCACGCACAGCAATCTCATTGCTTCTGTTGGCGCAGTGTACGTGCTTCTTGGCCACCATCTAACATATGAAGATAGCTATCTCGCGTATCTTCCTCTTGCACACGTCCTTGAATTCATTGTCGAGATGTGTATGCTCTTTGTGGGCATGCCGTCCGGCTTTGGCCGCGTCAAGACCCTCACAGACGCCTCTGTCCGAAAATGCAAAGGGGATATTGGAGCCTTCCGTCCCTCGATCATGGTCGGCGTCCCAGCGGTTTGGGAAACCATCAGGAAGGGCATCCTCACTAAGGTCAACTCAAGTGGCACGATCAAGAAGGGCATGTTCAACGGTGCTATGGCTGCAAAGAAGAACAACGTCCCGATTCTTGCTGCTCTCGCAGATAGTGTTGTACTGTCGGGCGTTAGGGCCGCCACTGGCGGCAGGCTCAGAATTGCGCTCAGCGGAGGTGCCGCTATTAGTCGTGAAACTCAAGAATTCTTGACTACAGCACTTGTCATCGTTCTTCAAGGTTACGGCATGACGGAGTCGTGTGGGATGTGTGCTATCCTTCCTCCTGAGCTGATGCGGTACGGCTCCGTCGGTCTCCCCGTGCCTTGCATTGAAGTCAAATTCCTTGACGTCCCCGATGCTGGATACCTTTCAACCAACAATCCCCCCCAGGGTGAAGTGTGCATTCGTGGACCCTCTGTCGTCAAAGGTTATTTTAAGCGCCCTGATTTGAACAGCGACGAAACGATCTTTACAAAAGATGGATGGCTGAGAACAGGCGATGTTGGACAGTGGAATCCGGATGGCACACTCTCTCTCATTGATAGGTATGCTTTACCTGATTTTTTTCTCGTCCCATTATTCACCTTTCCATGACTAGGTTAAAGAACCTTATAAAGCTGGCCAGTGGAGAGGTTCGTTGGCCGCCTACTCGACATGTTTCCTACGCTGACCTTCCTTTCTGTGCAGTACATCGCCCTGGAGCGTCTCGAGTCCATCTACAAAGCATGCAATCTTGTTGGCAACATCTGCGTCCACGCTACACAGGAAGCCAAGCAGCCTATGGCCGTCATTATTCCCCATGAAGCTCACCTCCGTCAGTTCCTCGACGGCAAAGGAATTAGCTCTTCCCAACAGCTTGATGCCCTCTGTCATGACCCCAAGGTCAAAGAAATTGTACTAAAGGAGTGCAATGCCGTCGGGAAGAAAAACGGGTTCAAGCCCACGGAGCTATTGCAGGCTGTGATTCTGACTGCTGAAGAGTGGACTCCAGAGAATGGCCTCGTGACGGCTGCGCAGAAGATTCAGAGAGCCAAGATTGCGAAGTTATTCAGAGACGACATTGAGGTGGGTTTCTTTACTGATGCCGTTTCTTGTGGTTGACTTAACGTGCTTGGATTTACAGCAGGTCTACAAGAATCAGTGATGAGCTTGCATTACTTGTGTTTACCTATTTCTCGCACGGATTCTTCATTCGTTATCGCCTTGATTTTTTTTCCCCCGTCTTTGTGAATCACCATCGTTCCTTGATTCAATACCTAAGGCTCATACGCCTCTTGATTCCTATTGATGCTGTGTAAATGTACGTATGTTCACGTAGTACTAGTCCACGGCTAGTTTGCCCGATCCTTCTAGTTTTCTTATCTTGCTGCCTCATATAAATCATTACGCGTTTTTTTCTAAAATTCAGAATAATGGAACAGGCAAGTCACATGGGCCAATGTCGATCCCCGACCCCGGAGTTCATGTTACCCCTGAACTGGACAGTTTGGACTTAACTGGATATCTCTTCAATTCGCCTCCCGTTTCGCTTTGGATATACGACCACCACAATGTCCGCTCACGACGTTAATGAACAAACCGGAGTGGACATGCTGAAAGCAAGGCGCAGTACCACACTCGCGCTCGATACCATTCGTAGCTTCCTTCACAGTATGTCGACAGGGTCTTTGAGGAGTTATTGGCTGACATTCACCAAATTAGACGGCGAAGATCAATGGGAAACAAGGCGTAAGGTAACACAAATTCTGGAACGTGACGCGGTATTCGACAAGGCCAGAAGGTGATTTACTCGCTCGCTGCCACTTGATCTCATCTCAATAACTTTACCAATAGAGAATTCATGTCAAGAACAGAAAGGTATACCCGAGGCATGGCCCTAACAAACCGTGTGTACGAGCTGCAAGAGCTTCACAGTTGGACCCAACATGAGACGAGCATAGCAATTGCGACACTGGATGAGCAACTTCCTATCAGTCTGCATAACGTTGGTTTGTCGGTTTCGTTGCCCATAATCTACGTCAAACTTCTGAGAGAACTTCAGCCTTCCAACCCGTCTTTATGCTTCAAGCATCCCCTCCTCTCTTGGCGAAATATTCTGATCTTATTGCCACGAAAGGTATTTTGGGATGCTATTTGCAGACTGAACTCGGGCATGGTACCAATGTATCGCGTTTGGAAACAACAGCTACATTCATTCCGGAGACGCAAGAGTTCGAAATCCACTCTCCAACCACCACAAGCAGCAAGTGGTGGATCGGAGGCTTGGGGAAAACGGCCACACATGGTGTTGTACAAGCAAAGTTGATATTACCTGGTGGGAAAGACTTTGGGCCACATCTTTTTTTTGTCCAGCTAAGATCAATGCGTGAGTTTTTTCTTCTCGGCGATTCCTGGCATATCTACTCCCTGATTTTACGAAGATGACCACAAGGTACTTCCTGGGATTAAAATTGGCGACATTGGTAATGTTTTTTTATCGCCTCCTTGAATATATACCCAGCTAATTTTATGTTCTAGGTCCGAAGGCGCTTGGTGGTTTCTCCCCAACAGACAACGGCTTTGCGGTTTTCGATCATGTTCGAATACCCAAAGAACATATGCTCTCAAAATTTGCTCAAGTGACCAGAGATGGTGAATATGTAAAGCCTCCTCATGCAAAACTTAGCTATGGTGGAATGCTCTACATTCGTGCCAAGTAAGGTCTTCACTGCTTCTCATTTCTACGTCGCACACTGACACAGATCCATAGTATGGTGACAAGTGGCGGCTGGTTAATGGCAAAGGGTAAATTCTAGTCAATGCCCACGATTATAGATCTCCCTTATGTTTAACTAGCTTTGCTCAGCTGCGACGGTGGCAATCCGTTATGCGACCGTTCGTCGTCAAGGCGAAATAGGACCGGACGGACTTGAACGTCAGATCATAACATATCCCTCAGTGTACTACCGTATCCTCCCAATTCTCTCTCATGCTTATGTGTTTATCCGACTTGGAAAGACCTTAGTACGTCCCCTGTGCCACTGAATGACAATGTTTTATATCTCTACCCCCAGACTAAGGCCTTCGATACCCTTGCAGGCAACCTATCCAGGGGGGACACTTCATTACTGGCAGAGATGCATGCGATTACGAGTGGGCTGAAAGTTGTGGTATCAAGCACTGGAGTTCAAGACCTCGAAATAGCACGCCGTTCTATGGGCGGACATGGGTATAGCGCGTTTGCTGGCTTGGGCAGGCTCTATGCCGATTACCTTCCAAGCGTAACGTCAGCACCCTGCCCAACTATCATTCCTGTTATATGCTGAGCCCCTCACAGTTACGAAGGGGACAACTTCGTGCTAGACCAACAAGTTGTGCGCGCCGCACTGAAATCTTATAGATCATTGTTCTCCGAAAGCAAAGAGTCTACCACGCAATCTCTTCTGCCATCATCGCGCTACCTTCGTCTCTTGATTCCCCCCACTAGGTCACTTCCATCATTTACTGAAGATGATTTCAGGTCTCCCACCACGTCTATCCTGCTCCTTGAGTGGCGCGCAGCACTAATCGTGGAAAAGAATGCACGTACCGTAGATGATCCTGACGCTAGCATCAACCAACGCGTCGCCAAGGCCGTCACAGAAGCTTTCATTGCTGCGCAAATTGGGGAAATTATCAATACTCTTGGGTCTACGGGGATGACAGAGAGTGAACAGATCATTGTAGGAAAAGTGTATCTTCTCGTAAGTTTCGTCTCCGCTATCCCTTACCATTTTTTTTTCAAAGCTGACCGTATGTAGTACCTTGTCACAACAGTCGAGGCTGGGCTTGTAGATCTTCTTTCCTTTAACATCCTCAACAGCAGCGGTGGCTCTCGAGACCCAACGCGCTCGGTGCGGATGACTATTAAGAAACTTTGCACAGAGCTGCTACCGGAAGCTATTGGTCTAAGTGACGCCTTCGGTTTTACTGACTGGGAGCTTGACAGGTGCCATTTTACGTTACCTTCTTCCGTGTTCTCTTGATTTTACACATATTTGGATAGCGCACTCGGCGTTTATGATGGGAAGGTGTATGAAGCGCTCTGGAAATGTGTTCAATCCGAGCCTTTGAATCAGACAGAGGTACCGACTGCTTATGAGGTATATTCTCGTTGGTTTCGTATCATGGGAATTGAATAATTGTGTTATGCAGGAATCCATCAAGCCTATGCTGTTACGTGGTCAACGACAGGCTCGACCGAAGCTATAATGCCGGTTATGTTGCATCTTTTGGTCATTTATTGTCGTGGAAGATGGGTATAGAGATTGATCTACAAAGTGAGCGTTACATACAATCTTGGTACAATTAGTCGAGAATAAGAGGCGGGACTATGGCTAAAGGTATTAAGCACAACAGATAGCAAAGCGTAAGAGAGGAAATTGAGGTCAGAAAGTCATGTTAAGTTATGCGGACAATTTTGGGAGCACTTTCACCATCTGGTCAATGTTGATGAATTGTACCCAAGACTCTAGTTGTTTGGGAGTATCATGCCAAATAAAGGTGGACTCTGGACTTCCTCGGAAGAATGCGCAGACGCACTCGTACTGTTCTTGTACCAGCTTTGTTCCTCTCGCAACTCCGAGGTTTGCGGTGAAGACTCGGAACTCCCAGCCTCCGAGAATATGACCGTCGCCGAAAGCTCGCTTATTCCCAACATCGAATTCTAGACGAGAATAGTCAAACCCTACAGGCTGACCAATAGCTTTGATGTAGGCGTCCTTCATGGCCAGAGTGATACAAAGGCGGCGGAGTTTTGTCGCATCCTCTTGCCCCGAAATATGGGACAATTCTAGGGTCGTCAGCTTTTGAGATAAACAAATAAATAAACTGGATGGCGGGAAGGGTAAAAACATGGACGAACTTTGTGCTGAAGTGACTGAACATAAGCGTCAACTGAAGCACCTTTCGGATGGACTGCATATTGCTTGATGCCGAGACCTATGTTGACGACTCTCCGCTTGGTGCCTTGGGTCATCGCCATTCCACAAAGCGAGTTGTCGACGGTGAGGTGGTATCCGATCATGGAATGTATAAATTTTTCCGGAGACATGTCATCGGGCGTCTTCCATGCCGGATTAGCGGAGAGCGCCACGTAAGATGAACCGGATTTCGAACCTGTTCGATCCAATGTTTCCCAGCACTAGAAACCTTGTCGGTCCACTTGGCGCGAGGTATGCGTCGATGTCGCATCATGAGGAGGGGAAGCATTCCGAGCATGAGTTTGCCTGCGAAGAATGAGGTTAAGCATGGCTGATGGATGATGAATACCATACGAAAGCTATCTGGATTGTTAGGATCGTAGGATATTGTTAAGTGGGGAAGGCACTCGATGACGACTTGGTGACACGCATCATATTCCTAGTGTTGCATTAGAGTAGAAAGTAGAGTTGTTGAGAATGCTTGCCTGTTTTGTGTATTCCCTATTCAAAGCAAGCATCCAGACTAGAATTGGGCAATCTGTCAGGGTTGTTGATTGCTGGGGCTGGGCAGAGGCAGATAAATTGAATGAATCCCGTTGAGCATTGGATGACTGCTGATTACTTGAATCGCGTTGGTTATTGGAATCCATTGCGGACATTCATGGTTCGAATCTGACACTATTTATAACAGACTTTAAAAACAACACCACACGTGATCATATCAACAGCAACCTTGTACTACTACTACAATATATTGTACAGCTAGAACTCAGGTAGTAAACTTGAATATGACACTATCATTTCCCTTCTCTTCCTTCCTGTCTTTCTCCTCCCTTCGCTCAGCCTCCGTCATAACTTCTAATTTTCTAGCCCTAACAGCGTTGCGATACCTGTACATGTACTTTTGCACAATCCATAAAACAACTGCTGTCCCAGCGAACATGATGTTGGTTAGGTTCCCTCGCTTGAAATCTTTTCGCAAGAGTATGAGTGGCAGCTAAAGAAAGACTTGAAATTGATCGCACCAGGAGCATCATCTGCGCGGTAAATCTGGGCGTCAAACGCTCAATAACCGCCCAAAATTGGAAGACTTATGTGAGCCTTACCTGCGATCCCCATACTCCGTATATATTTGCTATACATACATGTAAGGGTCTCGGCCAAACGAAGAAGCTCTAACTCGCTTACAAGCACCGATCACCAACCCCGAAGCCACCGTCCTCTTCCCGATGCTCCTAACAAAAAATAAATATCAAAACAAAGAAAAACAAAAAAGACGCCCACCCTGTGTTTTCAGACATCCAGGCAACATTGAGTGGATGAGTATACGGCCACGATGCAAGGAATGTTGCAGCAAAATATTTGATGCCTCTTCCAGCACCCTCTGGCAGAGCCCATAAAAAAATCCACCCCAAAAGCTGCCAACTCGCTGCATAAAACTGCTCAACTCCTGACTGAGAGTCATAGTATTGACGACCATACCTCCAAAAGCACCATGATACCCTCGTTCTCTCGTTTTATCAGAGTGATGAACAAACATGATCATAATAATGCCATGCAAGAGGTAAGGTGGTGCGGTTAGCGCGTTGGCGACGAAAACGTTGAAGTTGAAGGATTTAATGACGCTTGGTAGGTCTGAAGAAATGCATCATTGGAAAACGCTGAAAGAATTTGGCCCTTACATGTTTGGAGTGGTGTGAGAGGAGTCAAGCCAATCGATGTGATGAGAAGGTGTCCCACAATACCGACATCAGTCAGCGTATCTTTGATGTCCGACCATTGGACTCTCTTGCTGAAAATCATAGATTAATCAGATAGCGAAAAGCAAAAGGATCTCCGAAACGACGCACTCGTAAACTCGCTTCGAGATGTCATCGCGGATTACTCGCGTCACGGCAATCCTCAGCTGCCTATCAGTCAACCAAGCTTTGCGCCCGCCAAACCCAGCCCTTGTTTGTATAAGATCTCGGGGAAGATAGAACCTATGATAAACACTGTGAAAAACATCCAACAACGAAATTTGAAAGAGCATACCAAGTAAATATCGCGACCGCAACGGTGATTATCCCATCAACGATGAACATCCATTTCCACCCTTCCAAACCCCAAAGACCACGAAGCTGTAAGAGACCACTGGCCATTAGGCCGCTGAAAGCGCTCGCCACGCTTTGCACACCCCACAAATAGGCCAGACGTGTGGCCAACTCCGTTCCTTTGTAAAATCCTCCTAGATAGACCAGTGTGGCAGGGATCACACCTACTACACGTTAAACACACTGCCGGGATACCATTGCAATTTTCTTACCTCCTTCAGTGATTGCGATCCCTGAAAAGATTTAGTTGGATCAAGCGACGAACATGAAGACTGACGCACAGCACCGCACTATCAATCAAAGAGTTAAATTCAATTCAAGATCTCAAAACACCAACACCCACCAGTTATATAACCGAATTTATCCTTGATCAACGCATGTGCAAGGGTAACCAGTCCCCACGCGAACATAAGAATAGGGATCCCTGGAACGACATGAAGAATCGCCAAATACGGAAAAGCTAACAAATCGAGCACTTACAACGTGAAGGCCCAGCAATCTTGGCCACGACAGCGCCAGATAAACAAAACACAGAGAACAAGACAGAGTATATCGCTGTAGCGGTGTTTACGGTATCGATGGTAAAACCTAAATCTTGAGGTAGGTTATCTGAGATGGCGTTTGAGTTGTTGGTACGATCCATGTTAAGGACGAATGTCGTCAAAAGTATGCATGGTAAAAGGCGCCTATCCAGGATCCTAATCACTTGGCTCTCCTCGCCAGGGGTGTACTGTATTTCGTCGTCATAAAAATCTTCCTCGGGCTGGGTGGATATTATCTTCGACGTATGCAGGTCTAGAAGAAAAGTAGTTTCGGTAGCCTGAGAAGTGCTTTTCTCGAGCCCCAGCCGATCCATTTGTGCGAACGTGTGGGCTGTTCTGTTCCATGTTCAGAGTTTATAAGCCATCCCGAATTCCGTGCGAGGTTCACGATTGCGCCATGATAGGACAAGTTGCGTCAGAACCGCCACATCGGCACGCAAAGAGGTGATCCCTTGAATAAACCTATTCCGGTATGTACAGAGGGTTAGCTGGTTAAGAGGATGTGCTTGATATGGGATTAAACTATCCAGAAACCCTGGTTTCCCCTGAACAACCCAGGGTTTCCAAAGTGCTTGCGTAGAAACCTTGTTTCCACAAGAAGCGGAGCTCAGAATATTTGAAGTCCACCACATGCACATGCATAAGTTCAAGTTGGCGGCGGGGGTCATCAACCTTTCAAGTAGCAAGGGACTATGGAAGGGAGCAGTGGCATCCCTAAACCACTCCCGCTCTCCTACATCTATGTAAGTATAGCTACCCGTCCAAACCCTCATCTTGTTTGCATCTTGTAGCATCGTGTAGACCATGAACCAATATTATTTACCGTGGTAACCACTTGTCGAGTGGGCGCGTCGCATCGCGCGACGATACGTGTGCGACAAGGGATGTGCATGATGGAGTTCAACTCGTCGCGCTCTCTTCTCATCATAACCCGGGGAGCCAAGATCAATTTAAATTTGAGCACGACACGCGTCGGCATCTAGGAATTTAACTCCGACATGGGGTTCCTCAAAATAACCCATCGACTGATGGAAGGGGGATTTCTACCAAATGCAGAAGAAACCCAGGGTTCCACGCGAAAAGGGGGTTTCTGGTTAGATTGATCCCTTGATATGGCTTTGCACGTTTGATCCGCAATCGTGCCGCTATAGCCACCAATACTAATGTGCCGTAAAGCGCTTACTGGTGGAGAACTTTATACTTAGGTATGTCAAGATATGTAATGACATCAAGAATGACATCAATATTTTGACACCGCAGACAACTTTACAAAAATGATTGTCATAAGGCCATAAAATAGTTGGAACAATTAAGCATGACTCTTTCCTCGAGTAGTCTTGAGTACAGAAGTTGAAGAGGGAATGAATAGTGGCAGCCAGCGAGTTACTGGGATCTTCGAGTTTCTGAAAGCTATCGAAAGGTCGGTGATAAGCGTGCCACAACAGACACTTGACGTTGTTGCCAGATTTTGGGAGCAACACCACCAGATTGTGAGGCCTTCCGAAGCTATAAAAAGACAAGAAACGTTGGTGTGTTGCGGGTTGGAATCGCTAAGTAAATCTTTCAATGATGCATTACTATATTATTGACATTGTTAACGATGCTAACTGATGATGTTTAATGAAGAGATTGTGATGTGGGTCCATTTCGTTGCATGCAATAAGAAATGAATTTAAGACCAACTCAAAAGATGATGAGCAGTGGCAGGACGATTGGACGAGAGCAACAAAATGGAAAAGGATGATGATGTCGTTGGTTAGCACATTCTTATGAAATGTATTGAATGAATAATTCGGTTCAAAGAAAAAAAGACAATTCCTGAAGAGTGAAAGCTTCCCCCTCAATTGCCGCTCGTATGCTGAGTCGCCGTTGCCGTCGAAGAATTATGGCTAACCATATACGCAGCAGGAGAATGAGGAGGAAAGAACGTCCCAGGTGGGTGCCACTCGCTGTTACTGGGGGGCGGAGGTGTACCCCACAAGTTTCCAATGGGCACCTGCTGTTGCTGGTGTATGTGCCCGCGACCAAACCCGGGCGGAGGACCCCAGGGTGCGCCCCCACCACCTCTCAGTGGTATTTGCTCTCCCATGCCGAGTGCAGTTCTCGGGCTTGCAGGTCCCCATCCTTGTCCAACAGCTCCAACACCCAAGCCAAGTCCAATCCCAATCCCAATCGGTGCCGTGGACCTACGAGTAGTAGCAGGCGATACCACTTCATCATCATCGGCGGCCAATGCTGACGATCCCAAAAGCATGCCCTTTGGACTAGGGCTTCGACGAATGGGAGAACCGGAACCTGAACTAGTGGTTCCAGGCGCGTTGTTCATTAAAGAAGAACCGGAAGCTCCTTCTCCTGTGCCTGGGCGAGCGATTGGTGCAATAATAGGTCGCGTAATGGGTCCCGGTCCTGACGGTCCTCCTACGTCTCCAGAAAGGCCTCCAAGGATGGGTACGGAGCCTCTCCTTCCCTGACCAGGAGCAAGCAGCATAGAGGATCCAGGAGCGGATAGTGATGGCGGCACGCTCAATGGTAGGGGTGTTTTTGTCTTTGGCGGGGGACCGATCGGTGATGGCGCTGACTGCGGCAGTGGGGGTTGTATTGGAGGCGGTTGGTGTTGAGGGAGAACACCAAGAGGCATACCACGAGGATAAGGGTGATCGAACGGCGTTGTTGGATGCGGTCCTCCGTTAAACCCTCGCTGCTGATGTTGCATATTCTGAGCACCAAAGGGATAGGGAACTGGTGGAGCAAAACTGCCGGGGCGTGGTGACATGGCTAAAGGTGGAATCATACCGCCTAGACTCCCTTGGGCGAACATCATCCCTGGAGCACTTTGCGGTGGAGGAGGTAAGAGGGTGGTATTAATTGGAGTTGGAGCCATGGAAAGAGGTTGAGGCTGATTCTGGTGCTGCTGGTGCTGTTGCTGCTGAACGCGAGACGCATGCTGCTGCTGTTGGCGAGGTGCAGCAGCAAGATTGGTGGGAGTGCTAACAGAGGGTGTAACAACGGGGGCAGCCTTATTGACGGCCTTCTTGGATGTTGGGGGACCATTTGAGCTACTACTCGCACCGTGGCCACTGGTGTTTGGAGATCGTTGGAGAGGAGGGGCGGAACCAGACGCTGCTGCATTACCCTTCACAGGTGTTGATAGGGAAGAGATTGACGACGATGAGGAAGAAGCAGCATTCATGCGTGAAGCGCCTTTGCCGTTGGGTGACGCAGCCGCAGCCTTTTGCATCGCAGCAGCCTGCTTCTCCCTGGCCTCCTTCTGCACGCGTTCCTCCTCCTTCTGCTTAGCAGCCCGTTTTTCCCTCTCCTCCTTCTTTTGTCTTTCCACCCGCTCCCGATCCTCTTTCTCCTTTGCAATCCGCGCAATCTTCTCTTTCTCTTCGCGCTCCTTGCGCTCAGCACGATTCCGCTCCTCCTTCTCCTTCTTCTTGCGCTCGCGTTCTTGTTCACGCTCGCGTTCTTCTGCAGATCGTTTCCGTTTCTCCTCATCTTTACGGACCCTCTCCTCCTCTGCAGCTTTCCGGGACGCCTCACGCTTTACACGTTCCTCGTCTCGTTTCTTGCGATTCTCTTCCTCTTGAGCGACTTGAAGACGTTTGGCAGCAGCCTCTTCCGCGGCCTTCTCTGCAGCCTTGGCTGCGCGTTCTTCCTCCTTGGCCTGTTTTTGTTGCCTGACAAACGTGTGAGCAAGGATAATCACACGACAAGAAAACACCAACTTTTTCTTGTCTTTTTTCTTTTGATTCTGGGTTTGCTTCTTCGCCTCGCGCTCCTTGCTCAACTTGTCCTCGTCCTCGAGCTCGCGAAGCAGTTGAAGCTGACGTTCTTGAGCGACCTTTTCACGGTACGCCTGCAGAACCCGCTGCTCGAACATCCGTGCTGCAAAGATGGAGAACATCTTTTTCCCCTCCTCCATCTTTTGCTCTTCCGTCATCACCTAACCCGCGAACAGTGTCAGCACGATGGAGAAGGAGGAAAAGATGAATAGTGGAAACAAAGACAGACCTCCTCATCCTCATCCTCTTCGTCGTCTTCCTCATCGCTCACACCATCCTCGTCGTCTTCCTCATCGCTTTCATCATTTGGATCTCGATCGCTCTCCTCCTCGCTGTCATCCTCAACATCGGCTGCTGCCTCTTCCTCCCTCTGCATTCGTCGCTCAGCAAGCTGTTCCATCATCTCAAGAAACTTTTGACCGTCATTCTTGAGGAGATCATCAGCCACAGTCAATATGTTTCCAGGGCCTAGGACGACGTGAGCAACAGATCACACGATAAAGTAAAAAAAGGCGTTACCTGTGGCGGTAAGGCTGCTACCTATGTTAAACAGCCCATCGCGTCCGGCTTTGTTTGGGACAGTTCCATTGGGAGACGGAGCATTTGGTGGAGTAGGTTTCTGTTGAGTGGGAGGTACACGCCTTGCCGCAGCCACCGGTTTACGTCCGTTGGCTGCTCGCCTTTGAGGTTGCTGCTGTTCCTGCTCCTCCTCTTCTTCCTCCTCTTCCTCTTCTTCTTCCTCCTCCTCCTCCTCTTCTTCTTCATATTCTTCCTCTTCCTCGTACTCCTCCTCCTCTTGATCCTCATCTTCAAACTCACCCTCTCTGGGAGGCGGAGGCGGATGTGTGTGTGGAGGCTTTCGCCCGTTGAGGACCGGAGGTATGGCAGACTTCTTGGAACGCTGCTTTGGAGATGAGTGTACGACGGCACCGTTCTTATCGAGTTCGACACTTCCTGGAAAAGGACCTGGACCGGGAGGTGGCGGAATGGTGCCGCCGGAGGAAACATAACGCTGCTGGTAATTCGCGTACTGTTCTAGCTCTTCGTAATAAGCATCGTACAGTACCTCGAGTTCTTCTTCAATGGCATTGCTACTAAAAATTTAGTACAACGAAGTGGGGGGCAAAAAAAGTAGCAAAGGCCGAGATGGTACACACCGTTTCCTTCCACAAACGGCACAACTACAGCTATGCTTCTGCTGCTCCTTCATTTTCCTGAGGACGGTATCTTTCTCGATCTTGACGAGGTTCCTCCGCTCCTCCTCGCCAAGGCCAAGCCAAAAATCCTTGATGCGCTCACGCTCTTCTGTGGTGCTTGTACTCCAAATTTTATTTGGAGAAGGCTTTCCCTTTGAGGTCGGCGATGGGTTGGGATGTTGCTGCTGCTGCTGCTGCTGGTGTTGGTAAGGCAAAGGAGCCTTTGAGGCGGCTCTAGCAGTTCTAGGTTGTTGTTGCTGCTGCTGCTGTTGAGCAGGATAAGCCATTGGTTTTTTACCAATTGATACTGAAGACGGAGTCTGTGCTTGCGGCATGGCAAAGAAGTGAAAGAACCTGAAAACTATTTCTACAAAGGTTTCAAATAATCACAAATAAACCTCCCTTCCTGCAAATACACAATCCACAACACTCACTCCACCAACTCCAGATCCAATAATGAAAATATTATCACCAACAACCTCCTTCATTCGTGTAAAATGTCCAGGAGTAGGCGTAGGTATTCTTCCTTCATGGTGTTGCCAATAAACAGGCCTTGGCGGTCGTCGACCAAGATGTACCTCCATCTCATCCAATATCCCAGGAACAGTCCACTCACCCCTGCCGTACGGCCCACCGAGCATAACCGTCACCTTTGTATATTCCGACTTGTGGTAATAGTCTTCCACGTTTGGTTTATCCTGTTCGTGGAGGGAGCACGAGTCAAACACCACTCCCAGTATCCTACAACCGGCATAGCCTGTCGGAGGCCGGGGAATGAGATACCCAAATCCTTCAGGGTGTATTTCCGATGGCGGTGCTCGGAAGACAAGGTTGACCACGTCTACCGTCGACATAGGGTTTGCCGTCAAGTGCGGAATGAAAACCGAACTAATCGATTGAAGCGCCGCGAGCGGAAGCGCCGAAACGACATGACTTGAGCTAAGCTCTCCAGACGACGTCGACAGCTGTTCAAATTAGTCAACGTTTTGTATAGAATACCAATATACCTTGCATGTATCGCCTGTCTTCTCCAGCAGAGAAACATTCGTTTCCCGAAGAATTCTGACATTGTCGCGAGCCACCAGATAGCTTTCCAATGCGTTCGTCAGGGTTTGAATGCCATCCCGGAACGAGTAGACAGAGACATCTTTCATCACGTCCAGCATATTTCCCAACTCGTAGTCGTCTTCCACTGGTGCTTTTTTGCGAAGGAATCCACGGACAACGCTTCCCCCTCCCCTTTCCTCCGCTTCCCACAGCGAAGGAAAAGCTGCGCGCGTGCTGAGCTGCCTAGAATCGGCAGCATAAATTCCATGCACGAGCGCACTCCCAAATATTCGCGCAAAAGACTCTCCAAACCGACGAGTGAGAAACGCGTCAACGCTCTCATCTAGCACGTCCGGGGGTCTGTTTCTCCTCCCAAAAAACTCGCCAACGACGGCCTGGAGCAGGGTAGGAAACAGAGGTGATCCCAAGAGAGACACGATGGAAGAAGGGAGCGTCTGCATGCCTTCTATTTTATCGCCATACATTTTTGGAACGTACAAGAACCGGGCTTTCGCAGCCGTTGCTGACTTTGGAACAGTAATGACCTCGTCGCGTAGATTCAATAGATGAATCTACACAAGTCAGTGTTGAGTAGTCTGTTGAGCAGCTTCGTCACCTACCAGCTCAAGAACGGACTTTCCATGGGGTCGAAGAGTCCGGGGGCCTGCTTCTAGAAGGACTGAGGTGGTGGTGCCAGGCAAAACAACGCGTTCACTGCGTACCCAGCCACCCAAACGTTTCTGACGTTCAATAAGAGTTATCTGCGTAGACGGGTACCTGCGTGAAAGATGGAAAGCCGACGAGAGTCCTGTAAGGCCTCCTCCTAGAACTGCAACGTGTTGAGGAGGCATTTCTGAAGACCGGCGTGACGACGAGCAATTGACGCTCAATAATGTCCGCTACGCTCAGCTACGACCTCCTCCTCCGCATCCTCGATCACTTCCGCGATGACCACACCACCCTCTACTCATATTCCCTCGTCAACTGGGAATTCAATCGCGCAGCCTCGAAAATACTCTACTCTCGCGCTGTCCTGTCTCCGCCATTCCAACGCGTGCTCGATCTGAGAAATACTGGAATACCTGTTCAAGTCTTCCGCACCTCCTTGCAGTCAAAACCCTAACTTCAGTCTCTCTCAGCCTTCCTCGAATTTCCCTTCCGCGTCTCTACCCCGAAACGCCCCCCATGTTCTCGAGCTCGAAATTAGCGGTATGTTCTGGCAATCAGGTATGATCATGAATGACACCATCCTCGTTAGGCTTTATATCCGCACGCCCGTCGTCGAGGAACGCACTAGGATCGACACTCGTCAATGCCATCCAAACTTTCAAGAACTTGCGCACCATCAAATTTACACCGCAGACATACCACGATGATCTCCTGACAGAGAGCCTCAACGCCCTACACCAATTATCCTCCCTTCAAGAGCTCTCAGTCAACACATCATGCATGGACGAAACCAAATCCCACCTGTTATGTGAAATCTCAGGACTCAAACATTTGACGCTTTATAACCCTTCTCGTGCGGTTCTACAAGTGCTGCCAGATTGGTTGGCAAAACTCTCTCATACGCTCTCCGAACTTCACTTGAAAGTGAGCAAACCCCTCTTGCACCCGCATGCCCACTCAGGGTGACCAACAGGACAACTGCGGCTCCGTAACTCCCGGAGTTCTAAAGTCCTTTTTACCACATGTTCAGGATCGTCTTCGGTCCTTCTCCCTGGGCCTATCCTACTCCCTCACAAACCATGACGTCTTTACATTTATAGGCCAACTTCAAGAACTGGAGCACGTTCGACTGCGATATTATTGGGTACGTCTCGCACGATCACTTCATTTCCGCAGATCACTTACGCAGTAACAACGACAGCAACTCAAGCCTCCCCCACAACAACCATCCCTCACCCACCTGCGCCACTTCACTGTAGATCACTCACGCGTACAAACTCGATACGAAGTTCGGAGCTTTTGCAAATGGGTCCGAACGGCCATCGCAACGTCACCCATCGAAGCCCTCTCTCTCGTTTCGGATGAGGACGGGGAGTATCTCGGTGCAAATCTATCTTTTGGCAGCCTCATCGACCACATGACCAAGAAGCACGCCTCGACAGTCCGTTTCCTTGACTTTAGATCGGCATTCGTCGGCATAGACGCTCTGGAAATGTTATTCCGGTGTTGTACATCTCTAGAAGAGTTCTATATCTCAGCCGGTCCAACCGCACTTGTCAGCCCTGATCGATCTCTTCTTTTCCAAACTTCTTGATAAACCGTTTTGACAGATAATATTCCGAGAACATTTGCCCGGGTTACGCTATCTCCACTCTGCTTCCTTTCAACTGTGCAACGTCAAGCGGAACAAGTTTCGATTATCGCACGAAGAAGCGACCTCCATGATTCAGGGAGGTTCTCCGACGTTTAGGAGACTGGCTATTAATGGCACCAAATGGGAGGTTTGTGTTTTTTATATATACTCTGCTTCGTTCTGCAATCGGTTGACTCGATCTTCTTAGGGCAATTGGAAATCCACGGACGAGGGCGAAGTCATTTTTGTCGTTGAAGAAATCCACAAGAAAAAAACATTGGTATAATTTTCTTCCATCCTATATACCTGGATAAGCTCTACATTCAATGTGATTCCGTATTCGCGGTCTTCTCGGACAACGCTGCTTCCTGCTGCAATTTCCTTTCCTCATTCGCAAGGCGAATCCTGTGGTAATTAGCAGGCATTCGCATCTGAAAAAAACTCGCAAACGCATTTACTTGTTCCGGGTGGCGAGCACCCTCAAAGTCCTCTCTTGCTCTATATCAGACATTTCCCCCCAATTAGCGATCCGCGAGAGAGTCTGGAGTTTGTCTCCATATCAGAGAACAGTGGGTTAAGGAGCTCATTAAATCAAGAACACATACACCATCACTGTTCACCACCATTGGGCCTAGTCGATCGAGCTTGATCGTTGGGGTGCCAGGGGTGACATCAAGCTGCGTTCCATTGCTATCATCCGACTCGGAGTGCGGCTTTGAATCGAGTTGCGCCGGAAAGGTCTTTAGTGCGGGTTCGACTTCTTGCACGCTGGACATTGGTGGCCAATATGTAGCAGTACCACTGGGCCAAATGCCACAGTGATGTGACAGACTCGTCGATCATGGGTTACGGAACAGACGGAGCGGTCCGGGCCGCTGTTTTGCCTTTCCCCTTGTCCAGCACAGGAACCTCAACCTCTTACTGCCCTTTGCATATATGATTGAACGTTTGTATTTTTTCTCACTATTTGTCCTGGCCAAATATGATGACAAATGTTGCCAAATTAAGCCGACAGACGAAGGTCTCGTCCGTCTCTGGCTCTCGCCCTCTGCAAAGATCTGAGAGACGACGTGGTGAAGTGGCCTCAGGGTTATGGGTATTCTTACACAAAGCTTGATGAGTTTTTAGGCTATTGATCTGGTACATTAGCAGTAGCTTGAGTAGCTATACTTATGGTCAATCTACTGATCCCTAAGCATCCCTTTACAATGTTTTATAATAAATACCCCAGGAGGCTGAGAATACAAATATCTCCTATTTCTTGACAGTCTTGCAGAGCTAGCAACCCAGTATCTACCTGAATGAGGTCTGGGCAAATTTAAAGAGGATTGGGGAAAAGATTCTCATGAATGAAGGCAGGGATAAATATTCTTGTCACTTAATTATATTCTAAGAATGACAGAGCTTTTTTCAATGTTGTTCATGGCTAGAAGGCGTTGAGAGAGCTTGTGGATGGTATACTTAAGTATTCTCAGAACGTTGTTCCCTACCCATCTTTGCCTAATTTGGCAAAATTTGTCATCATATTTGGCCAGGACAAATAGTGAGAAAAAATCCGAGCGTTCAATCATATATGCAAAGGGCAGTAATCCTACCGAACTTCAAGCTTCAAGTCCGAAATATTTGGACAAGGATTAATAGCGAGGCCCCAATGCAGGAGCCTCCAGGGGCCCACAAATGTTGATTATTTAAAGTACAAAGCCACGCCGGTTCGAGAATTAGGTATCATCAAGGTATAAGAGCTTACGCTTACGAGAAAAAGAAATGGAAAAAAAGCATGGAGAGGGTGCGACAGAAAACGAAACGAAATTCGCTTAATTAAGTTCAGAGACACTATAGGTCTGCCCTTGCTTGGCTAATGAGGGCCCGCAGCTTGTCCGTTCGGGGCTTGATAGAGCACTCAAAAGGTTTGGGATGTCTGAAAGGAGATGGACGCATTCGGAGAGGGTTCAATTAAAATGCTCATATGACGCACCTTACGAAACCAGTGCAAAATTCAACCTTGGGAGTCATTTCATGACCTTTCTGGTCCAAAGCTTTCGAAATGTTGAAAGCAGCCACCAGGTTTGCCATGACAGACCACGCGCTTGTGTCCGCGAGGTGCCTCCCAGGGCAAATCCTGTCTCCGACCTCTATCAGCGCCTCAAATTCGAACCCAGGGAGGCAGCTCACCGTCTGCCGAAGCCAAATATGACGGTGAAGGGATCAAGGAGAGTTGGGTCGTCCAGATATCGCTCAGGCCAGAATATGTCTGGCTGAGGGCAGTCTTGCAAAATAGCACTAGATAAGAAATTAGGTACCGTTTTCAGAGAGGGGCGAGATAACCAGACAAAATATTTGCGAGGACGGTTGTTCCTGTTGGAATGAAGAAGTTTCGATAATAATCATCCTCCATCAGTCGATGAGGCATTCCCAAGGGTACTAACGGGTTCCAGCTAGTCCGGCAAATCAGAAATTTCGAGATAGCCACAGGGACATTAACATCACCAACCGAAGCACCTCCTTGGTAACACACTCGAGATACGGAAGTGCGGGTCGATCGTTGATGGTTGGTAATCGCTGACTGCCTGTTACCCGCTCCATCTCCTCCTGGGCCTTTTTGAATATTTCTGGATGGAGGACCATTGCAAGCAAGAAGCTATGCATGAACGCGACTGTCTATGAGGGACATACGTCAACGAGGGTTTAAGCAACGCAGGATTGTTTTGTTACCGTATCCTCCGCCGCTACAGGGGCTTGTTTAAAGTATGCAAAAGGATACGAAAAGGAAATGCATCACCCGTTAAGAGCGTCCCAGCGGATCCTTTGATATCCTCCTCATCTTCGAAGCTTAGAGTTCCATCTTGAGAATTGCGTTGCGCTTCGAGCAGGTTGGATGTATAACAGGGCACGGCAACCCCTTTCCTCTGAGAAGGTTCAATCTCCATGGGGTGCCAGAAATCGAACAAGTCAAACCATGTTAGCCTTGACCAGCTCATAGGGTATATCCATCATATCATCGACCACTTTCCGTGTTTCAAGTGCCCTTCTTTTGAACGAGGCGAACGGCACCCAAGAGGGGATATGCCTTGAAAAAAATGGGAAAAGCATATGATGTGACGTCAGTTCGACTCACCTCATGACCGGAAAGAAGTCGACCAAGGTTGCAGCTGGCGAGCCTGCCCCTTGAACGGTCAATGTCCCAGCGCGTTCCGCTGGAAAAGTAGGTGTCACTAACTTATGACACCTCCTGCTAAATGAACGACATACCTAGGCGAACAAGGCGATCATCTACGGAATGGACATCGTATCCATACGTTATCTTCAGAATAAGAGCGGCTGCATATCTGGAGGAGACAACGCGGCTTCGTTTATGTCGTGAAAATATGGAGCGCGAGAGTTACCTTTTGAAATGATCGATGTAGGCAGTCGGTGAGTTCAATAATCCGTCAAGAAGAGTCAAGGTCTCCTTTTCTTGTAGAGATTGAAATTGAGCTGTTGCACGTTGATTAAAGACGTCGTTCATGAGACGACGATGCTTGCGGAATCGAGGACCGCTTCGAAGTAACGGCATCAGCGCCACACAACAAGCAACGTCTTCTACTCACTATCTCAAATGTGTGCTAGCGTTCCTCCAGCCCATCCTGGTAGTCCCTCAAGATTAAAGATCTGACGAAACGAGCGCAACATAAAAACTCACAGTTCCGACATTAATACGAACCGAGGCCGATCAGAGTATATCGAGCTTCGTTTGTCCAGAAGTTCGCGAGCCGCTTGCAAGCTGCTCAGGATGACCATCGGGTGTCCAAATACATGTACATGCAACACATCGCCTGCGTACGCATTAAATAGGTGGCCATGTAACGATAAGGGGAGTACGACGAACCATATTTGAGTCCCCAATCCAAAAAAGTCTCCGCCTGATGTTCCGTAGGTAATTGATGTACATTTCCGATGAGAGGAAGTGGTCTGGGACCAGGTGGAAAGTCAATCCGAGAGGCAGCCAGTGTCCGTAAGGCATATAGTACCACAAGAAGAATGATGCATAGGAGGGCCCAACCTGTAGCCAACGAGGAGGCAAATGGCAAGAAGGTCATCGGAAAATCACCCCGTCAAAAGGACGGGGAACTCTGAGACGATTTATATGCAACTTTATACGAAATACGCGGAGGGACTGACAGGCCGGAAGGGTCCCGTCAAATCATGGACGTTTGGATGGTGTCGGCTCGATCGTCTAATGGCCATCGCCGAAAGGAGTCCAAAAACTGAGTGGCTAATGAAGGATTTTCATGATATCTCGCAGGAAATGAACATGGCCCAGAGTAGATTAGACGATCCACGGTCACGCAGGGTCGTGTACTAGTTTATTGTCTAGTTGTCGTCGGCAACGATGAGATATTGAAGCTAGGCGCCGTTCGATATTATCTCGTGCCCTGGCTCGTAGTATGTCAAGTCAGCGCGAGAAGCATGGTCATTTCGAAGCAATCTAAATTGCATTCTGCCGCTGATTACTTGATATAACTTTTTAAGTTGAGAGAAGGTTAAGATGGAAGTCCCCGGGCCGGTCCCATTAGTCCAGTACCAGTTAGGTGTCGAGGTGAAGATCATAAGTAGCATCTCCGATGCCTTTTGTTTTATGAAAGAAGAACGTCAATTGTCTTTCGCTTTTGGGTGCACAATGACAACAATGACGACGAGGACTGACGGCTCAGTGGATCACGTTAGACGAGTCGACTGCTCTCGAGTCTCGACTGGCAAGTTCATAAACCCAGTTAGCTCACGTTCTTACCAAATTCTCACTCCAGCTAACGTCTTCCTTTGAGGTTTGGGACATCAGGACATTGTCTAGATTATGTTTTCCTGTACTTACCTGGCAGGTTAGTGTCCATTCCTCGGCAATTGAATTGAATTGAAGGTAGTATTTGTCAGATACACAAACAATAAGCGGAAATGATTCATTCATTCTAGGATATGTCTTGTGGTTTGCTCAGGTGCCCGATACATCCTTGTTTCGGGTGTAGGTTGGAAAGTGTGTGATACAATCCTAGGGAATCAAAGGGATAGAACAATTGGTCGTCAGAAACGCCTCTGTGCCAATTGGCTACCTGGTGAACATAAATTTTATTGAACAAAAACCAATCAGCTCTCAACAATTGAGTCAGGACGGTAGAGGGAAAGAACCCCGCAGTTCACTTGTTAAAATAGAGGGTTTGCTGGGCGGCCTCTGTTTTGGCATACATGACCTCCCCCTCCCTGCCCGTTAAAGCCGTTCCCGTTGCGGCTAATGGCTGGTCAGTCTCCGCATTAACTGGAGGTTTGAGGGTCACTTACAGTACCAAGAAAGTGTTGTTACTCCAACAGGGAATGTGTATATCGCCTGCAGAAGTGATGAGGGTCTACAAATGACCAATAGGAAGAACTCGCCTGTTTTCCTCGGAAGTGGATCGTCGCTTGTATAGATGCCGGCTGGCAGGCCGCCACATTGTTGTTCCCTTGGCTGAGGGTCAATGGCTGCAAAGCGATACGATGTTGGTGTGCATGCTTACAATTCAAAACCACGATGGAATACCGAAAGGGGTCAGAGGGTTTCGCTCGGCCAGTAACATATGCCCCAGCGACAAGGGCCCAATTCATGTTGCCGCCTATGGTTACCCCAATCCGCTTCGCACTGGGACCACCAACATCAAGTGCGATAATAGCCTTGGAAGCGTGAGCCATAGCGTAGACTGTAAGGTTGGTTGACATAGCTTCAAAATAGCCTTGGGTACAACTCACACTCCTGATTTACTTTGTAGGTTCCATCTGAATTGATTTGCACGATACCCCTGCAGCCAGACGCTCCACAGTTGTTCGTTCCCGGAAGCTTGGGAGATCCTGTACCATCCAAAGCAAGATTCCACATGAGCGCTGCTTGTGCATTACGTGTTACGGAGCCTTGCACCCATATAAGCGTCAAGACGAAGAATAGAAGGAAATCTTCCACCTATAAAACTAGATATCCGGGATCATGAGCAAGCGAACGAAAGTACGTTTAGTCTGATTTCCTACATGTTGTTCATATACCACTATTGAAGTTGTTACGATCAGCAGGCAATGATAATAATAATTTGCAAAAAACCTTCAGGTCGCCCCACCAGTTCGTCCCAATTGTGCCCGTGCATTCTAATCAAACTGGTTTGGCACAGAGTCGAACTTGCACGAATATATCTTACGCGTCATATAGATTTCCTATAAAAACGAAAGTAAGCAATGCTCTACGAACGACTGGTGAGCGAACATTACTTTGTTTGGGAACAACTTGTTGAACGTGTCCTGTTGATCTACAGATCCCTAGCGCATAGTAGTCAGTGGGTCGGTGTACATTTACGCCGCAATTGTTTTGACTTACCCCATAACAATGAAAGGCCACCCCATCAAAAGCAGCACCAGCCGCTTGCATCAATTGGACTGGGTAAGTAGATGCCGTGTCCCAGTTGTGCTCGTAGCCTAACAAAAGTGAGCGAGAATAACATACGATAGACACCTGACTGACCAATCAACTTGGTTTTGGGGAAACCATTGCTATTCATCAACGTCCTCAGCTTCGTGCCAATTTGTCCCTCCATTACAGGCGTTAGCTTTGCTGTGGGGAAAGTTGGGTTGACGTTCTGAGGCTCATTTTGGACAGAAATTGCGTATGCAGTGATGCCTTTGCTTTTAAACCCTTGAAGGCATTTGAGGAGATACGTTGCATCTGGTCATTGATCAATAACAGCCTTCGAGTGATGTACGGTGTTCCTCACAGACATCCACCAAACTCGATTGAAGTGATCCGCCGTTTAGTGTTCCACCATCTTTCATCCACGCAGGCTGCTCCAATGTTAGAGAGACAACCGATTAGCAGCCAGGTACTCACAGGTGACCATGGCAAGACGTGAACTCGAATCACTGTCATTAAAAAAAAGGTAACCAGCAGGGCATAGTTAAATAATACGAAAACTCACTACTATTAACGGTCTGGATGTCGTTGAGGGTAGAGAAAAGATAGGCGGGGGCGTTGTTGATATCAAAATTCCACAAACAAGTATCATTAACGGACTCGTCAAAGGTATAGGCTACAAAAGATGATAAAACATCAATGCTCCACACAATCATGTCCGACAGATCACATACCTTTGGCAGAAAAGTCAGTGGCTCCCAGTGGTACACGAAGGTAGCTCAATCCAGCGCCATTGACCGGGGAGAACAGATAGTTGAGCAGGTTCCAGTAGCTCGCAGAGTTCTTTATCTAAACACGGTCCATCAGAACGCAGGGTGACTCTCCAGAAGAAACGAGCGTCCCCACCTTTAAGTCATTGAAAAGTGATGCAGAGGAGTCCGCTACACCGAATTCACGTCACGTTAATGATTTTGCTACATCCAAAAAAAAGGACGGGAGAAGTAGCGTACTGAGAGAACCTCCGAATCCCAACACCGGCTGATACACCTTGGTGTCATCAATGGTAATATTCGCGCTGCCAACAAGGATTGGTGTAGCAAAATTGATTGGGGAGCTTGGTTTCACGGATTTCAACAAACTAGACTGGTCCCATGAAGTTTGCCACTGTAAAGAAAGCGTCAAATTCAATAAAACCGCCCAAAAACTTTGGGGGTACGTACGATATCCGCGAGCTGTTGTGCGTGGCTAGACCAAACGAGCGCGAGAGAAATGACGAAAGTCACTGGGTGATACATGCTGTCAAACGGCCAAGCAGTACATTCATCTTCCTGTTCTTATCTTAAAGCGTTCGCTCAGCAAGCAGACGGCTATTCATTTTTGGGCTTAGTCTGGGCGGGTGCTAGCAATGTCGTCTTATTTTCGCATACATTCATGTGAGGTCCATCATTCATCTGGTCTCTCTGCATGAATTTAGCACTCCTAACTCCTCTAGTAAAAGACACTCACAACTATACAGAGGTCAAGTGTTTTTGACGCTGAACCGGAAAAGTCATGATATGAAAGTTAACGCTCAGGCGCAGAGTTTAGTGGCCAACTTCAAGATCAAGCATGGAAAAGGCCAGGCACCAACACCCACACATTCAACAATTAGCATGCGGATACAAGCGCAATCCCCGCGGTATCATCCCATATGAACGCTTACCCAGGCACAAATTAGAACTAACACATTAATATCCCTGAGGCAGAAAAAGAGTGTATCTTAGCAATGGGCCGGCAGGATATTCTAAAACAAGCCAAGAAGATCGTCCTGAGGCTGATGTTGTTGTTGAATTGCTGGTGTCGCTGGTGCTGGCGACATGGGCTGTCCAAATCCAAATCCTCCTCGTCCTGGTATCGCAGATCCCGGGCCAAAGGGTACGGCGGACGTTGGCGCTAGCCCGCCACCGGAACCGAAAATCGACACGAGGTCGTCTAGGGGATTGCTCGATGTTCCCGCGAGAAGGTTGGCAGCGGCCGGCGTTTGCGACAGCACCTCTGTTGCTGCGAGACCCTTGGGTTGCCCGTCAAGAGCTGGAGCGTCATCAAAGTCGCTAGAAAAGAAAGGACATTCGTTGCAGGATTATGACTGAAGCAAGTAGAATTGTGCTCACAGTAAATTTTCTGCCTGTTGACCGGCAACCACAGTTTGTAACGCTTTTTGCGTAGAAAATTGGTCGTCTGCCTCCCTAGGATGGCACATCAAACCTTACGAAATGAAAAACGGAGACGTTTGAATGCTTACTCTGTCCCTTTCCGCACAGAGTCTGCGCCAACTCGTCCCCGTCCAACAAACGTTTCTGCAGGTTTGTGATATACACTAGCGAGACTCGAAACTTCCCCGAGGAGCTCTTCCAAAAGGGCAGGAGCCACCGTCGTCCGGGGAATGGAGATTGGCGGACGGTGAGCCAACACCACAGCCTGCGGAAAAACAAGGATAATGAGCGTTTCGGAAACAATGCGAAACTTGGCCAACAGCTTACTTTCGCTGCCGCCGGATCCATTGAGAGAAGCCGCCAATAAATATATGCGCGGTCTCTGACATCCGGCGAGTCGCAGTCTTTCGTGGCGGTGTTAAGAACCCTCTGAACAATACCTTGTGATGAATCTGGTTTTTTCAGGAAGAGCTTCACCACAGCTGTTAGAGTTTGAAGTTGTACCTGGCCACGACAAAGTCAAAAAGTCATCTTGAAGTCAGAGAATTGACTTACAGAGTAGGATTCTTCTGTGAAAGTATCAACAAAGATGCTAAGCAGCTCATCAGCGTTGTCGATCTTCTTGGCGTATTCTCCAATGATCCAGATGAGTGAGGCCTTGGCTTCAGGTTCATCAAGTTCATCAAGGTTAGCGCATAGTATTGGAATGATGCCCTCATAAGTTTCTGGATATTTGCGGAATATATCCTAACACGACGTTGAGACAATGATTTGGAAACGGCGATGTACACACCTTCATGACAACAACAGCTTCCTGGACAACATAGCTCACTCGCGTGGCGATTAATTCCAACAGCACGTTCACACATCGTTCTGCAGCTTCGTCGATTTTGACCGCCGTTTGCCCAATCGCCTTTATACTCTTCCGGACAAAGTCGACGTCCACCTCTGAAGCATACCTTGGCTGCTATCAGCACCCGCAATCAATTAACAGCAAAAAAAAATCCAACCCACTCTTTGAGCTCACTCAAAAGAGCATCCACATTTTTCTCCGTAGCCAGCCGAACCATTATGTCAAGTTTCTCTACCTTGACATAGAGAGGGTCGTTGTATTTGCAGAAAAACACCCGCATCTCATTAGAAAGAATGTCTGGTCTTTTCTGTAGGAGGAGATTGATATTCCGGAGAGCAACCCATTGGACCTCTGGGGGTGACGAGAGAAGCGTTACAAGCGGTGGGGCCATTTTGCGCACGAGTTGCTTGATGAGGTCCTCTCTATGCACGCCGCGCATGTGGATCATGATGACCTTGACTGCAGCCAGAACGACACTCCCATTCACGTGTTGAAACTGCGGCACCACCCGTTCGCAAATATGCTCGCTCTCCTTCTCGTCTTGGGCCCCATAACGCGCCAGCGCGTTCAAGATGGCCACTCTTCCCCACTCGGAGCATTCGTTCAGCGCGATCAACAGTTTGTTCAAAATATTGGTGGTAATGACGAAGATGGCGGGATCAGACGAGGACGTGGACGGTTGGGATGTAGCGGCGATATGAATGTCTGTCAGAGCCGCGACAGTGTTGGCGACAACCTGCGGACAACTCGTTAGACAATCACTTCAGAGGACATTTGAGATACTCTGAGAAAGATCGGCGGTGTAACATACCATAGGATTACTGTCCGAAATCATCTCCTGCAGCTGCTCCAAGAAACCATTGTCAATCACTAGCTCTGGTTTGAGATCGTACAGCTTCGCCACGCAAAGCGCCGCCGTCTTGCGAACGTAGGGGTTTTCGTCACGGAGACACTTCTGCAAAGGGTCACAGAGGTAGTCGATGATCTTCTCTGCGCGTAAACAGCCCATGGTACGTATAGCCAGAGCGCGAACGAGTGGGTTTGGGTCATCGGTGTCCTTGACGAAGGTATTGACCGCGAGAATGACGAGCTCCGGCTGAGTTTTAGCATAATTCATGAGATAAAGATATACGAGCTTCTTCTGCTCGAGATCGTCTGTCTGCATATTCTTGAGAACATCTGGGAAGAGGCCGCTGACATCTTGTTCGACGCTTAGCCGACCCCTTGTCTGATAGGACCAGGATTTGCTCACCTTTGCCCACTGTCATAGAGGCGATGGTGCGCTTGATGGCATCTTTGCGTTTCTCCCGGTACTCGCTGTTTAGATCAACACTGAGCTCATAATTTTCACCTTTACGGGGGGCGCGTATGCTCATTGTGAAGTGAAGGGGGGAAAGCAATCAGTGACGACCACGTGACAACGCTTGAATTGGTTCAAGCTTGCTAGCCTCGCTGCTCACCGTATCTCTTTAGCGCGCCGCTAACGTTTTATGATGTGTGTAACTGCTACTTTGATTATACGTGTCAACAAATTGTTTCGAAAGAGCGTGCATACAAGGTATCATTATATCAGATTTGCGAATCCGAAAAGCATTATCAGAACAGGTGGTACCGAAAGAAGAAAAAAAGGCAAGGGTCGTCTGAAAAAAACCATCACAGGACGAGGAATACGCAGGCAGGGGGATATGGATCTATGAAAAGAGTTTCCAAAATCGTAAAAAAGAATCATGACCGTGTCCAAGATAAGATGTCGCATTGGGTAAATGGATAGGGGTGATAACTGTTCAAGCCTTGTTTTTTCTGCGCCAGAAGGGACCAGTCTTGGCTCTCGGGGTGCGTGTGCTCGTGCTGGCGCCTGACATGCGGTCCCTGCGACGTCCGAAGCAAACGGTGCATCCTGCCAGAAGGAGGAGAATGAAAGATGCGAATGTCAACCAGAAACCTATGAAGCAAGTGGTCAGGTACGACGGAGTAAAAACTCCAGCCACCACTAACCTGGACCAGTGATGGTATGGGCACCGATGAGCAGGTTGCCCATCTCATGGCGGACAAAAACGAGGAGTGCAATATCGATAGCGAAGGCAATGAGGGTCAGCAGGGCAGCGAGGAACGCCACCAAGGAAGCTATTAACGTCACGGTAATGTGTGTCGACAGCGAAAGGATAAGCGCAATGAAGGTCACGGCAGTGGCTGTGTAGAACGTGTTTATGAGCCCACGAAGAAAAAGTGTAGGAATATAGTACGCATGGACTTACCAACTGGGTGTACGGCAAGACCACGAGTCCAAGATGATCCAATATTGACGCTACGAGTCTTTTCTTGATTAGTGATTGGAACCGAATAACCGTGACCTGTTGAGGGTTTTAACTCAAACTTTGACGAGGAAAGGGGGGGAGATACGGACGTGTTGGGAGACATGTGCGATCGCCATGGGTATCATCGTAGCAGGCGGTCCTAAATGTGGAGGTTAATATGATAAGACGGTATGTGAAGCGCCTTGTTACCAAACACCAAACTAGACAAGAAAGAAGATCAGGAGCTCTGTTATTGATAGGTGGAGAATGAGACTTACGCGGAGCTCTTGTATACCTTGTGCACTGCCGCCGTCTTGCAAAGCGCCAGATGCAAAGTGAACGCGCACGATGTCAAGGGCTGGCAGGTAAGGAAGGGAGATTGACACGAGGAAACTCAAGACAAGAGCACAGACTAGGAAAAGAATGCCAGGGATGCAAAAAACGCGGGACATTGTGTTGCACGGATGGCTTTGAACGTGGTGGTACGATGCAAGAGATATGAACAGGAGAAATGAAGTCAAATGTAAATGACGACCACGTGACACCCACCCTGACGACAATTTCGTGCCAGCCTCATCATTGGAGTATGTATGGACTCTGGAGCACTCCATTACTCTACAAATGGAGTGATACTCACGCAAATGCCTGGTAAATACTTGCAAGTCTACAGAAAGACATTGGAATCTACGAGAAATGACAGCATTGGTGGCAAATTGCTGGAGCAAAGCTGTCGTCATTCGTGCCTGTCAAAGTACGTAAAGTACTTTGCAAGAGTGAAGATTGCCTGACAGGAAGGACGGTCACACCAGGAGCTCACATCAACTCTACTTTTTACTCACCAACTCCTGACTCCTCCCAGTAACGTTATGGCGTTAATTGATTGACATAGGGGCGTAACCAGCTTGCATCCACTCTTGAGTACTGTTGTGCATTTTTGCGAGCAGTCAGTTGTCTAGGTGGTATTCGGTGGAATATATTCAAAAAATCCGTTATACCTTCCGCTAATGCCAACGGTATATGGAAGCAGAAATATCAATCCACTCAGCACCCTCTGATCATGAGAAGGTTAAGAACTTGGCCAATTCCAGCCGATGAAAACACATAATCGTGGGGTTCATGAACAATGATACTTCGGGGACGGTCTAGCTTGAGTTTGCAGGTGAATGAAATTTGCTAAACGTGTATACTTTTGGGGAAACAATGCTCCTTGAATTCCCTGGACAAATTATCAAGCGACTCCGAGCGAGAGTAGCTCCGTTTGTCAATCACAAGAAGTTGCACGCAAGTATGCACTGATTGCTGTGTGCACTGATTACTGAAGACCATCATGATCAACGACCATGAAACGTACCGGAAATCACCTGCAACTCAGCCACCAATGGCTTTAACTTTCCGCATTCCTCCTTCGTATCCGTGTAGCCCTTGTGGTCGGGGGTACTCAGTACCGCACTGGACTTTTTGCTCGGGTTCAGAGACGTCGGCCCGATACCAACCTGGCCAAAAGACTGCGGACAGCATTGACATTTCAATCCGGACTGCAGGCTCAGCAAACGTTGCCAGTTCCACGGATCACGTTAACGTTGGATCAGGTCCTCGACACCCTAGCTGAGGGTACAGGGCGGGAACGGAAATGAGATCCTTTAGGGAATGGTCCTATAACTGTTGCGTACCATTCGTTGATTGACCTTGATTTTGACGGGCAAATATCGGCCGCGTGCCTGTAGCAATATACCACGTGGGAATGACGCAGGTACCCAACCTTCCTCCTTGTGTGCATCTCAAACATAAAATTTGCAATTATATTGCAATTCACATCATGCCTCCTTCCCTGCTTCTTCCCAAGAGCTCATATAAATCTGCTGCAGTGAATGCGTCCTGACCAGCGACCCATTCTCCTCCCACTGCCTTACGCACAGCTAGCTGTTTGCTTTCGATATGTGCAAACACGAAATGTACTCTAATTCCTCTTGTCATCACCATTTAGAACGCTGACAGTCTTTCTCCAGAATCGGTGATTACTACAGGGGCTGCGGGGTACGTTTACTTCAACGTACCATTTTTTTTCAGTTACTAAAGTCTTGAAACCAGCACTTCCATGGCAAATACTACACAGGCGAAACCATGGACTGCGGCTCGGACTGCTGTAAAAGCAGCAATTCACACAAGCACAAAACAGCAAACAAATGCACCTGTCCAGAGGTTCGTTCCAACTGCTTTATCAATCAAGTCATTGTTTTTGAACGCGATACAGATCATCATAGAGGACCGACGCATTCAAAATCTCTTTCAGACTCATCATGCTGATTGTCAGCGCACTTCGCGCGGCTGATCTTTGGGAATACAACCCAACCTCGCGACTGGACCTTGGTCGTGATCCACCCCCTCTTCGTTCTGGCGCATTAATTTATTTGGCTTATCATTACTTACTCTACCTTCGGACTTCTTATAATACTTGGGCACTACCTTGCTCTCAGGACTAGCTACATAGGTTGTATTACTTTCGCTATAATTGTATCGGACACGTGATTATATTGATTTCTGTGATTGCACGATCAGCTTGCCTTCTACTTACCCTTCATCATGCCTTCATGTAAGTGGAAACATCGAAGTCAATATAACAACTTTACCCTAATTTCGTTGAACAGTCGCAGATCTGAAAGCCAAAGCCGCCAGCGCAACTAGTAGCGGCGTTGAAAAGTTACAGAATGTTCGCGATCGAAATACCAGGCATGCGAACCTTACTTCTACTCTTTTCGTTTGAATTCACATAAACATCTCTAGTGTCCCCATGAAAAAAACTAACTGGGATCCTTACAGTGGAAATCCACCTCCACCCCCTCCACCACCAAGAATCAATCAGAAATCAAGGCCAGCTGAACTCGCACCATTGCCACCTCCCCCGAGTCGTACAGGTTCAATCATACCACCCTCAATATCTTCAAGTAGATCCACTGGATCAACGGCACCGCCTTTGCCATCACGAGGACCGGTGTCCTCTCCGCCTTTACCTCCACGAGGACCGGTGTCCTCTCCACCTCTGCCGCCTCGAGGACCGGCGTCCACTCCTCCGCTGCCTCCCCGAGGGTCATCAGCAGCTCCGTCCCCGTCCCCGGTCCCACCTACCCGCAATTTTGTACCCACGGCTCCCTCAGCGGCCGGGCCTCCTCCCATAGTTCGTGCGACTCGTCCTCCCATAATTGGGTTCTCGATCTCCCAAGAACCAACGATAGACTGGACTAATATATCTGCACAAGACAAAGAGACATTCTTTGCGTGGTTGGATGAATATTTCTCTAAGCTCCTTGGGATACAAGTTCCGTCCAACACCAACAGTTCAGTTGGTCACCCGTCACCTTTCCGGGGTCCTGTAAGTTCTATACCCTCACTTTTGTTATTCGGATATGCTTATTTGTCCTGCCAGACTAAACCGGCGTCATGGAGGCCCTCGTTTGGTGGAATGTGACTTGGTTTTGCGTCGACTAACAGGATCAAGACCCCAATTTCTCCTATCCGCTAGCATTAATATCCGCCTAACCTGCTTTCCCTGTGGCACTACTTTCTACCCTGTAGCCCTCGTCAGGAACCCTGACATGAACTCCTCTCCGAACTTGCCATCCTTGTGGTGGCGCTAAATCTATGACCGCCAATGTGATATTCAACAAAATCCATTCGACGTGATCAATGCTGGCGTCCTGCGTGGCGGAGGCTTCTGAATCTTATGGAGAGTCAGTCACCTCGCTATAGGGACTTTCTTTGGGAACGGGCAACACTATCTTCAGTTTTGTGCCCTCGTGTTGAACTTTTTGGATTTCAATTCATCTACGTATATTCTATGAGCAATGACTCCAAATCTCTTCACCTCTTCAACGTGAATTTAGACTTAAGGCCGAACGCGAGGGAAGGAGACATTGTTGGGCGGAGGAAGGTTCGATTGAGGGCATGAGCTGAATACAGGTGGATGCAGCGTTCTAGGGACCTACACTAGTGCTATTGTTCTTAGGCAACCGGCGGAAGCACCTTATAACCAAAAAGGCAGGATGGTAGTTGAAAGATACTTTTTGCACTGATTCCACGAGGGGTGCAGGGTTTGTAGACTCTGAACGAGACGCCGTCTTGATTTAAGTATGTTTTTGTTACTACTTACGTGTCGTTGAGATGAGGGGGCGGAAATGAGGAGTATATGAACATCAGACTCGTCCTTCTACTACAGGGATAGGCTGTCTGGCCATGGCAGAAGTATCATACAACATGTCAATGTCTAGACATGGATCGATTACGTTGAAATCTATCACGTCGTTCTACAGGATCCTCGAAAGTGTCACGTATGATGCACGTTGTTGTTACATGTCGCCTGAAGTGAGGAGAAGGTATACAGCGACAGGTTGTCGATTTGTTCCAAACCAGATAAAGTTGCTGGCATCGCCAGGCGGCCAGTTCAGGTTACGAAAAGTGGATGCCCACATCATGGAAAGCGGAGAGTAACCTGCCAGGTATTAAGACACAGCACGCTGGAAGATTAAGGGAGATGCGCACCTTAGGAGGTCATCGACATCCATCTTGGATGCTCTACTCTCCGTGTACCCCCCATCTTCCAAAACCTTATCCAAAAGAGTATTGATCGAAGTTGTATCATCAACAGGCTTTCAATATCACCATAAGCCTGGCAAACGTGAAGGGAGAAGAAGGATCACATACCATGTCCTGCATTGCGAGCCATGTTCTCCGATTTTGCTCCAGCATCTTCATAACACCCTTTGCCTGGAAGTTGCCGCGAACGGTCTTGTTTGGACGAGAAAAAATGATACGGTTCAGCCCGTCGAATTCCTCAAATTTGACTGGCGGCGGAGGGTCGATTGGGACGAGCCGTATGACTGATGATTCAACTTGTGGAGGTGGTCTGAAATCGTTCCTGGATACGTTGATGATGTTGTCTACTTTGGCGTAGAGCTACGGACGCTGGCCGTTAGATGTGCAAGATGGATGGGTGAGCAATTAATTAACTACTCACCTGCACATTGGCAGACAGCCTCGACCAAAGCGCTGTTCCCGGTCTAGCAACCAGACGCATCGCAAACTCACGTTGGAACATGAGAATCGCGACACGGAAAAGAGGTCGGTGTGAGAGGAGTCGGAAGACGAGGGGTGAAGAGATTTGATAGGGTGTATTTGAGATGCAAACTTCAAAGTAAGGCATGTCGACCTTGACGAAATCGCCAATGATGACTTCTAGCTTCCGCTGCTCTGGCCTTTTTAAACCAGTAAATACTACAAGTCATATGAAAGAGATCGGACTCACGTTCCTTGCACTCGTTTTATGACCTCGGCAGCCATGCGTGGATCCATTTCCACAGCCGTTACGTGCTTGGCCTTTTCCAGGATTTTCACCGTCAAGTTTCCTGTACCTGGTCCAACCTCCATCACTTTATCCGTTGGCTTCAGATTGGCCTGTGGAACTATTCAATCACGAGAGACATGAAAAAGACTATCTCTGCACATACCGCATCTACAATTCTACCCCATGATTTTAGTGGTAAAGTGTCAGATCGAAAGATAGGACCGACTTTTGAGCTGTTGCAGGATTTTTGAGGATGTGCTGACCGAATCTTTGAGTGTTGAAGATGGGGTTTGTCATTGATCCATTGTTGTCTTTTTTCTTTGGAGCTGGCTGGTGTGCTCTTGAAAACTTTTCTGTCGTTGCTCGAGGCATTGGTGATCAAAGTAAATTGCTGTTGCGCATGTGATCTTTGTTTATTGCTCAGGAATGTGAGAACTACACAACCAATCGTCAACAAGCCTTTCTTTGGAACCACCACCATCCAACGCCACTTTCGCGTTCACTTTTGTGTGCGTCTCCGTTTCGATTCACTAATCGGATATTTACTGACTTGCGTGGCGAAAGTAGTCCATTGGGGCGCGATCTACAGTTGTTCGTATGAATCTCCTTTTTATGCAGCGTCTCACATACTAATTATTTTTAGAGCGCGTATCCGTATAATCTATCGCTTTCAACATGCCTCCTGCTCAAAAATCCGGCGGAAAGTCCAAGACGGGCGCCACAGGAACACCAGCGCAACAGCGGACGATTCAGACGAGAAGTCAAAGGGCTGGGCTTCAGGTACGTCGCGTTAAATCTTGCGATGGGAAGTTGAAATAAGTGTGCGACTTATCAGTTCCCTGTCGGACGTATTCATCGTTATCTCAAACAACGAACACAACACAACGTTCGCATCGGTGCAAAAGCTGCCGTATACACCTCTGCCATTCTCGAATATCTCACTGCCGAAGTTCTGGAGTTGGCCGGTAATCCCAGTTCCATAATCATTAATAATCAACATGCTAAGAACTGTCTCAGGCAATGCATCAAAGGATCTTCGTGTAAAGCGAATAACTCCTCGTCATTTACAACTTGCCATTCGTGGCGACGAAGAACTCGATACCCTCGTGCGAGCTACAATTGCGGGAGGAGGTGTATTGCCTTTTATTCACAAAAGCTTGACAACAACGATGAAGGCACCAGCAGGCAAGAAGCCCGAAGCGTGATTCTCTTTCAGTTGGTCGTGGAGGAGAATAATTATTCAGAGCGTGTTCTCTGGGATGTTTTCATTCACTGTGGCTCGAGGATTCCAGACGATAATATGTATGCTATTTCATGAGCTTTTTTTGTACGGTTATGATGTGTTGAACGATGTACTCGAGTACGTATTATTATGCCCGCTGGAATATTTATATCTTTACGCGATCTCGTCACACTGTCACAGAGTCAGCCGCACCACATCTTATCCATTCACTACCACATCGCCTAATTGTACCTCTCATTCAGTGAGTTTTTTATCTTGGCCGTTACAGAATCTCTCTCAACAATAAACAGCCTATAATATTCTATATACCCTGGACTAATATCATGTCTCCTGAACGGAACTCTATCTATTCCTCACCTGAAGCTGCACCAAAGCCGTATACGAAGGCCCTAACGCCCATCACGCTACCAACCTTATCTTGGCCAGTCACTACCACGACCTCTGAGTTTCCAACGCGCGCGCAATATCAGGAAATCGAATCCAACTACCTCACATGTCTTAGCCCAAGGCGACAGGGAAAAGCTCTGATTTCTCAATCCATCTTCGATAGGATCTGGGATGTCCTTCACAATTCAAACTCTCAAGCTGAGAATCCCCAATTCAGATTCTGGGCGAGGAAAATGTTCACCCTGTCGAATGCTCACGGCTTTGCAACGACCGGTACACCGCAAGAGGTTTTACTCCACGACGGCTTGCTAGTGGCAGTTCAAGAACAGATTTACGATTTGCTTTGTTATTGTCACGCCAGCACTAATCATGGAGGACGAGATAAGACCTGCGCGTTGATACGGAAATATTATACCTGGGTTCCGAAGGATCTGGTGGCTAGCTTCGTAAAGGCTTGTCCGACGTGTCTCAACAAGAAAGGCGGGAGCTTAGGCAAGGAGAAGAAACTCGCTACCACACAAGGAAATTACTCCTCGACCGTCAAGACTGAAGACGAAGAAACTCGGCTGCCTCAATTACACGATCCTTTCCAATCCACTGTCCTAGCTGCTCCTCGCCCCCTGACTATCAGTCCACGGCACTCAATACTCCCGCCTCTTCAAGAACGCGAAGAATCGAAAGCCCCGACGGGTTCTTCTTCAATCATTTCTCCTTGCGCTCTTCTTTCTCGCCCAATGGTTCGGGAATGTACATTATACAAAGGGCTTCCTAATGGCTGGCAAACACGACACAAAGACTACGCCTCTGCTCATGCAGAGTTTATGGAATTGAAGAACAATATCGATCCGTCTCTCCCCCCGGGCCCACGCAGGAAGAGAATACCAAGCATCGCACCACTTTGGGGCCCGGACCGGTTCCCTGCACCGGAAGAAGCGTCTGGAATGGAATCATTGACGAACATATCCCTGCCCTCCATTACAGACGATGACGGAATTGACCCACTCGATTCGAGCTTGCCAGAAGCACTTTTGCCACTGCTCATCACGCGTCGCGAGGTCAATTTGGAACACTCACCCGAAAATGTTCGCAAGAAGCCTTACTTCCAGGGGAAGGGGAAAGCCAGCGGATCCTCTCGCCCTCACGGTCCCAAGCACGGAGGCATATTGATTAACGATCTCTCCCGGCCATCGCTTCCTCTTTTGTCAATGAAAACCTCAGCGTCCACTCGGCATCCACGCTTAAGCTTGGACACAGAGATGCTTACCGAAATGTCGTTTCAAAAGTTCCTAAACCATCGTGACAATCCGGCATCAAGCGACGGCGACAGCCCTACAGAGCTTCAGGTGGATCCGTCATACCCATCTCTACTGTCTGAATCTGGCAGCGGCGGCTACGCGATGTCTACGACCTCTAGCCTCTCCCCTGCTAGTACTGCCCTCCCTACCCCACTCGATGAATGCTTCCCTGGGAAGGGCTTCAACGAGACCTTTCTGACGGGCAAGTACGACGGTAAAAGAGAGGATAATCTGTCTGGGGTGACTTTGGGCCTCGAAAGTGCTTTGATGGTGCTTGGACATTGAGTAGAAAGGGGTAATGACATTTAACACTTCAAAAATTCTTACACGCTCTTTATACATAGTATATATCCTATCCAAATTCTTCACACATGTGTCTATCCAAGTTGACGAGCGAAATGAGGAATGATTGATGATAGATATTGAGTACATGTCGAGTCTCGTCCCGATCGCGTTGTGATACTTATCACACAAAGCTCGTCTTATTTTCGTTGATATTCTCCCATACATTCAGGCTACATGTCTTTAATATCGTCTTCGACACCCAGCGCATCAACCAAAGTTGTTTCGCATGGCCCTAAAAACAGAAAATCGGCCTCATCATCGCCAGTTGAGCGATTGAGATTAAAGACGGCAACTTTTCCGCCGTTGGCTTTGACCTGAGTGGCGAAACTGGACGCTGGCAACACCTGCGTCACGGTCAACTCGTTAAAAACTAGCTGATCAGAACGATCTGCAACTCACGGTTGACGATGTCCCCACAACCAGCAGTAAATCACACTGGCTCATTTTACGAGAAACCTCCCCCATAAGAGGAGGCATTTCACCGAACCATACCACCTCTGGCCGCAGCAGACCACCGCAGTTGCCGTAACGATTTGACCCGGCCCAGCTATCCCCGCCACACTTGGGCAGTTGACAGAGAGGAACATCGCGTTTGGCATTGCTGTCTTCATCTCCATCGAGAGCAGACGCAAGGGAGGGCGCGTAGCTACGCATAACCTTCTGGCAAGAAGTACATTTCGTGACAAAGATAGAGCCATGCATTTCTATGAGGCCTTCAGCTGCCTCTGGAGAAAGAGATTCGAGAAGACGGAGGGAAAGTGAGTCGACGTTTTGCGTGATATGTAACGGTTGGGACATGGAGCAAGGGGCGATGCGGGAAAGAGCTGATGGGAGTGCAAGGGTGGCTAATGCCCGATGAGCATTGTTAGGCTTAGCCTTCAAATATCTACGGTAAAAGGGATTAAACAAGTTGGGCGTGATTCATGATATCCTGGCTTACTCCTTGCGTCGATTATGATACCACCTCCACACACCGCTCGGGTCCTTCGCGAAAGCTTGTGGAGTGGCGTAGGCAGTTGGATCCTACAATAATGATTAGCGCATAGTTCTGAAGCGGCGATCGACCTGAAGCTCACAAAGTTATTCCACAGCGATTCATCTGCGCTACGATATGTAGGTATACCTGTTGTTATATTGAAGCGGGTGATGTGCACCAAGGAGAAAACGACCGTACCAGATGCAGCCGATAAACCCGCTCCGGAGAGAATAAGGATGTTCTTGGACGAAGCAAGTGCCTCCTTAAACGACCGTAAATCAGAGGACGAAGGCATAACGATAGGCTGAAAATCGATAGTAAAGTTCAACCAAAGTTCATCAAAGTCAAGTTTGCCATTGTCCACAGGAGTCACAACATTGCACAAAGGCACCGAGCAAGGGTCCATGTAGGTCCATGTCCTTCTACCTCCTCTACCGTTTCGTCACCAAATTCCCGCAATTGGAGCCGCGTGGGTGCTACGTCGTGCCGGGGAAAACTTGATTGCACAGATCAGCTCGTCTGCAACTTATTAGTTTGAGTTGAAAGTAATCTGGATATAAATGCGTACTGGACGATGGTGTCGTAGATGAATTTGTAGCTCCTAAGATTTCCTTTCAATCGCCTGATATCGAGGCAGATGCAATCGAGGCCCGTGAGCTTCGTCAGCTGCACGGAGAACACAATCTCGTCTCCAGGATCCTCCGCTTCATCCTTTCCAAACAATACCTTACCTGGTGTTGGGGCGTCTTGAAGCGTGTCATCTGAGCTATCTGAGTCCTAGAGGGTACGATGAAGTCAAGACTTGCATTTTTGGGTTTGTCGACTTACATTTCCATCACTGGCAGATGAGGCCTCAGGGTCCTCTCCGCCTTCTACACTTGAAAAGGAATCCGCAGATGTAGAGCTCTCCGATGAATTCACTCGGCCCTCCTTTGCTCGACGAACACAGCGGTAGTTGTAGTTGCCTATCTTTTGAATTTCGATACCCGTTTCCAGCAGGATCCGCTTCACCCATGGCATCACACGAATGGGGCATTGCGATGTGACGGTCGTTTTGTCAATTGCTCCGCGATGAATGTCCAGTGAGTCCACAGCAAGTCTGGTTGGGTCCTGGAGCGCGAAAGGCATGAGTTTTTGCGTAAATTGAAGTGGAGAGTTAAACGGATTGAGGAAGAAAGCTTGTAGGCTTCAGATTATATATGATAATGATGAAAGGAAAGTCGCAATCTATTAATTACATTACACGAGAGCACCGCCAGGCTTCCAACACCCAAAGTATGATAGATTTCAATCCATCAGTCATATATACGTTGATTTGAGTGGGTCTGAAGAGTAGATGGGTGTACCAATTCTTATGAGAAGTGGTGCTAGGAGGGGCGGCGGGACAAGATACCGATCGGAGGTGAGTGACTGGAAATTGTGCTGATAAGAAAAAGTTCGAGAAATGTAGGGGAGACTGGAAGAGGCACATGGGTGAGGACGCCGGCTGGAGGTTTGGACATGGAAGTGTAGTGAGAGGAAAGAGGCTGACGAGGAATGGAAGACGAATGTGAAAGTGATTATGGTATGCTGTAAGTAGACAAATAATACGCAGGATATAAACAGGGAGGATATCAAGTGAACCAACAGAAGTAGCACGGGGAACAAAGGGAAGAGCACATAATGAAACAGAAAAGAAGAGGAGAGAGTTGAGCCAGGTCCAGGGATATGAGGGTAGGGAGGAGTGAGAAAACATTGGTTGTGGTGATGTGAATGGAGGATATAATCATCTATCGTTGTAGATCCGCGCGCCTAGACATATTCAGCAAAACGATCCAAGAAAGCAATTAAAAGAGCAAACTCACTCCCTAAGGGTATCATACAAAAACTTATAACTTCTGAGGTTGCCCTTCAACCGTCTAATATCCAAGCTGAAAGTGTCGTTCAACCGGTCCAATCGAGTTAGCTCGACCGAGAATCTGACTTCATCGCCCACGTCTTGCGAAGGATCCCCATAGGCCGCTTCGGGCAGGATAAGGGGCTCACTGACCACGACAGAACCTTCGTCATCAAAAGGTAGAGAAGGCTGGGAGGCAGATCCCACGCCCGTGGCTGAAACTTGCGATGATTGTCGACGCATAAGCAAGCCACGGAGCATTCCCCCCGTACCAGAGAAGGCAGATGGCGATGGAAGGGGCAAGCCGCGCTTGTCGACCTAAAAAAATTGTCAGTACACAGGCAATTGAGGGGTGAAATGGACATACACCATTGGAAGCGGCACTGCCGACCATAGTTACGGCAGCCAAACCACCAGGACCCACACTCCCTCCAACGGCCGCACCCACACCAGGGCCCATAGTCCCCCTCCTCTTCTTCGCCCGAATACATCTATACTTATATTCACTTTCGAGCTGGATCTCTACACCCATCCCCTCGAGCACCTCCCTTACGTGGCCCATTACTTCTGGGGGTGGCCGCGTTGTAATGGTCGTCTGATCGACTGCCCCATGGTGAACCCTCAGCTGGCTATGCGGATGTGCTTTTCCTGGCAATGATGGAGCTTGTGAATTTGACGGTCCACCAACAGTGACCGAGTTTCTGAACCGCTTTCCCCACCCTGGGGTCATAGACGAATCGGTCGCCGAGCTCGCAGAACGCTGAGGATGACCGAGCATGGGTGAAGCCGCAGATCGGGATACAGCTGACGTTGGAGTTGTGACCACAACATGAACTGGGATCATGCCCCTTTCCTTCAGCCCAGTTGACATCGATGTCTGGTTCACAGTGCTGCTTGAAGCTGAATACCCTTTCTTGTAACGGCCAGAAGTGGCGCCGTCCTTCTCCTTAGAACCACCATCATCTTCGTCTTCCGGTGCCCCGCCTCCAGGGCTAACCGAATCCCGGCCCTTCGACTTAGTGCGGAACCACTGCATTACCTTCTTCGCCTTATTTGTGGACGCTTGCATCCCTAACAAGCTATCTGGACCACCGAGCTCGACGGCACCATCGCCCACGACTGGGGCAGGTAACGCTGTATCCGTGGAGGACACAACAGCATTTTGTGGTTGTTGAGGAGGAACATGCGACTTCGTTTTGCCTCCCGCATTGGCCGCGCTTGCTCCATCAGCTGTCAGTGGCGTACTTGTCATCCTCCCCTTAGCTCTGTTCCGAACAGACCGAGTGAAAGGCTCCACCATGACGGTCAAGGTGTTCCGCCTTGATTTCCTGCCTGAAGAACCATCTTTCTCTCCAGGAGGGCTGAGGATTACAGATGTTGCACTGCTGTGGCCGTCTGAAGGGACCCGTGCGCTGTTCCCACTTGTGTGACTCTGCGCACTACTGCTCGCCTCTCCATTCGCGCCCGAGGAAACCTGCGCTGCGTTTGAGAAACCTGCACCGCTGAAGATCTTACCCAACCCCAGCTTATCAATGCTTGACTTGCCTTTCTTGTGCCCCTTCTTCATGGAAGACACGGAAGTCTGGCTGCTGGTTTCTTTGTCCTTATAAACCGGTGCTTCGGAAGCGGTAACGGCATGCATGGCGTGAATTGGGGTTGCGGGGGGTGAGGAAATGCTGATGTTGGGGTTGTCCATTGAGAGCGCATTGGTATGGCTTGGGCCATTTTTAGTTGGCGTGACACTATTAGAGAAAGGGACTGAGGAAGATTTGGGTGTGGTAGGACTCGTCGAGTTGCGATAAGACGAGGGTGTTTTGGAAGTCGGGGTGTTAGGGTTGGGTGGCAGAGGTTTTGTGGCGCCGCTCTGGGATGGCCGCCTCTCCTTCGAAGTCTGTGGGTATTGTCCATTCTGCAAGTGAGTTGATGCAGTACTGTTGTTATTTGACTGCCCCTGACTACCGCTCCGCTCCCGTTTCTTGTCCTGACTCTTCCTGCCAGCTTTGCTTGAAGGTTCATCATACTCAACCTGAATTGTATGCCTGAATCCGCCACTACCTCCGCTTCCGTTTGATTTGTGGCTTTTTGAGGGAGATTGAGCCTTGGGGTCGTTGGGAGCAAGAGAAGCATTGGCGCGAGCACCTTCCTCCGAAGTCCGCTGCCCTGAGCTGGTAGTAGTAGTGGTGGTTGTGGTTGTGATGACAACAGGGCCCGAATTAATGCTAGATGTGCCAGGGGCAGCAAACGGATCGTCGTCACTTAACCCAAGTGCTGCTGGGCTGTCATAGTTTTTCCGCGGTATTCCGTTGGATGTCGGTGTTGTATTGACACCTGAGAGGGGGGAAACCATGGACTGGTCAGCCGAGGAATCGTACAGGTACTCTGGTTGAGTAGAACGGCTTCGGGCTGAACTGGAAGGCGCTGTTGTTCCATGATCAGGCCGATGGGTCTGACTTTGGCTGCGGGACGTTGGGGAAAGAGCATTGGAAGTCAATGCGTTTGCCTTCATTTGCCTCTGGTAAGCTTGGCGCTTCAGCTGGTGTTGTTCCATAGCTGCCTGTTCAAGATCGTCGACTGACTTGCCAAAGGCTGCTGGCACCCCATCAGTGCGGGAAGCAGCGTATGCCGCCAACCAAGGATGACGCATAACGCCCTCGAGACTCGAACGACGAGTAGGGTCAGGAACAAGCATCATACCAAGCAAATCGCGTGCTTCGGCGGAAATGTAGTCAGGGAAGGATAGCGGCGTGTTGACGATGTACTTGTACAAGAGATTGATGTTGTCACCGTCAGGGTTTGCTGGGTCATCGTCAAACGGGAGATAGCCCGCAAGCATGGCGTATAGGATAACACCACAGCTCCAAATGTCGACGGCGCTCCCTACGTACAAACCCTCGCTGATGACGAGTTCTGGGGCTGCATAACAGGGGCTGCCACATGAAGTCTGCATCAAGTCGTCTGATCTATGTTCAAATCGATTAGCGAATCCAAAATCAGTGATAATCACGTTGCGGTGACGGTCCAGTAAGAGATTTTCAAGCTTGAGGTCGCGATGCACAATTTTCTTTTGATGAATGTACCAGACTCCTGAAATAAGCTGGGAGAAAAGTTTGGCAGCATCCCTCTCGCGCAGGTAACGATGGGCGAGAATGTGGTCAAAGAGTTCCCCTCCTGACGCATATTCGAGGATAATGCCAATATATTTATCGGTCTCGATCACATCGTAAAGGCGGACGATGTTTGGATGCTTGAGCGTCTAAAACGGTGCTCAGAACTAAGAAAAGCTCCACGAGATGAAGGAAAGAATACCTTGAGAACTTCAATCTCCCGTTCAACTTTTGACATTCTTACGGTTGTATCCACGTTGCCCCGTCGAATGAGCTTTACGGCAACCTCTTCACCCCATTGATGGTGCAATCCAAGTTTGACCTTACCAAACTCTCCTTCACCAAGTGTCTGAAGAAGAAGGTATGGACCAAATTTGGGTATGGTGCGCCGTGGATGGGCAGATGCGTAGGCAACCGCTGCGGGGTGAGAATAAACATCGACATGTGGTTGGGTATCGTCATGGGAGGTAGAATGTGAAGTAGAGGGTTGGGGTTGAGAATTGGAAGTGGGGGACACGACAGTGTGAGATGCGCGCTGTCGGCGTGAAGCTGAATGGTTTGCCGACCCTGGGCTCGTTGGATGTACAGCAACAGAAACTGGGCGGGATGCAGCGACCGCGGCGACCTGCGCAGACGGGCTTTGCTGGTTATAATGACGAGAAGGCCCAGGGTTCGAGTCCACTGAGGGGATCTGGAGACTGGTAGATGCGTGCATTGATGTTGACGGAGACCTCAGAAGTGCTGCCTCCGACGATGAATTGTCAGAATCTGAAGGTAATGAGCAGGCCAATTTGCTACATGTATTAGAGCGTGCTCACCGTCTACGACGAGTAGCAGGTCGCGGGTGACGTGGGGGAGGTGTTGAACGACGTGCTCTGAAAAAGCTGGGTGAGAGTTTGAATCAACAAAGAGAAACACAGAACCGTGGGAGTTTCGTTATTGTCGCTTCCACATGAAAAGTAAAGTAGACTCGGATATCTCGACGACCGTCGCAATATGTCGTTAGAGCACTTGAAGGTTTTTTATTATTGCTTTTTCTCGACAAGCCCTGATTATCTTTGACAGTTTGTTATAGGATTTACACGTCATGTACTTGGTACCCCGGTCAGTTCCCACATGGACCATGCACCAGAACAACTCCATGATATAAGACGCGACTTAGGCTTCGCCCCGATAGACCCAAGTTTGACCCGAGAAAAAGACGCGACTTAAAGACTGTTCAAACTCAACATCTTACTAAATATCGCCTTCCCTGCCAAGTATCTTGGTTCCATGACTGCAGGGCAGTTCTTAAAACGAGTCGCCAATGACTTTCAGTCTTCCGATTGACCCGAGGATCATCTTCACTTGTCGCTTCAAAGTTTAAAGCATGAGAAAAATCACTAGTGAATCTGAACCGGGCAAAACTTACCCCATGGGACGTTCTTGGGCTTACTACATCCAACAAACGTGCCTCTCTACCGCCGAAGTGATGAAACTATATCATAAGCTGCTAGTCCAAGGCTTCATCATTCCCACAACAACTGAGGGACCTCGAACGCATGGAACAGTTCTTCAAACGCATCCTGGTGTTGGAAGCTTGTGGTGCGATTGTAAGTATCGGTTCCCGTATCTCTCGAATGTCGGCTCATTCTAGCGTAGGCGACGCATTTATGGCTTCAACGCTCAGAACCATCGTCCTTGCTCCTGGTGTCCTCCGTACTTGCTTTGGTTCCATTTTTTCCTTTCCTCGTCTTCTCCCCAAGTCTTGCCTCACCGATATCCGGGATGTTTTTGTCTTACTCAGTATACAGCGTGACGCTGGCTACCTCTGTCGTTGCCTACCGCATTTCTCCCTTGCATCCACTTTCGCAGCATCCAGGCCCTCTCATGTGCAAGATTACCAAGTTATGGGGTGTCTGGGTTGCCTTAAAAGGGGACACACACTTGTATCATAAATTGCTCCATGATAAATATGGTCCGACCGTCAGAATAGGTACGTTATTTTACTCAGGTATTTCTGAAAATGAATTTGGCTGCTACATCTTTTTTTTCAAGGGCCCAATGAATTGTCCACTATAGACAAGGATTTCATCCCCTTCGTTCTGGGAAGCCAAGGCATGCCGAAAGGACAATGTAAGTGTTAAAATTCCGACCTGTTCCTTTTCACCTCCCGACCTCTGTTTTCAAATAGTATGGGATGGAAGACGCTTTGCTCAAGCGAAGAACGGAAATGAGTACGACAGCCTGATTGATGTACGAGATCTTCAAATACATGCGCAACTCCGGAAGGCATGGAACAAGGCATTCGCCCCGAGCTCGATGCACGATTACGAGGAATTCCTCGACCCCCGCGTTGCCCAATTGGGAGACCATTTGGCACATGCTTGTAAAGATGGGAGCGGCCATCTCGTGCATGTGGATCTTGCGAAATGGATCAGCTTCTTCGCGTGCGATTTTATCTCAATTGTGAAGTCTACGCCTTCGTTGACAGCTGTCTTTAGGTTTGACTTGATGGGCGATATTGCGTTAGATGCCTTTCGTTAACCCCTTTTACTTGTTTGTGCTGACAAACCATTTCTCCAGGTTTGGAGGTTGTTTTGAACTCATGCGTGATGGCGACAAGGAAGGCTTATGGAAAAATATGGAATCCGGCCTTTAGTAAGGAAAATACTCCACTAAATCACAGCAATTCTCTAATCGCCATAACCAGCCTACCGAGCATCACCCAGCATGTTCCTTGGATCGCCGTGGCGTTACGATCTCTCCCATTTTTCGGTTCAGGAATGCAAGCCCTTACACAGTTTGGCGTTTTCCATGCGAAACGACGCGCAGCCTTGGAAATGAAAAATAAGGATCTGTTTTACCATCTTGTGCGTCACACCCTTTGTCAAGCGCAAATCTAGCCAATTTCACCTCGTGCATCATTTAGCTCGAAGCGTCAAACACTTCTTCAACCTCTGTTGAAGAACAGTTTCCGATAATCGTCGGCAACGCTATTCTAACGATCGTAGCAGGCTCAGACACGACGGCTTCTGTCATGAGTAGCATCATCTGCTACCTCCTTAGTCATCCCGACGTGTATAAGCGCTTGCGAGACGAGCTTGATCATGCTTTCCCGTATGTTGATGCTGACGGTGTGCCTGTCATCGAAACCGAGAAGCTATCGAGTTTGAACCTGTTAAACGCTGTTATGTGGGTACTGTTTCTACCCATTCGTTTCAATGTGTTGACATCATGCACATTCCGTTCAGCAATGAGACGTTGCGCCTCCTCCCCGCAATACCAACATCATTGCAGAGAGCTCCAGCAAGAGGCAGCGGTGGCAAGATGCTCGGTAACAGCTTGTCGGTGAAATCGATCGTTGCCATTGAATATCGCTGACTTTGTAGCACAGTTTTATTCCCGAAGGCACTGGCATACAAGTCCCACCATATGTCCTTCACCGTGACCCCCGATATTTTTCGCCCGACCCCGAAGCATTCATCCCCGATAGATGGCTTACACCCTCAAAGAACGGGAAAGATAGCCAGGCCCCCGAATTCTTAACCACGAAAGATGCTTTCATTCCATTTTCATATGGCCCAGCAAATTGTGCAGGAAAATCTTTGGCTCTGACGGAGATGAGAGCTGTCATAACTCTTTTGCTGAAGAGATTTGACCTGGGCTTCGAAAGCAAAGACAGCTTAGAAGTACAACGCGTAAAGTGGGAGAGTCAGATGAAGGACAGATTTGTCTTCACGAAGGGTAAGCTACCAATTTGGTTGAAGGAGAGGAGGTTGTAAAGACTAGAGAAAGTAATTATGGCAAAGTACTTTGATACGATCTCTATGCTATGATCTCTCTCCACTAAGTAGATAGCTCTCTAGGGAACCGTAAGCTGTAAATAAACTAAATAATCCCAGTCACCAAATTGCCGAAAATCATGAAACTGGTTCAGATGTTGCCTAGACCATGGCAACCACAATGCCAGCAACGACACCCAAGGCCAATCCTCCATTCACGTTGTTGACCGCGGCATTCGACGTACTCGTGGGATTGAGAGCCGAGCTGATTACTGAGGACGCAGATGCGACAGCAGAGCTTAGAGACGGATGAGCACTCGTCACAGATTGAATGACGGAGCTGCGGCTGGAAATCTCGGAGCTGATAGAGGAAATTATAGACGATGCCTGGGATTGAGCTGATGATTGAAGAGACGAGAGGGCGGAAGACAATTCTGATGTTCTGGATCGAGGTCTCTAGTGAGCTTCGGCGAAACGAGAAACGTATAAATTAGACACTCACGCTAGAGAGCTTGTCGCCGTAGTTGTACTCGAGCTCTGAGCAGCAGCGGACGCGGCAACGAGTGCGACAATGGCAGCGGGCTGTATAAATTTCATGGTGGGTGGTAGACAATTTTCAGACAAGGAAAGACCGAACAAGACTTTATAGCCGTTCGATAGGGGGACGAGACAGACGGTCATCAATTTTGAATGACGTCGTCATAGGAGAAGAATTTAGTGCCCTATTTTTATAGACCAACGACGATGAATAGGAGCACTGCGCAATGCACAGCAGATCGAGCAGCGAAGGCTCAGTTCAGTCTTGGCAATCCGCCGGCGCAAAGGGTCCTAGTTTTATGTGAAAAGCCTCTAGTCAACCGACGAATTAACGGAATGCTCAACTTCACCTTCAATTTTAAACGCTAAAACAACGGTCTCAAGCTCCCGACATCTGCGATTTTGTATGTACCCGATTGTTCACAAGGTGGTGTACTTGGAACAAACGTAGGCCAAATTCTGGAATCTGAGGAGGGAGCCCTATGTAATTGGCCATCACCCAGTCGGCTTGCCTTGACAATGATTAGCAACCAGAGAAACTTGATCACTTCGCTATCGCCATTCTACCCTGCATATCTTCGCTTGTACTCTGCTGGAGTCTCGGCCGACTTCCCATGCTTCCAAATCCCTCGTCTTGCGGCCCTGTTCAAAATGATGGGCAAAAGGCTATTTATAATTTTAGTCACAAACTTGGCTTCAGCTTCAATGCGAATATATTCGTCTTTCCTCCCTTTTGCATATTCAGCGCCAGCCTGTAGCGATGGCAGAAGACTTAGGTTTCATGCAACTTGGAACTTCGAAGCTCACCTGCTCGTATATAGTGCCCCACCCCGCCTTTAACAGTTCCAGGGACACATTCCTCCCCCGAAAGAGCGAACTAGGAAGTATTCGAGGACGGAGGTGGACATGTGCAACCTTTGTTAAGGTTGAAAATCAAGCCCAAGACCTTGATAGACGCTACTCACGATACGCGAATACTGATCTCGTCGAATTAGCTGACAATAGACCTTTTTGCCTAGAAGTGTCTCCCGCAGCCATGCTAAACTCTCAGCAGCATATGGCTGGGCTGGTTTACCAAAATGGGCTGCCTGAGGGATGTAAGTTCATCCACAGGAATTCTTAGGAGGGAGGACGCGCACCTCCGGGGCATCAACTCCCGCTAAACGAATATGAAGGGTTTGGTCCTTTAAATCTGCACAAGGAATTGGATCAACCAAGTACTCTGGTTTCTGACCCTGCTCTAACCTTTTGATAGACTGGGTATCGTCCTGAACTTGAACGGCCAGGTATAACCGCCCAGGGCGGGTGTGTGGTATAATCGAAAGTTATCAGCGTCTCCTACACTTTATCAGGGGTAATTCCAGCTTGAGGGGACGGGGAAACAAGCTGGATAGACTCACGAAGTCACAACACCCTTAATCCAACTATTCCTACCGAGGAAGTCAGGCGTAATCCATTCGCCGTTCTTTAGACGCCTCCCGTAGCGTACATGGAACGTTGTGATGAATACTGCTGTTACTGCACCAGTCGCAAACGAAGCAATGGCGATGGCAGAGGTAGGTAACGAGTCTAAACGCGTCTTTAAATCTTGAAAAAGGTCATTGTTAGGGTCTTTGTCATTGTTGGTGTTGTTCTTGTCGCGGTTGAGGTCGTTTATCCCTGGGAGCCATACCATTGCAGACGCGGGTTGTGGACTGGTATAAGTACTCAGTGTAAGGTGTGATGTGATATTTGGCTCTGCATAAGGACAACTTTGATTTTGTTATCTGATAACCGTATGGAGTCCCACAGTGGTGATTTCGATGATTCACGGAAACTCCTCATTCTCTTCGCCACTGAAACAGGCAACGCACAAGATTCCGCAGATTACATAGCACGACAATGTCGAAGAATTGCATTCAACTGTCGCGTCGTGAGCATGGACGCCTATCCACCAGTGAGCCACGTTCATGCCTATCTTTGGCCTTTGTCGATCCCCGTTCTTAGCACGATCTCATCTCGGAGGACCTTGTGGTATTCGTGGTATCTACAACCGGATCTGGTGTTGAGCCACGGTCAATGACAGAACTCTGGACCATGCTACTTCGCTCCGATCTCCCTAATGACTTGTTTGAAGACCTTCCGTTCGCCGTCTTTGGTCTGGGCGACACATCGTACGAGAAATTTTGCTGGGCGGCAAAAAAGCTTTCAAGAAGGATGGAAAGTCTCGGAGGTTTCGAGATATGCGAGAGAGGTGACGGTGATGAGCAACATCGCTTTGGGTGAGCCCAGCCCTTCGTTGCTCAGTCACCTAATTGAAAATTCGTCAGGATTGATGAGGTTCTGCACCCTTGGACAGAGAAGCTGTTGAAGGCATTACTAGAGCTGTTCCCACTGCCAACAGGTGCTAAGGTGGGTTCCGGAGATGTTGTCCCGCCGCCTCGAGTCATAATTCGGAATGAACCCGCGTACAATGACGAACAAGTCACAGATCCGTTGGACGAAGATGAAAAGTATCACACCGTTACCGTGAAGAAAAATGTCAGGATAACTGCTGCAGACTGGTATCAAGACGTTCGACACATAGAGCTGGACCTCGGGGACGAGAACCTAGTGTAAGTTCCAAAACCTTGATGTCCTACTTTCTTTTGACTTGAATTGCGTAAGGTACAATCCGGGAGATGTAGCTATCATACACCCCATTTCCTCGACTCTAGAGGTAGAATCTTTTCTCACTATGATGGGCTGGGGGAACATAGCCGACCAGGGCATTACTATCGAAAGGAGCCAGCTTGACCAGTCCCTACCAGACCACCTCCCCTCAAGATCGACTTTACGGACAATATTTACGCGGTATCTAGATTTCAATGCGGTTCCTAGGCGATCTTTTTTCCGATACATTCGTCATTTTACTACGGACGCCGCGGAACGCGAAAAACTGGATGAATTTCTATCTCTGGAGGGCGCGGTTGGTAGATTTCCTTCTCATTGATGTGTTCCTCAGCTTTATTCAAGAATCACCGTTAGGATGACCTATACGATTACTGTCATCGCGTGCGAAGGACAATTCAAGAAATCCTTGCTGAATTCCGCCATGTCCGAATTCCCCAGGATTATATATTCGATGTTTTTCCTCCTTTACGGCCGCGCCACTTTTCAATCGCAAGTTCAATAAAAGTAAGGTTACGCTCCTTCAGATTATATGAGGCTCAAATAATTTGGCTGTAGAGACATCCAAAACAACTCCATCTTTGCGTCGCCATTGTGAAATATAGAACTAAACTCAAGATGCCACGAAGGGGGGTTTGCACCTCTTATCTATCCTCAATACAACCAGGTATGAATTACATAACAAACCAGGCTTTAGCTGATCCGTCGGGGGAAAAAACAGGCGAATCCCTTAGAATTGGGATTCTTCAGGGGTTGATCAAACTTCCGCCAGACCATAAAACGCCAATCATCTGTGTCGCGCCAGGGACCGGTCTTGCGCCCATGAGATCCGTTATCGAGGAGCGTATACATCATGAATCACAAGGTAAGCCCCAAGACACTTTTATCTTCAAATAACTTATTATCTTCCCACAAGCCAATACGTTATACTTTGGCTGCCGTTCAGCTACTCAGGATCAGCACTATGGCACGGAATGGACTTCATACGCTTCGAGTCGTGATATTGTGTATCAGACCGCATTTTCACGCGACCAGCCAGAGGGAACTAAACGGATTTACGTACAAGACAGAATACGCGAGGATGCAGAGCGCATATGGAAGATCATCGGCGAGGAAAAGGGATGGGTATATATTTCTGGGTAAGATTATAAATTATGCCCCTTCGTTTTCAGACTTCTGAGGTGTGACTGCGTCAGGTCCTCAAACAAGATGCCGCTGGCTGTCAAAGAGGCAATCGCATATTCCGTCGAGCTACACGGGGGGTATTCCTCGGAGGAAGCAAAACACTATGTCGACGCTATGGTGAAGGATGGAAGGCTCATAGAAGAGTGCTGGAGTTGACCCGAGAAGCCATACACCTCCAAATTACCGACTAGGTCGATAAACACACTCTACCTCCAGGTGAGTATCGACTATAATGAATAGCGGCAAAGATGTGCATACGACCCTAAGCTTTGATTCAATTCTAGATTCACCTCTACTCAAAATAAACTGATTGTTGTTCCTGCTCCTCTGGCGCGTCACTCCGTTTTGGGGTCGACAAGGAGATCTCGAATTCTGGCAAGTGTATCTACAAGAACAGGGAATTTTCTAGGATAGTTCGCAGGGGGAGAGGCTTAGTAGGGAGGGGCACCATGCCCCTGTCGGATCCTGTTACATCAGGGTTAAAATTCAAGTCGACAAAACCGCCGCGTTGTCGTTTGAAAGCTGTTGAAAATTTCAGAAGAAAAATAAGATCAGTCAAAAGGCCTGGGGGGTTATAACACCTTGATAACACCCCAAACTGAGAGCCAAGGATAGGGATGGAAGGCAAATAAATAGATTCAATCAAACATTTCTACATTTATGTGAACGAAGAGCACAAGAAGTCCAATAGATAGCCCCAATCGGTAACACAACAACAGGAATGGGAGAGTGAAAGAGTCCGAGTCCCGGGGGTTAAGCAAGGACCACGAGGTTGAGCAAATAGTAGGTAAGTTAAGGATGGTACAAGTGAGTGAGAATGAGTGGCAAGATCGAGGTGATGACTTCTGTTTCGTTTTTGTTCTTCTTCTACGTCTACATCACAATGCAAGACTTGGCTTGGGGCTCTGCTTGGCTTGGGGCTGTTCGCTTCTCTATCTCCTGTAGGCATAGTTCGAACACTTTGCCTGTAATCAACGGTACTCAGCACAAGCAGAACGAGGCAAGGATTTATGTCGGTACTTACTAACGTTCGTGCCATCCTTTGCACTGGTTTCCACCCATGCACATTTGTTCTCCTTCGCCAGCTTCTCCCCCTCTGAAGGATCAACTTGGCGACTGCTGCGATAAGAAGAAAGTATGAGCGTGGCGTAAGATACCACAGAAGGCGACAGCACCTTTGACTAAGATCGCACTTGGATCCAACAATGACACAAGGGATGTCGCTCACGCCACAAAAGTCCACGATCTTATCGTACACGATTTGTATCATGCTGAACGAGTTCCTGGAAGCGATGGAGTAGACTAGTACGTAGCCGTGTATCCCTATCGCATATTGTGAGTTGATCGGAGAGTACTCGTCCTACGGAAGCACATGAGCAATATTCTTCTGTGAGTGAAGCAGAGGCTCACCTGTCCAGCCGTGTCGATGATATGGCAATCATATTCAACCCCTTTGTACACAACGCTCTTCGCAAACGTCGATTCGATGGTGGGGTAATACTGGTCCACGAAGTGGTTCTAGAGTACGATGAGTATCGTGTAAAGGATACCGTGGAGGATCTACCTCAATAAACTGCTTCACCAACGACGATTTGCCTGGCTCACGTTGAGCGCAGGACAGCACTCTGATGTTGAAGTTGGCTTACCGACCGAACGCGAGCCCAGAACAGCAATCTTGCGTTTCTTCAGCGATGAGGCCATTGAAGACGGAGAGGAGAGACAATCATAACCAAACATCTAAGATATACATACATTCATTAGTACATCCAACTCTAAGATCCGTCTCTATCATACATTTTAATCGTGAAACTCAAGACAATTGCTGCACATCCCTTTGGGCTTGAAGGGATTTTGTCTAAACTTCCCGCAACCCGAATCCTCGGACGCGCTCTCAAATGGCGACGTATCGTAACCCTGACCGCTTAGTATTGAAGACGCAGGCGTTGAAGTTGTCGTTACTGATGTTTTGCTCGCAAAAGGGGGAGGTAATCGACGCTCAGGAATCGGGGGGCCGACAGATGACACCGCATTCGTCGTGTGTCTCCGTGGTGGGGGTGGTGGCGGCGCCTTCTTTATACTAGGCGCCTGAGTGACGTTGAACAAAGTCCTCCCAGATGTTGTGTCAGGAGGCGCCTCCGATATCGAGCGGTTGATAAGAGGTTGCTGTGCTGTATCCAGGGAGTGTAGGATACTCTTTGCTTTTGGCTTGGGTGCGTAGTAATCGTCGTCCTCCAACACAGTTGCAGCCTGCGTCTGCTGCGGGGCAGGAGGGGGCCTATCGAATTGAGGCGGCTGTTCTTCCTCTTCAGCCTGGCTACTCGTGACGCTCAACGCGTCGTTAAAGCCACCATAAAATGGGCTCCGCTGGGCCATCATTGGTTGAACTCCAAATTCGTCATCCATGTCGCTAGGGTACTCCTCCTCACCGCCGGAGCCAGGCCCAAAAGCACTGGATGGAACAAGGAGACTGAGCCCATTACTATTCTTGCTGGTTGTTGTCGCTGCACGCTGTGGTGTAGACGCAGAAATCGAGAGTGTCTCGACATAGGTTGTCGGGAACAACCCACTTCTGCCCTCTAGCTCACCTAGCCACCAATCGTCCAAAACTTCATTGAGCACCAAAATCTCGCTCCCAGCTTTGAAGCTCAACTCGTCCGAACTACCCGAAAAGTCGTACAGCGCCCTCACCACCTTTCGCTCCTGCGTTGATGGTGGCCTCAAGATCCGTGGGGTAACCTTTGGCGAAACACTGGGTACGTTCTCAATCGATTTGTTCCTTGATTGTGGTCGTAGACCAAGAGAGCGAAAACTGCTTGACTTTTTCAATGATGAGCTTTCCCCAAGAGATCCAGTGGAGGGTTCGCCGTCGTCCCCCAAAGCCGAAAAAGCCTCGGTGTCTTTGCTCTTTTTGCCTCTGGTTGTGACACTCTCAACGGCACTCGACGCCCACCCAGCCATACTCATCCGTCTGTTTTTCTCTTTTGCCTTGTCTGCAGAGGACTCGGGCTTGGCGGAATCCTTCTGAAGGTCAGGGGTCATCATCGTCGACGCGGCGGTGCTGTTGGTCCTCTTTCTTGACAGCCGAGATGCGGGCCTGGAATTGGATGGCGTCTTGCTCGCCGTCGAGCCTGATCGCCGACGCTTTCCGTATTGTTCATCGTCAGATGATAAATCGGGGGACACCTTGACTGATTGGCGGTTCAATCGTGATAGAGAGGGATTGATATCCCGAACTGAACTGGACGTCCGGAGGTATGAAGCAGAGCTCCTAGGTGTAATAAGACTAAGGTGGCGACAGGATGTTACAAAACTGACTTTTCTGGCCATTCAGATTTCACCTCCCGGAGTACGTCGAAGTATTGTTGCACAAAGTTGATTTCCAGATCAAGGAACGAGCCCAGATCTTTGAGTTGGCTAGACTCGTTTTCCTGGATTGCGTGCATGTGCGCACGGAGATCTTCTGCGGTTTCTTCACTAGAGTAGACATGAGTAAGGGAAGAGACATAAATCCAGTACGCACTAGCGTTGTTTGGCTCTGTCCATTTCATCCTCTGCTTCCCTCTTCTCCTTCTCTTTCCTATTGTGCTTGGACACCTTCTCGAGCTTGGAAACAGCAGCATCATAGCTCAGCCTATTAAACGACCCGTGAACTTCCTCTCGCCAACGTCATCAGCGCACACACACTGACCTCCGACTATCAAGTTTCTTCCTGAGAACCTCATATTCCTTGATCTCCTCTTTAAACCTCTCTATTGATGCCAAGAACGTGTCTTTGAAAGTTAGTGCAAAAGCTTCTTGCAATGTAGCCACTTTACAATGGGCCCTGCCCAATTTAACAAGAGAGGCGCCTGCCCAGGCAACAGTCACGTCAGCTGGGCTGCTATACGCATAAAGGTTGACGCTTACCATAGGGCGACTCTTCCCCAAAATCCTCCCCATGAAGAATCATTATGATGCCTAGTGTATCGACCGGAAGCAGCTTCTCTGCCTCCCCAAGGGCTTCGTTGGCCTTCTTCTTGGATAAATAGTGATGATATGCTTCCGAAGCCACAGTTAGCCTAGGTAGTCAAATGCTATGAGTAAAGCTACCCCATGTCGGAAAGAGAAAAGGCACCTATGCATACCGTCCTTGCGCAAAACGATATCCCTTTGGAGTTCACGGAACTCTTCGGCAACGGTGGTCTTCTCCTTCGCGGAGATGACTTCTCCAGCCCACTGTATATGATATTAATTAGTGACGCGATCAGGCAAGCGTAAGCGAAAGCAGACTTGACGAAATTTCCCTAGCTTTAGCAGTATAAGTAAAGGGCGACGATGTGTGCAACGACGAGCTCACCTGTTTGCTGGCCATTGTGTTCAAGGTAGTTACTATTCAACATTTACAACAATGGCGCGACAAAATGCTCTCCTGAGCGGGGAAAGCCGAGTCCCGAAATAGTTTCGATCGATCATTAATATTATACATAGTCACATGATAGGTACAGTACGGTCACGTGGTGGCACTCATGCCATGCCAATCGCATATCCTGAATGGCAACGGCCTACGGAGAACATAAACCAAAATTCTCCAAGAAATAGTGATACACGTACCTCCTCCACCCACGGCAGTTGGAAGAACTCGCTCCTCTTGAGTTCCTCCTGCCGAACCGTCAGTCCTTCTGTTGGCCCACTGCCAATTATATTCTCCAAATCTCGCGACTGAGATTCCAGCCACGTCTGTATGAACAGCGCTGGGTCCTCCGCGAAAGATTGAAGAAATGTCCGCTTGACGTGTGAATTATGCAGCGACTGAGCTAGCATGGCGCACTTCGAACATGCATCAGATCAGACCCAGCGTCGATGAAATCACAAGTCCATACCTCCTCATCCAATTTCGACAGAGCCTGTGAGCTCTCCTTATTCGATTGCACCATAACAGCCATTCGGCTCCTCAACGCCGTGTCCTCCATCTTCACTTCAACGTCGTATGCTGACGGCCTGTCTGGGGGCGGCAATGACGGATTCACCATATAATGCAGAATGATGGGGTCAGGAGCAACCAGGTATCGGTTGACGAGGTCTGGGATCTTTTGAAAAGGTATGGTATCCGTGCCGAATATCTTCACATGTCATCCTTATCGGTATGTGCACGGGTACAAGTAGCAGGACAAACGCACCTGTCGAAGCTTGTCGTCCGCTCGAACCAGTCTCCTATCCACTTTATCTTGTAAACCTTGAAGCTTGATATAATTCCAGAACGTCTGAATAACACCTATCCTGCTATCTTCCTTAATCCCCAGAATGTTACCTATGCGAACTCGATGACTATGAAACATCAATGTGATCAAGAAACTCACCCAACTCTGGCACATACATTACTACGCGAATCTTGGTTGGCTGGTCCCCTGTCCGTCTTATCGTAAAGCCGTCCATAGCAGGATTGTGCGCGCCAGGAGCCCTGGGCCACTATCATCGAAAGGTCTGAACTGCGCGGGGCTTACAAAATAAAAATAAAAATATGCACCTCAACGATGTTACCATCTGGGTATAGCGTTGGGTCCCGGTCAAGCTCGACGACCATGCGTTTTATGAGGGTAGAGAATTTACGCTAAGGAAAATGGTCCCGGTGTCTTTGATTTGGAACCTTTAAATTATTGATTAGTGAGTTTCAAAGTGTGCGCAATTCAAATAGCAGGACGCGTTTTTCATAAAAAAGGAACGCCCATAACATTATCATTCCGAGGCGAAACTCACCTCTAACACCCTTCCTTCAATCTCAAACGCCCAGGCTGGGATGCCCTCTCCAGTTTCAAAGTTTGCCATTGGGGTCTCATCCGCTCCCCCACCTCCAGTCTGCCACAGCTGCCCAGAAACCGTATGGCTGAGGAAGAGTCTCAACGTCCGTGTCGTCTACAGCAAATAACAAAATCAATTGCGCATACGTGCATCGTAGAAAAAGAATACATACGGTAGGGTTCCTTGCGAGCGCGTCCTGGACTTCAACCTTCTTCCTCATCATCGTCCAGTCTAGCTTCCGCTCCGTTTCCACCAAATCCTGGTACATACGCGAATCCTCGGCGAAGTCAGGGTTTTGTAGTATGACATTGGGGATAGCTTTATCTGTGAGCTTTCGTTTTCTATAATCAATGGTTTCAATTTCGTAGCTGCACAAGATATGTAAGGAAATGCATACTTTGCAGCTCACCCAAGGTCATAAGTACCAAATAGGTACAAACTGCTATATTGTTTCCCTTATGAGACTTACAGTCGTTTGCATAATGGATTGCACAACGGATCTTTTGAAAACTTATTTGGTTGTGTTGGGTAGCGTGACTTTTCGTCACACTTACCCTTTGCCCATGGCCACTGTTGCCCATGCCGACACACTTGCGCGAATCCAGCCGCTATACTCGCTTTACAGTGGGCAAACGGCGCCCACCGGCTCTTAACCATCGACCTGCATCCAGTTTACTTGTTCCGGAAATGGGTAAGTGTGACATCTCGGATGTGGTTCAAACAAGACCAAATATATTTTCAAAAAATCGTTGTGCAATCCATTATGCAAATGACTGTAAATCTGAGTGACACTCAACTTGGGTAGCCAGCTTGTTGCCAGCTTGGCTCATCCTTGGACCTTGGCTCACCAACCTGCCGTTGTGAGCTCACACATGGGTTGGTACAGCCGGTTGGCTTCAGCAAGTACTTACCACATTTGAGCATCAGACGCTCAAGTCTTGCTCGCACGCACAGCTACTATGCCCTACCAGGACCTCGGCACCCCCTCTCAGTCAGCACATTTTTGAGTTCGAACCCTTTCGCCAAACCTCTTGCCACAAAATTTCAGAGGGGACCTCCTGGGCCTAATCCAACCTAATTCCGCTTTTCTCTGTCCAGAAAAATGATGAATTGACGAAGTTCTGTTATTTCAGCAGTCACAATCTGTCACGTTCTTCCGCCAAAAAATGTGACGTTTTGTGACTGCCAACTGTGCGGGGGTGCCGAGGTCCTGGTAGGGCATAGTAGTTCAGGCAAGACTTATGCAAATTCAGGTTTATTCATGACACGAATTTCCTGAAAGTATGTAAGGGTAATTATGTAAATAATTTGAAGTCCAAGTTGTTACAAATGCCAGATTACGTAAACAACAGGTTTTCTTGTTTCCATCATTCAATACCGCCATCCTTCCTTAAAATCTCCAAAAATCTTTCCTAGGCCTGCTAGACGAATACAGGTGGTATGCCAGAAGTTCTCCATGCTGGCAGGTGCAGCTGACGAAGCTCATGGGCCTTGGTTGCAGCTGCCTCGATATCAGTCGATTGAAAGGAAATCTTAGGAGCTACATATTCATCTACGACACCATCGTCCAGTACGCATTTTTATCTGAATTACTTTCAACCCCAACTTATAAGTTGTAGACGAGCTGATCTGTGTTCCCCTCCAGTAGCAAATAGTACAGCACGATGTAGCATACCAGCGACTCCAATTGCAGGGATTGGTGACGAAACGGTAGAGGAGGTAGAAGGACTTTGAGGCTGAGTCCTTTGCTAGGTGCCTTTGCGCAGTGTTGTGACTTGTGTGGACAAGACTTTGTTAAACTTTGGTTAAACTCTACTACAGCTGATCATTATGCCTTCGTCCTCTGATTTAGGTCATTTAGGGAGCACTTGCTTCGTTCAGGAACATCCTTATGCTCCCGGAGCGGTCTCGTAAATTTCTAGAAACCCTCTGTCGTCTTCACGGACATCACCCATCGTTCGAGAGCGCCTCTTGGAGGTTGTTGCCGCTGCTGCTTATGCAAATGGAACCCTTCTTCACACTCACCCTCCTCCCCTTCTTCTTCTTCAACAACAGACAGATGACCCCCTACGCCGTGCAACCTTGCCCCAGAAACAACCAACGGTGTAGGCGGGTATGCAGCAGGAAACACAGGGTACCTCCTCCACTCTTCCGCATCTTTCAAATAGTAAGTTGTTCGTGGTATTGAATCTTGCAATATCTTCTGATTTTTTTTCCCCTTTAGGACTGGATGGCAGAGGTGTTAGAGATGGTTTCAGGGGATTGTGGCGAAGAGTAAAACTCTACGACAAACCAGACAAGGTATTTTGGACGTTTCTTGCATTGAACTGTTGTTGAGTTGAAATCAGGGCATTCCTTTTGACACCGATGATGCTATGTTTCATCCTCCGGCATCAGCAAGGCTGTCTCGATGTCGAGAGGCTAGTTGCCTGTGGATGCCATCCCTCCCACACCTCCCCTAGTCAGTCATTGAGAAGATGTCATTTCGGTATTCCTGACATCCCGTCTTAGAATCCTCTATGCAAACAGCGATCATACCACCGGAAGAAGATATGCATCGGCTGCTGGAAGACTGAAAAATTGGTCAAGGGAATGCTGCCCTGCTGGCCAAAGCTCTACACCACCAAACGGTGGCCAGGTCACAGACACCTGGATCAAATGATGTAATCACACCTAGTTTCCATGTCGCGTCAACCCGTTGACAGCTGGGCGCCGTGTGAACTTCACACTAAACACAGCATGGCACCAGGGATACCTGTCCCCGGGGTGGAGCAAGATGTTGAGGACAGGTGGTCATTCAGGGAATGCTGGTATATTGGGCTGGGTATGAGCTACCAGGGTTTACATGTTTACATCTCATTTTCATAAATTTATTCATCCTCATTTGCACCTTGCTTTATTTCAATTTGAGAACATAAACAAAAGAATAGATTGCATTTTGACAACAGGCTACACAAGAGTTATATACAGCTACTTTATCTACTACTCATATAGGTTGACACTGTTTGTGGTGGTGTCAAGCGGGCTGATCTGTAATAAGGCGTTGGATGAGTTGGTAGGCCGTCATGAAGGGTTACTGGGTACGTACCTAGAACAGATGCATGAACAAGGTAAAAAGGAGGGGTGTGACGCGACGTTGTTCGGTGTTCGTCATGCATTGTCATTGGTCCGTTGCTAGTTGTCACATTGCCGTCGACGACGTGGCCCCTGTTTCTTATGTGAAAAAAAGAGAGGAGGGGTGTTGTCTTGCTCACCTCGACGTCATTTGTTGTTGTAGATCATTGCCGATGGCAATATGGCCTGGGCTCCTTTAGTCAAAAACAGAGGGAGAGGGGTATAGTGTTACTCACCTGGACATTCACTGTCGTTGGTCGTCCTCGTTTGTCGGCATTTGTCTGTTGCAAGTTGAGACGGCGACATGGCACTGCTTTCTCATGTGAAAAAAGGAAAGGGGTACAGCAGTCACCTTGCTCACCTTATTTCAAGGGGACGGTGACAATGATTTGCGTTGTCACCGTCTGGACAATGTGGCATGTCCGCTGGCGTGCCAGGTCGTCTTCATCCCGTTGAAATGTGGTGTGCTGACAGGCTGGTTACCTGGCATTGCATCGTTGAGGGCATTTGAACGATTGATGCGGGGTGCTGGTGGTTATTGACGGTGGTGACAGAGAAGAATGGTGCCGGAGACGGAAGGTGAGAGTGAGGAAGGTTGAGCTGGGGTTGGAAGTATTTGAACCTGCAGAGTGTCTGAGTTTGAAATGACTTGGGTGAAATTTCGCTCACTGTGCACGGTTACAAGCTGTATTTGCGTACGACTAATGTATATTTCAAAGTGCAAAAGCACTACATTAACCGTCTCTTACATAGCCCTTGCCTTTGAGTAGTGTTTGAAAGTCCGGTTCGGTCCGGTTTTTTGATGCCCAGGGGCGTTAACCGTAACCGTAACCGGTCTGCCTTTTCCCCAGAAGTCAAAAGACCAGACCAGACCGCAAAAAGACCGCAGACCACGGTTTTTTGCGGTCTATAGACCGGTTTCGGTCTGCATCAGTTTTAACCGGTTTATGACCAGTCTTTAGGCCAATATTTTAAAATTATGAATCGGTAAATTTATTAACATCTCTAATAGCTTCAAAACGAGCCCAAGAACGTTAAATCCCATTAGGTATTGGTGCTTGATTGGTGCTTCTATAAAATAAGTCTGGTACATCTATTATTCCCAAAAGTAATTTACATTTTAATTCATATCTCTCTCGTTTTTTTACCAAATCGTACGTTCTTGGGTGCGTTTTAAAGGGTATTTAAGGGGCTATCAAGACCGGTTCACATTAACCGGTCTTTTTGCGGTCTTTACATTTCAAAAATAAAAGACCGTAACCACAGGTCCGGTCTTTTGCGGTCTTGGTCCGGTCTGGTTACGGTCTTTTTCCAGTCACGAGACCGGACTTCCAAACACTACCTTTGAGTGAAATCTAGCAGTTATACTAATTTTGTGGTAAGGTGGTCGCTACGTTTACAGCGGAGCTGGTGCCCATGTATGAACCAGCTGATGGCCAGCTGGGCCTGGGCACAGCATGTGGATCAGGTAACTCACAGGTGACAGATTTGATGAGCATCAGGAAATTTGGCAACCCGCCATCAACCTGTGTGCCAATTGGCGGTGTAATGGTGTGCGAGCCTCAAGATTTGAAGAAGAGGGGCAGTGTTATACCAGTGCGTTTCATCCTCTGCTTCTTGCCTGATTTCTGACACATCTTCATCAGGAATTCTACGGAAAATCCCAATCCTCTGAAGAGCTTATCTTTGCTCAAATTGAATGGGCTTCTGCTGGCGCTGAATGGTCTAGGCTTTCGAAGGATCAAGAACGTCAAGCCATGAAGCGTACTTTCTCAACCAAGTCGAATAAGCCTCATCATAACGGCAATGATTTGCCAATTGAGCTGACAATGGAGAAGTTTCTTGCGGCGCTGCTTCAAGCGAATGCAGAGTTGGTAGAGGCTCTGAAGCAATACGAAGACCTTGAAAAGGTTGCTATGGAATGAAAGCCTGAAAGCTGTAGCCGTAAGGAGGCTCAAATGAATCGAAGGGTGAGCAGGGTCTCGTCCAAGTTGAGGTCTTTTACTGACAGCCCCGTGGAATTGGAGCAAGAAAATAGCATTGATGAGTTTGTTGGTGGTTCGACGTCTCGGAGCTCCTTCTCATCACCACCATCTTCAGGTTCAACTCACCGATCTGTCCTTGTGCAACCTCAACCTCATCTCACCTGCAGAGAATGGTTTTGAGCCAACCCATACGCTCGCTCCACCCCCGCTAGCGCCGCATGGACCTCAATCGGCTGGTCAGTTCTCTGGTCAGTCCCGAACACCCTCTCCAGGGACACTCATTCTAGAGCCTTGCATGGCAACTAACAGATATGACCACCATCTGCATGAAGACGTGAATTCACTGTATCGCCAGTGCCACTATTCACCAACAGGAAGATATCCTATCACCATCACTACCAATGGGAATTATCAGGTTCGCACGAAGCACATCGACATATGCTATCATTTTATCCACTTCATCATCGATGATGGTTTTCTCAAGCTTGCCTATTGCCCCATGGACGATATGTCCATCCATATCCTCACTCAAGCAAGCCCTTCTGAGCCCAAAGGCAAAACACGCTACAGCGGCACTGGACTTTACTTCAAATTGAGTGGAATAAGGTAAGGACATTTCAAAGGTGCAAGTATTCGTTAATTAAATATTGTAAATTTACAATACCGATTGTATGGGGGACCGTATGAAGCTTGAAAAAAGAACAAAATTTGAACCGGTCTTCAGCATCAATCCTCCCTTGTCGCCCAACAAGAGTAATGTCCGTCCTCTTGTGTGGCACCAGGAGTGGCAGATTGCCGAAGTTTCTTGGCTACATCGGAAGGGGTGGCATAGAGCGCCTTCCAACCATAGGATGCCTGCAAGAGCGCTTCCCAAACACCTTTTTCTTTAACAGGGTGCAAAACTTCTGGGGAGAGACCAGCACACCAGATCTCATAGATGATGGCCTGGTAACTTGCTGATGCATTCTTGCGGACAACTTTGAGCGAAGGCTTTTTTGCTGCCAAGGCAAAGACAATCTTTATGATGGGAACAGCCCTATCGTTGTCCTTCAGAATTTTGAGGTTGTAAGGATCCATGGCGTCAAACAGTTTCTGCTGTGGTTAGTGTTTAAAGGTTCAGTTCAGTCCGGTTTTTTGCCCTGAAAACGCGCAACCGTGGACCGCAACCGGTCCAGGACCGACCCAGATATTGAGGGAACTGAACCGAACCACCTAGGACCGGTCTTTTGCGGTCCATGATACCGGTTCAGACCGATCCATGATACCGGTTCAGACCGATCCAGACCGGTTTTTTTGCATATAATTTATTATACCAATATAAACCATTTGTATCTCAACCATTATTACTCTAAAAAATAAACGGGTTATATAAAATAGTAAAGCATATAAATACCCGTCATTCTACCAATTTTCAAGAGATTTAATGAACATTTGACATAGCTATGACTGAAACCGAATTACATCTCGTAGAGACTCAGGTAAAATATGGATTTGGTTATATCTTTCTCAATTCTTAACCGTTTTTGATGAAACAAAAACCCAATAAAAGGCAATAAACGTGGTTACAAGGCTATGTAATGCATGTGACCGTTTAACCGGTTGCAACCGATTAAAATCGGTCTTTGAACGGTTTTAAAAGATTTTCGAAATGAGGCAACCGGCAACCAGACCAACCCCAAATTGCAGTACTTTACCCTCCCCCATGAGTTCCGGCGGACTCCCATAGAATGTCGGAATTCCATCCGGAGTCCGCTGGAATGGTAGGAATCTCAAATTCCAGTGGATTCCGCTGGATTCTGAATGGAATTCCAATGGATTCCACCGGATTCTGAATGGAATTCCAATGGATTCCGCTGGATTCTGAATGGAGTTCCAATGGATTCCGCCGGAATCTGAATGGAATTCCAGAAGACTGATTAGTGCTGATCAGAACTGAGGTAGAGGTCAGGTGACTTGAGCTGTATTTATTGAAGTCAGAAATTCAAACCTCCTTATAAAATTCACAAATTCACAAGTGATTTAGATCAAATAATGATGTATTTCAATTATAATACAAAATATATTTAACTACATACAGTGCATACTAGAGAGGGAGGGGATGGGCAAGGAAGGGGCAGGAAATGAGGAGGGAAGG